GAATAACGGTTACCTGTCATGTAATGGTTTTTAATCACGTATTCGTTCTTTCTTCTTGTTGAATTTAAAAAAATGGTATTTGAATTTCCGATAGCTTAATTTGTTCGTGGTTTCTAAGAAATAATGTGGCAGTCTGACTTCATCCAAAATTGATTTTGCCGTATTTGAAAAACCTACTCCAACCAAATGATAGAATGTGCCTAAATTTTGAAAAAGATCTTCGAAAGAATGTGCGCGAATTTTTTCTGTCAATAATTCTTGAGGCAGTTCCAAATATGACCAAAGAAAAGCAATTTGTACTAAATTGTAGATGTGGAATTTGTCACCGCATCGCAAATGTTCGCAAATGTACTTGAATGTTTGAGTTCTGAACTCTTTCAAGTTTATGACATATTTATGGGAAACATTCTCCAACCTTGGAGTTGTTTCGGGCATGTGCTGTATAAATGCTTTGATAAACTTAGACTTTAAACAGATAACATGTTAGCTGCTCAAATCTACATGATTGTCCATCAATTCGAACCTTATCAAAAATTCAATTTCAGCCATATTCAATATAAAGATGTTGTTGAATTCCCGATAAAATATTTGAATTAAAGATAGTATTATAATCAATATTTTTTTCCACCCAGCCATGGAAGAAAAATTGGATTTTTGATAATGTTCGAATCGATGCATAAATTCATCTGCATAATATATCATACCCTCAAAAGCATTTAGGCATCAAACACCTGACCTGAAACGAGCGAACATGTGAGATGTGAAAAACATATTTCTTCAGATCTAGGATTAACGCGGAAATTTAAACATAATTGAAAAGATGCATGGTTTTATCGTACACATTATCGCAAATTAATGATTAGTTTATTGTCAGGGTTAGCGAATAATAAAAATAATATATATGAAGCAGATTCAATATGATATTTTTTACATTGGGTGGGGGGTACAAAAATTTTACGATATTGTAACAACAGATCAAAATTACAAGGACGTAAAATACACAAGAGCGTTTACTGTAGACATGTATTCGTCAAACAGTTCTTTGATGCATTTTACATCAAGGGGGGTCACAATTGTACGATATTGTAAAAATTGTACGATATTGTGACAACCGATCAAAATTATAACTATGTAAAATACACAAGAGCATTTACTGTAGACATGTATTCGTCAAACGGTTCGTCTCTGATGCATTTTACATCGAGGGGGTCACAATTGTACGATATTGTAAAGATTATACGATATTGTGACAACCGATCAAAATTATAACGATGTAAAATGGTTCGTCTCTGATGCATTTTATTTTTTTTGGTATAGTCGTTATATGTACTGTTATTTTTGCTTTGCCAAAGCTGCTTGTCTTGTAACCGGGATGTTTAAATCATATTTGCAATGTCCATCATCATTCTAAGTATAAGCATCTTAAACAGTACAGCATTTAGGTGTTGGAGTTGGTGAATTTGGTCATTACATGTCGGCGTTTCCCTCTCAACAGATTTGGCGCTGTTGGTCGTATGTATCTCTGCTGGTGGTGTTTGTGCCGCTGATGGTGGCGCTTCGGGAGTGCCGCATGGTGCCGAGGGAGGTGACGTTTCCATCGCCGCTGTAACGGCGCTTTTTGTGGTCCTTTGTGCCGCTGTTTTTGGCTCTTCTGGCGTGCTGCGTGGTGCCGAGGGAGGTGACGTTTCCTTCGCCGCCGTGTCTTGTAACCGGGATGTTTAAATCATATTTCCAATGTTCTTCATCATTTTAAGTATAACCATCTTAAACAGTACAGCATTTCTAAGTATAACCATCTTAAACAGTACAGCATTTAGGTGTTGTAAAAATATTGTAAAAATTGTACGATATTGTGACAACCGATCAAAATTATAACGATGTAAAATACACAAGAGCATTTACTGTAGACATGTATTCGTCAAACGGTTCGTCTCTGATGCATTTTACATCGAGGGGGTCACAATTGTACGATATTGTAAAGATTATACGATATTGTGACAACCGATCAAAATTATAACGATGTAAAATAATTCATCTCTGATGCATTTTACTTTTTTGGTATAGTCGTTATATGTACTGTTATTTTTGCTTTGCCAAAGCTGCTTGTCTTGTAACCGGGATGTTTAAATCATATTTGCAATGTCCATCATCATTCTAAGCATAAGCATCTTAAACAGTACAGCATTTAGGTGTTGGAGTTGGTGAATTTGGTCATTACATGTCGGCGTTTCCCTCGCAACAGATTTGGCGCTGTTGGTCGTATGTATCTCTGCTGGTGGTGTTTGTGCCGCTGATGCTGGCGCTTCGGGAGTGCCTCATGGTGCCGAGGGAGGTGACGTTTCCATCGCCGCTGTAACGGCGCTTTTTGTGGTCCTTTGTGCCGCTGTTTTTGGCTCTTCTGGCGTGCTGCGTGGTGCCGAGGGAGGTGACGTTTTCTTCGCCGCTGTGTCTTGTAACCGGGATGTTTAAATCATATTTCCAATGTCCTTCATCATTCTAAGTATAACCATCTTTAACAGTACAGCATTTAGGTGTTGGAGTTGGTGAATTTGGTCATTACATGTCGGCGTTTCCCTCGCAACAGATTCGGCGTTGTTGGTCGTATGTATTGCTGCTGGTGGTGTTTGTGCCGCTGATGGTGGTGCTTCGGGAGTGCCGCGTGGTGCCGAGGGAGGTGACGTTTCCATTGCCGCTGTAATGGCGCTGTTTGTGGTCCTTTGTGCCGCTGTTTTTGGCGCTTCTGGCGTGCTGCGTGGTGCCGAGGGGGGTGATGTTTCCTTTGCCGCCGTGTCTGCGCTGTTTGTGATCCTTTGTGCCGCTATTGTCGCTTTGGGTAGCGCTACGGGCGTGTCAGGCAGGGTGCCTGGTAGCTGCCCAATGCCACTTATTTGGAAGTCCTAGATGGAAAATTAAGAAATACCATTTTGTAATACTATATGGATAGTTTATTGATACATAATCATAATAATGTGAAAAAGCTAAATCTAATTATACTTTATTTTTTACAAAGGAGTCCAGTATTATAAATGCATCGCTTTCCAATGCATATATGACTTATAAATTTAAATTAAGACTAATTATGTTTCTCTTAGCTTTTTGGAGAAATAACATAAATGTTTTGCTCACCTCCCAGGAATCCCAGGATTTAGGAGACAATGGTGGTAGCTCATTGTCGGAGCTATCCATCAACAGATCGAGCTGAAAAAACAACAATGTTTGACTTACTAACAGTTTTTTGGGGTTTATTTCCTGTTATTAACATACATTAAAGACTTAAATAATGTAACAAGAGAGAGAGATGCGAGATGATATAAACTTTAATGAACTGCCTAGTTGAATTAAATGGTTAAAATAAAGGACAGCTCTCTTATATCATTATCAGAAATAAAATTAAAATTAAAATTATTGGGTAAAAAATTAAAAAATAATTGGGTAGAATCTGAAAATTAACGCACCTTTATAGGTTTCTCATCCCAATTTAAAGTGCGCCCATGGCTTCGCTTGGTCTTTTTGGGCTTTGGCGTAAGTTAATCATCACCCAAGACAATCTTGTCAGTAACTTTCAATTCTGGTTTAGACTTTATGAACTGCTCCTGTTCGCCCATGTCGACTGCTGAAGAAACGCTTATAGCCAGATCGTCCAACAATAGAGCCATGTGGCATAATAAATTTTTAAAAGTTTTCTCTGACATAAAGATGCACCCTATTACTCGCTTACTTAGCCCTCCCATGTGCTCGAATGACACGCATCCTTTCCTCATTGCTATCCTCAGATTCATCCCCAGAGGGATGAAATGGGTCTTGAAAGAAAGAGAAGCCAATCTACTACTAATGGATCTTTCAACCCTCGAGAAATTGGCCAAACACACGCTTGACAGATTGAATTCTTCACAGTTCTGTCCATCTCCTCTTGTTCTCCGTAGACAGACATAGCTGCTAGCGAGACGTCCCGTTTTAATCAATGCTTCAAACCCTTCACCCAACGTATACGTTTGAGTAGTTGTTGATGATGCTGAAGCCATTTCAAGTTTTTTTAAAGTTGTGATTGTTTAAATCAGAGCTTTGTGAATAAACATGTTGAAGCAACACGGGTGGATTAAAGCAGAGAATTAGGGGTCTCCAGCTGTCGCCCATATCTAGAGAACGGGGTCCTAGCGACTCGGGGATAGTGGCAATCGCTCAAACTGACGAGGTTACCCGGGGCACGGTCACATACCACCCTAAAGTCGAAGGCTACCCCCACCCCTCCCTAGACAAAATGAGAAATTTCTACCCCCGGGACCCTAAAATACAAGCTTAAAACCACATTGGCTCTCGACCCAGCGGATTATGGACGCGTGCCAACGATTTGCCTGTACCCTCGAGTAGTTTATCCCTAGATCATCCCTACTTATCTCGCTTAATTTATCCTTTTATGGGTCCAGTTTGTACCCTATAGTAGTTACATAGCAGGAGAAAGAAGAATGAACAAGTTCTATAGCCCTGTTAAGATAATACCCAACATGCAATATCTGCTTTAGATCCTACTTACCCTAGCAATAATTTATGAGCACCATTTTAAAACATGTCCTCTATCTTCTACTAATTACTAATGTGACCAATCCATTTGCTGTTTGTCATTTATTTATTTATTTACTGATGATGTAACACTGGTATCAGCCATACCCTGATTATGCCATGAGCTAGTTCCAGTTCAAGCTCACCATATATATTTGCTTTTAATGGGGTTATTTAGCCTTTTGTAGTTTATTGATGTAGATATAGACCAGGGTGTGGCAGTTGGATGCTTCAGTAAGGAACATTTCTAGTTGTTAACCCTCTCGATGCCTTGCATCATACGAGGTTATCACACCATGTTTAAAATCACACACTATATTTTACATGATATTTTAAGCTTTCATATCATTTGCGATTCATTTTCCTTGTTGATCTCTTTTACAGATGCGTAGGAAATTCTGGAAAGTATATAGATTTTAATTGTTAGTTTCTTATACTTCCAGGATGAGGAAAAGACCCATAAGAAAAAGAAGAAGCACAAAGAACGAGATCAAGAAAATGGAGAAGAAAAACCACGACGAAAAAAGGAGAAAGTAAAAGATGGCGATGGAGATGGGAAAGAAAAGAAGAAAAAGAAGAAAAAAGCTAGTCAAGAAAAAGAAATGGATGATTTTGAACAATTTTTAGCTGGAACTGGTGCATATGAAGCTTTGTGATACATTATTCAAGCAGTAAAATGAAGTTCATTTTCTTGTTACTATAGTACATAAAATTATGGTAAAATGCTTTTGTTATTACTTGTAGTTAAAATGAGAGCAAAGCAGCAATATTTTAGCATACAAACGACATAATACAATAATGATGCCCTTGTTTAACTCCACCATATAAATGTTCTTGGAAAAGTGTTTACATTTCAAACTTTATTTAAACTTCATGACAAACATTAGGTGGTACCTAATAAATGGAAGACAAAATTACAAGTATTGTGGCCTCTAAATATTGTATAATTTATTATTTTTTGATGTCAGAGATATTGAGATATATATGAACATCTTTTCTTTGAATAATTTTTAGAAAATTAAGGAAATTGAATGGCTGTTGCATAAACTTTCTCAATCTTATTGAATCAAGTGAAAATATTTTGTGTATGTCAATAGATCTATAACAGAATGATGCGTTCACTGATGAATCTTTTTGTCAAAAGGACACTTATAAACTACTGTAAAATGTGCAATATTTTCATTATCTATGCAGTAAAATCTGTTAAGTAGGACACCTCTGTAGCAGGTAGAACACCTGCATAAGTTTAACACATCAAGTCCAGTTACCCATTTACTTAATGTAAATTGAACCTCTAAGTTGAGCATCTCACAAATGCAACACTATTTTGAGATACCATACCATATGTGTTACACCTACCGGGTTTTACTGTATTATATTTTAGTGATAAAAATTGATATTCCAAGAAATGTATAAGTATTGAAAATATGTTCAAATTTAATTAAAGAGATATTACATTTATAAGATCTTCATTTTGTTATTTCTTCAAATATTTATCATCTATAATTCTCTGTTGTTCTGCTGCCTCAAAATTTGCCTTCTTAATACACTTAATAGTACAATAAATTGTACAGTTCAAAAAGAAATGAAACTTTGTAATTTTATTTTATTCTACATATGAAATGATATTAGAAAAAATAGTTGATTTATTTGGTTATGGTTTCACAAGTCACTAAGGTAGAATTCGTGAATTCAAGCGCTGGCTGTTGACAATTTGGCCTTTATTTTATGGCCAACCCATTTCAATAATGAACATGAATAGTAGCAGGTACTGCAGTACTACTCACATCTAAGGGAGTTGGCCATTAAATAGAGGTAAACTGTCAATCGACCGCCAGTAGTTGAATTCGCAAATGCTAGCTAAGAATCAATTAATGTAAAATTGAAAGGCAAAGATGTATAATATCTATGCATTTTATAACATGCAGCTGTCATTGGATTGTTCTGAAGTGAATATTCTGGAGCAGATTTGGATTAATAAAGGCTTTTGCTTTTTATTGTGAGAGGTTTTTCAATGACTGTCAAATAACATCATGTATTTGGTTATTATTTAATTATTATCCAATTTATTCCATCTTCTACATTGATCATACATACAAATACAGTCTCAATTCATATTTTTAATTCACCTAAACAATCATTTATATAATACATCTAGAAATAGGTATCAAACACATGTTTCACTACTACTCTAATTAAAAATCTTGTTGCATCTCTTTAACATTGAATATTTTGATATTGACCTCTATTGTGTTCTTTATGGTACTCTCTTCTCTGAAGTTAAAAAGCATTTTATCCCTTTCAGTTTAATTATTTGGTTAAACCTTGACAATTCCTCGTCATCTGATATTCTGATTTATTAAATCTTTTTGTCAACATCCTTTTGGTACAAGTTGTATAATAATCGAAAATTAAAATTTAATTGAGACAGTATTTATATAGACAGATAGTAATGTATAATGTGCAGCAAAGATGTGGCCTTTTGTAATTTAGGGAGTTTCAGCCATGTTAATTTTTCCAAAAATAACATGGCAGAGAAGTATCAAAATATAAGAGGACACAGATATGATAGCTAAACTAGAAAACAAACTAAAATATACAAAAGTTAGGATAAATATAAATGTTTCTATTTTTACATAAACTGTTTCAATTTGGTCATTTGATTGCTTATTTTTTAAATTCAAAGTACTCCCAAACATTACTGTTTTGACTATAGTACATATTGTATATTGCTTGTTTGCAGCTAAGGCATAGCTACTTATTCAGATATTATTATTAAGAATGTGTATGATAAAGAAGACCTTCATTCTCTAGTCTTGCATTAAGACTCTAGTCCCCCTGACTATTAAGTTCTCTTCAGAGTCTTTGAGGGAGATGTTTGAGAGGGGGGGAAAACAATTGATTCTCTATTGAGTGTTGTAATGTTGACATATATTGTTACCTTGTACCCAAGCCCACAATAATGAATGGCTCTTTGACGAATCAGAAATTATTTTCTGAAAAGAGGAAAATGATTTCATTCCTTGGAAATACAGACTAACCAGATATAAATAATCTGTAATAAAGATCCCTCTATAGTAAATTAATTATCATTATTAGCAATTTATGATGGTATAATTTATTTTTATTTATGCAATGATATGCAACTAGGACATGTATGATTATTTACATTGTATGTGTACCGGAAAAGAATTCCATTGTAAATGTGACACTTATAAAGCCTAGGCTGAATGCAATTGAAATATATTTAAATTATGAAGTATACTTTTGTTGTGTTTATATTTCACAATTGATCAATACTACTTGGACCCCCGCTCATGTATTTCTTTTTGGCTGATATTGTGAACTTCTTTGAATCAACCATGAAAAATGAAAACTGCTTGTCTGCCCCAATGTTCATATCCATTTTATGGGGTCCATACTTGTAATTTACTCAAATCCTTCTACTTTTGCCTTATTTTGGAAGACTTTGATTTTTTGTCATGAAAATACCAAAACTGAAGGAAAATGATGATACCATTTTTGACTGTGATTGGCAGTTGGTGTTTGGCATTTTGTGTTACAAATGACAGGTGGTGACATTTTCCATGTTAATGCCTTGTTTATTGTTATTATGTAACCATTATTTTTGTGACACATTACCAACTTGATGCAATGAGTATATCATTTGTGAGTAACTTTCAATTCCATTTAAAAACTAACATCCAGCATAACATGCAAAATGTCACCATCTGCCATTTCTTACAGACATTGAATGCCCAACACCAACCGCTGACCACCATCCACAAAATAATTGGGAGACTATAACAATAATGTCACCACCACAATGTGTCTCCACCTCTGGTGACAAGGCATTAGCAACACCTGCCATTTGCAACAGATGTCATTTGTGTTACAGATGCCAACCGTAGAACATTGGAGACTATTAAAGTATGTCAGCACCTGTGGTGACATAAAATGGGACTTGAAAATGAACTCAGCCAGATGGGGTATTTTGTTTCTTAGTAACCTGTTTATTCTTCAAAGGACAAACATTCAACAAAATTGTATCTGCTTTCTTTGTCTCATATCATAAGAAAATATTCTCTTGTAAAATCAAACAAAAGAAAATAATGTTTTTTTATATCTTTATATTATACTTCATGAAATAAGTTACATTTCAGTATATTATGTACAAAACATAGTCAATCTTAACTTCTATAATCTAATCTCACATTTTAATAGGAGCACAAGTGGATCCACCAATGGTGTGAGTACATGTGTATGAAAGATGCAAAATTTGAAGATCAGTAATGCAATCGATTGATACATAACAAGTACCATGTAAAATCATTTGAACCAACATAGTCATGTATCAAGCCCTTGTGCCCCTCCCTTCCTCTTACAAAGATCAGGACACAGGTGGAGGAGGTTAAACATAAACAGAGACTCAATGCAAGATTTAATCCAACATCTATTAAAGTTCTGAAGTTTGTAGAAAGGATGAAAAAGTGCTTCTACACAATTCCATGATTCTATAACTTAAAATTAAAGCCTGGAAAATGATATTTTTCAAGAATCTTCAAAATATTTGGACCATGGTTTATGTTTTTTTATTTTCCTTCAAAAGTTAGACAATCTTTTCTCATAAAATAATCAAACATTCATTCATTTCATGTATTAACTGTGCATAGTACAAATAACAATGTAGTGCACATTACATATAGTACTTATTACAAAAAGTGCCCAACATATGAAATATAAAGTTTAAGTGTGACAGTTAATATGCAATGTTACTATGTTAATATTATAGGAATATCCTATGGTTTTGAAAAAATATCATTTATATCCATGAGTGGATATTGATATCTTCATGAGTGAGCGCAGCGAATGAGTGAAGATATTTGTATCCGTGAGTGGATATAATTGATATTTTTGAAAAACCATAGGATTGTCCGTTTATCCCATGGGAAATCATCATCAGCGAAAAAAGTTGAAAAATATAATTTGAGGAAAAAGTTAAAAAAATTATTGAAAAAAATTGTGAAAAAATGTTGAAAAAAATTTGGAAAATGTTTTAAAATATTTTTGAAAATAATTAAAAAGTGTAAAAAGATTTTTTTTTGAAAAAATTCGAAACCATCGATTATCACTGTTCAAACCATCGAATATCACTTTTTAAGACGTGATATTCGATAGTTTAAAAGTGATATTCGATGGTTTGTGAATTTTTTGCTAAAATATGATATCTTGATCCACATATCAAATATATCTTCATGTGATATTCGATCTATATCCTTGCAACCATGGGATAATATACAAATATTTAATTCTATTTTCAGTGAATACCTGTGCAATGTGCATCTTCCACAAGTGATATTCCACGAAGCCCAAAGGGCTAGTAAAATATCATCTTGCAAAAGTGTCAAAGGTATTCACTGAAAATAGAATTGAATATTTATTTTATTAATCACTGTTATATTTCCTTACTCACACTAATGGAATAACTATTGATGTCTAATTAATTATAACAATGTACTTCTGGGGATATATACAATTAAAATTACACTGGACTGAGTCAGACTGGTGAATATCATCTGAGTAACGTGACTTTCATTTTATCGCTTGTTATTTTTTAGCCACATGTAGGATTTACCAATCAGAGAGTGAGGAATATGACAGTGATATAGTAAGACTATGTACATAATAATAAACTGCCATTTCAGAAAGCTCCATATAAAATTTTAACCATTAGATACACCAGTATATACCAGCATATGATAGATCAATTTATGATTAAGTGGATATCATGCATCCAATTTAAAATTAATGTAAGACATTTTTAATTAATTATTAGACAAATTACAAGTGTATATAGAGAGATTTACACAAAGTTCTGACCCTCATATACTATCAAGTGTACTCTTTAACATCAAATTGCAGGTATGATTCTGTAGTATCATAATTGGCCAAGAATTTTATACTGGCACATTTATTAAATCATATGTATGGAACAGACCATTACATAATAGGATATAATTTATCCCTTGAGAAAAATTTACATTTTTGTATTAACAAGCATTTTTTGTATCATAAATCATATCAAATGTAGCATCTGAAATTTGTAAGAACAAAACAAAGTACATTCAACAAACAAACAAGCAATCTAACAAACAAGGGTAAAACAATACTGCACATTTTGATACAGAGACATATTCTCACTGATTCTCCTTCACCCTGATTATCTTTGTTTATTTACACTGCTACTATAAACTGTACAATCCTAACCCATCTGCTTATATGTTTCCTAATAATATATACAAATAAAATTTTTACAAATATCCTTTCATGATTTTTTGATTCGGCTTCATCGAGGCTAATATTTACAGCAAGAATCTGGTTCTAAAGTTTCTTTTTCTTGATATCTCTGGTTGCTTTTGTTATATAGCCTTTGGTTTTGATGATACCCCTACATTTCACCATTGCGGAGTACCGAAGCACCCAAGATGGCTGCCACAACTGGGCGTCATCTTCAGTGGTCTGACCTCGAATGACGTCCTGGAGTGTCTCTATGGAGAGGATCTCTGGAATATCACAAAAACTTAACTTATTTAAGGTGGCTCAGGTCACATGTGCATTTCAGTTGATCTGATATGGGTTAAGGTTCTTGCAGGCATGGGTTGAATAATGGCTGTCAATTTTAATCAGTGGAAAAATTGGGTCAGTTCAGCCACAGTGATTATCCAAACTACAGGTCAGGGTCTTATTCTCTTATTATACACTAAACCAAGGGCACAAATTGTGGCACAGTTAATTGGTATATATTTTAAAATGCACAATCCCGAATGGGCAGTTTCATTAATTCTAAATCATTCCAAAAACCAATTTAATCATGGAGAGCATGATTTATTCAGGTCAAATGGAACTAAGTTTCAGGAAAATATTCAGAAAGTCCTCTTATATATTTCTAATAGCTTGCAGCAGAAGTAAAGGAATCACTTCCTAAAATCCAAAATTCCAAATGCACTTCATTTGACTGAACAGCATTTTCATGTTTTCCCAATTGACTATTTGCAAGATGGCAGCACATGGGTTTGTAGGGCACTATTCATGTATAGAAACAAACGGCAGAATGTCACTTCTTCATTTATCAAGTTATTTAATTTGGATTAACGTAAAACCCCATTGGCAGTTAACTATAAGGTCTTGTTGGCATGTGGATTGTGATTTAATATTAAAATTATGATCCTTAAAAGAGTAAACAAACTTAAGAAAATCATGTCAGAAAACTTGAAAACTCTGAAAATTTGAATGAAGGTAAATATCTACAAATCAGTTGTTTTATTAAAAAATTACACGCAGAATTCAAATATGCAATCAAACAGAAAAACGTATTGGTATTTGATGGTTAAACAATGAAAATCTCCTAAAATCTGATTGAAACTCGACTTCAATGAGATTTCAAAGCTATTTAGCAAACCCAGATAGATAACTACTATCATTGTTTTCTTATTCATAGAATAAATTGAAAAAAAATCTTTATAAAAATTCCCTTACCTCTAGGGTCATTGTGTGTTAGAAGTTGCACATCATTTTCTTTGGCATATTCTGTTAGTTCTGGGGGCATGACACAGCATGATTCCAAATTCACTTGATTTATACATGGTTTCACCTGAAATCATATAGTAAGTACATAATACAACTGCAAATACTATTTTAATGCTTAGGCATACAAGGAACAAAATACGCTCAAAGTGTATTTAACAAGAAGTCATAACCAATTTTTTAATCCGTACAAACAAATGATTAATGGCCCCCAAAAATATCTGATTTCATTAATGCCCCAGACAAACTGGAGAAGAAATGCAATGACAACATACAGGGTGTTCCAAAAGTAACAGGACTGGTGTTGGCATTTTGTCAATTCTGCAGCGAGTGTGTTCAAATTTATACAAATTGTACTTTGAAGTAGTGCAATTAAAATTGTAAAGTTTCAGAAAAAATGATAAAATGCAGGTAGAGTTATGGTTGCTTTAGGAACATGACATCACAATACCCGGGGCAACTAATTTTCATGAAAATTTAATATCTAACATTTTGGTATTACTGAAGAAAGGTCTAATTCACGTACTACAATACAACATTTTTTGTTTGTTTTATTAGTTGCTTTGTAGTAATGGTGTTGCTTTACAACTCAGATTTAATAATGATTTCAAAATAATAATATTTATTCAATTTACTGGAATATCACTATGTACATAACAGTCTGCATAATTCACGGTTGAGTTTTTGAAAAGACCCAATTTGAAGCCAGTTATCCGAACGCGCCTGCCCACAAGTCAGCATTAAAGACCACTGCAGCTATAGAGGAGCTAGGTCTTGAGGTCTAAGACCATGCCCCATATTCTTCTGATCATGCAATTTCTAATTTTTACTTGTATGGAGAACAAAATGCTAATTAATGTGGTAAGACCTTTAAAGATGAGAATGACCTTCTTCAAGTTGTCCAATCGACATGTCCTCAAATGGGTTCACTCATGTATTTGAGTCATGGATACAGAGTGCTACTCTTGGACTGACCAAAGAGGAGACTACTTTTCAAAGTAGAGGATCCATAGGAATATCAAATCTTGTATTTAGCTAATGTAATTCCCACCAGTAGTTGTATGATAACTTTGATATGGGGTTTACAAAATGCTTAAAGTCTCTGTAACTTTCTGCGTGGAATGTTGCCCCGGGTATTGTGATGTCACGTTACCAAAGCAACCATAACTCTACCCGAGTTTCATAATTTTTTGAAACTTTGCAGTTTTAGTTACAATACATAAAAGTACATTATGTAAAATTTTGAAGATGATTGGTGCATATTTAACAAAATACCAGCACCAGTCCTGTTACTTTTGGAACACCCTGTACTTGATAAAGAAAAAATTCACAAATATATTATTTTTCATGGTTCTGAGAACCTGACCTAAATTATGTCATATTGCCTTATTGTGTTTGTGATACAACAATAGATCAGAAAAAATCTAAATTTAGGAGTACAGGTTTTTGTGGGCCTAGATTTCAGAATGATTCTAAGAATATGTTCTTATTACAATAGACTACATGCGAGTAGAAATAATCTTGATTTACGCCATTAATATTCAAAATTCAGTCAAAGCGATGTCATATTTGAAATCTGCATGTAAATGTACATCTAGAAATATGGTTTCGAAAATTGTCTATCAACTTTGAAAATTTAATTTTTTTTGAAAATGTGACTTCTTGTTCGGGTTGATCCCCCATAGACCCCATGTTAGAAAATCACAAAAAGTGAATTATCTTTTCTTGTATTGGACAGATAACATTTTCTTTTACTGGACATATTTTAATTTGCATAACTATTAGATACATAAGGGTTATATGAAAATTGAACCACGCAAATAGATGTAATTTAACTTAAAGGGAACTTTCTACTATACCCGCCATGCTATCTGACCCGAACGAGCCACCTGGTGGTGAATCTGTTAACTACCTACTCGCATCTGCGTTATTCAGTCATATTGTCATATTATGACACAACAATAATTGCGAAAAAAAACTTATTTAGCATCATGCAAAATACTAGGCTCAGGATCTAAGGACCCTACATTCAGAGGATCTCTACATGTCCTACCTTAGCCCAATCATAGAGTTGCTCTAATAGGTCCTTGCTCATATCACACACCCCAATACCATACACTGTATCATCTGCATGGAAGTCCTCCAATCTGTTCCACAATGGCTTTATACTCTCTAGATCCTCCCCTAGTTTCTCAGGGAATGATACAAGGACTGTTTCTATAAATGTAGTTCCGAGGTCTGACATAGCTGGAAAAGGGTAGACAATATAATCATGTATTACTTTTGAACATGATATAATGTTTTGCTCAGCTCAAGATTATGTGGGTGTTGAATTGGTACAAAGGTCTAATTTTCAAAACCAGTCAAAAGTTATAACAAGGCATTACCATGGAAAATGTCACCACCTGTCATTTGTTACAGACACCGAACACCAACCACCTTCAGAAAAAAGTTGGTGACATAAAAATATGCCACTCATCTTTCTCATTTTCCAGTAAGGTCAAACTGATTTAAACAAGTGTTGGTGGAAAGTCTATTTTCCAACAGCATTTTACAAGTAAAAGCATTTAATCGCCAAGACAGCAATGTTGCTGAAGTCTTATGTTTTGTAACAACTTGATCACCATGAAAACACTGTTGCTGAAATTGTATATCTTGTGACAACATGATCACCATGAAGACATTGTTGCTGAAAGCTCATATCTCGTTACAATTACAACATGATCTTTATGAAAATAGTGTCGCTCTTACCTCTAGAAACAGCATCTGACAGGGCGGTAGGATCTAAACTCCCCATGAAGATTTTTACTACAAAACAAGAATTCACATGAGATATTATTTTAATTTAATGATGAGATATTATTTTTATGTTCAACTTGGAACATTTTGATATTTTGTCAGTGAAAATTACACATTTAACCTGATAACCTAAGGGTTTGATTTTTTATATCTGACGAAGTAGTGCCAAAAAGAGTTTGCCAATATTGTTCAAGAACATAGGTTATATTAAACATGGTCTTACCTGTAATTTTTAGCTGTTCTCTTTCTTCTGGTGTGAGTTTCTCTGCTTCCACTCTTTTGCTGATTATTTCCAGGTCATTCATATACTGCAACAATAAAAATAAAAATGGAACTAGGCGAGTCCATCCAACATTTCATCAAATGGCAAGTATTTTCCAAAAAGGAATGGCTTTCACTCAATTGATTTTCAAGAATGAAGTCTGACATGTCTTTTTGTCTGAAACTAAAAGGGTTAACAATTATCAGGTATTGCATGATCTTTTTGTACTTGCAATACAATTTTACCTGATTCTAGATATATTATAAAAAAGAGAATACAAACCTTAGCTATAATAACTGAACCTTGACCAAATATTGTTTAATTGTTGATCAATTTCTTTAATTATTTTTTTGTAATTTGAAACTTGCCATACCCTTCAACATTGTATCAATGTGTTTCAAACACCTACCTGGGCTTCTGTTTTGTCTATACCAACAATCCAATCTGATATACTGACATTCAGGCATTCTACAAGCTGAAATATAATAATACATTTTCATTTCAAAGCTTTAAAAGATGCCAACATTAATTTTTGAATTCAGTCCTAATTCTATTATTCCAATACAAAACTTTACATGATTGTTTGTCTTATTGTATGATACTATAAAATTATAATGTTCCCTCGACTGTAAACCTTGAAACTACTGTTGACCTCGACCTTCGGTCTCTGTCAACAGTAGTTTCTCGGTTCACAGTTTCGGTATACAATTTTGCCGGTTGACCTCTGGAGAGGTCAACAATTGTATATTGGCCAACTTGGCTTTGGCTCAAATACATCACATAGGCAAAAATGACTGTCGGATCTGCAACAAATTCTCATGTTATCAGCACTGTAAAATATTTGGAATTTAGACGTATTTCCATCATTAAATAAAAATCTCTAAAAAAGTTTTTTTGAAGAAAAATTGAGTGGGGCGGTTGCCCCCAATGCACTCCCCCTTCGGACATGATGTAAACTAATACAGTTTACAGAAAACGATCTAAGTAGGGGAAACATACTGAAACTGATATATCCTGCTTGATTCAGAAAGTGCTATATCATAAGTTAAGTTCAGATACCTATTTGACAACAATTGGAATGGGACAGTTCTGGGTAATGGTCCAATCACAACTATATAGATACATGTACTTTATGTATATAGCTCAAAGGGGTAAGGACAGCTGCAGACAAGACATAAATATGTAAAATGTCACAATCTGCCATTGTTAAAGACACCGACGACTGCCAATAACCAACTGCCAAACACTGGATGCCAAACACTGGATGCCAAACACCAACAGCTGAACAATGTCAACAAAAATTTTGGAGACTAAAGTCAGATCATAATTCCATTGAGTGCTTTGAATCTGAGAAATAAGCAATCAAAGGACCACAGTGTGTGGCCTTTTATATTTTGATCCTTCTCTGTCATGTTATTTTTGGAAAAATTAACATGGCTGAAACGCCCTGTACATATGTTCCTGTTTTTCCATATACTGTTGCAATATGGTCATATATTGCTTATTTTTTAAATTCAAAGTACTCAAGAGAATTTTGAATCGGACTGTATAATAATTACCACTTGGGGTGGTGACATAAGAATAGAAATGCAGAATGTAAAACTGTAACACTCAAAACTCGACTAGAAAATTCTAGATTGGGAATTAATGAATGGATGACATACATGTAAATGCTAAGAAATGCTTTTACAAAATTTTGCTGTGTCATCATGATAACATATCTTTCCAGTTGGTTATATGCCATGGCAAATTATATGGTTCAAACTGACAGTAGATATAGATACAACTTTGATTGTACTTTCATGTCTTTACTAATATATACTCTATTTTAAAGAGGATTCTACGCTTTTAAATAAGTAAATGAAATATTAGGCTAGGCTTAGGCCTCCTGAAAATAAATAGACGCCTGTTTCCAGTAATGTTAACCCACAAACACTTCAGTGGGTATAGGAGTACAGATAGGGGTCTTCACATATTTATCCTATATGTGTAGACCCATGGCCTAGATGTAAACCTGTATTACTTCATTTTTATATGTAAATTTTTACATTTCTGTCACTTTGTTTGACTTTCACTTTCGGTTGAGTTTGAGAATCGAGTTAATTTTACAAACTTTTGGTTAACAAGGCTTAACATAGAGTTCAACTATAATAAAAACGTGCCATAAGCTTACCTCATCCTTAGATTGACGACTGGGTTTACGCTTTAGCCGATTCCAGTTGACTATATTACCCGTATTTATCAAAATAGAACCAACATTCGGAAAAACTGGGATCTCCTCCGCCATCTTGAACTTTGAATGGGTCAATGGCAACTGAAGGGGTGCGAGCATAAAATCAACTTTAAATTTTTCACAAAAAATAAAATCTCATTTTAAAATGACAAATCTAAAGGAATTTCCGGATTAATCCAGAAGAAATGGACATTACGTCTTCAGGAGCAAATTGATTTCAGAGGCTAACACCCCTTTGTATGCAGATGAAGAGATCCAAAGCACTCCATTTGACTTCAATATTGCAGTACTCCCTTTGCCATTTTCAGCCCATCCCCCTACCCATGAAAATACAAAGCGTTGGAAAAGTGTCAAGTGCCAAAAAGTGGAAACAAAACAGAATATTAATTATTTACAACATAGCTTTTATAAAAGGGTTCCATAAAATACCCCAAATCTCCAATTTGATGTGGTCAACCTGATATATTTTAAGTTACGGCAAGACGTCCTTGGTTACGGTTACTTTAAATACATGGTCAGTTGCATGTTATTGTTGGGTGGTCAAATTCATTACACTTAAGTAACAAATTAATATCCATGTACTTTATTTATCTCACTCGAACCTTGGAATAAAATCATTCCCATGGTTTATTAGTATTCCCTGCTGGAACTAATAACTGGTGCATTTTGCCAAAGTATAATTATTTTATGCATATAACCATTGACAAAAGTTTGGTAACGTTTTAAAGGCACTGATTAAGCAAAATATTGAGTTCATATGCAATATTCAACATAATATATGAGCAAAGGGTAATCTTATCTAAACATAATAGAAGTCTTATGTGTATGGCTTGCCAACTCAGTCACCAAACTTCTTAATTCAGTTCATTGTAAAGGAATAGGTCAAAAAAGTGACAAATGACCATACATAATAATTCAGTTGTTCTGAGAGGGAGTAAAAAATATTTCATTACATCTAATTGAAGAATGGGAGCTACTTTTAAGAAAAGAATCAGTAGATGGTGAATTACATTACTTTTATATGGGGGGGGGGTATTTAATTAGGTATACTGACAACAAACTCTCAATCAAATTGGTTTAAGTTGAGGCCCTAGCTAAAGTGGGCTTCATGCTTTTCAACCTTTTCATTTTTGATTCAACATGATTACACTGCCAAGAATAACAAACAGCTTATTATGTAAAATTATTAATCCATTTTATTTTTAAATTCACTTTCACGATATTGCACATTGATAGATCCCTATAATATAATATTATCTCAATGATAATACCACTACAATGAGTATTGACTATTTACATAGTAAATCAGATAGTACCATTTGTAAACATCATGCTCATACATTGTCATTACTTGGTCTCCATTTTCAAGTATTCAACTGTCTCACACCAAGCTGACGACCAATTTGAATCCATGGTATTGAGCCCATGGTATTGTATTTCAATGATACATCTGTTATGTACACTGTTTTTTTTATTCACATAAGTAAACAATTACAATTACATATACCTAGTATGCATTTCATTACATTTAATTCATACATGATATACCCATATATACCTCAATGCAGATTCATTTTAATGTTAATTCTTATTTTTTGACTTAATATTATTACTTTTAATCTCTATCTTTTTATTAGAAGCATACCACATATAATCTTCATATTCTCCTTCATCCATGTTTCCATCCATTCATTCATTTATTCACTCACTCATTACTCATCACTCATTCACTCACTCAATCGCTCACTCAATAGTGTTATGTACACTATGTAGATATATGACTGTAGATACCAAACTAAATATTATTGTATATGCAAAATAAACAACATTATACCATTTTATGCAAAGTTTAACATTCATAATATAACTCAGACAACATGTACTCATCTACTTAGATGCATAATATCAAAGTCAAAATTATTGAGGCACAAAACCTTTGAAAGTGGGATGTCCTTGGGACCACAAAGTGCTCTGCTTTAAGAGGTTCATTAAAGGTAGAATCAGATCTAGCGAGCAAGCTAAACATAAATTGTTTCAATTTTAGAATATTTTTGTCTCATATCATTCCTAGTCATGTCTATTTTCTAAATAAAAAACCAAAGTCCACACTTTATTTCAGGAAAACTAAAAATTTTTAGAATTATGTATTATTTCTATAAATATGGATATCATATTTATTTCTTGGGAGAATTAAACATTTTCCCCTCATTTTTGCACTTTGAATCCTAATAATAACTTTGTAATAATTTGTAACGTATTACAGATTTTTTGGGTCATATAATCGAGATCGTAAGGAAAACACTGGTTTGTCAATCTAACATGTTGCTTGCAACTTTGTCATCCCCATAGATCTGATTCTGCCTTTAACATATAGTAAATGGGTCACAGAACTTTCAAAGACTGTTCCACTTGAAAGTTTTTGTTTTAAACGTACATACCAATTATTTTAGAGTATAATCTAGAAGCATGCATATATTAACACGGCTTTTTACATGTGAACAATATTATACTTTAAAATAACTGAACGCACCTAAAGGTGGAAATAAAGGAACATAAACATAAATATGCAGTATCAACCACTTCCAGCTTTGTCAACCTGGGCTGTAAGTTTACAAAAATATTCATTTATACATAATAATATTCTTGATAAAATTCTTGATGAAACATGAAACCTATGGAAGGACTATATTCCATTCTTCTTTCTTGGCTATGGCATTGATGACCATAGGTGAATGAACAAGATGACCTTCTTTATGTCAGTTTTCTCTTGTGTGTTCGAGAAACTGTTAATTGGCAATGAAGAATCGAAAGGGCACAGCCAGACATTTCATAAAATGTTTGCTCCAATGGCTTTTTCCAAAATAAATTGTGCAAATAAAGTACAATTATAACACAGCGTGTTTCATTTTGCAACTAAGGAAATAATCTTTCATTCAAGGAATTTCATCCTCTGAGAAAGAAACTCAGATATTATCCTTCATATCTCCCTTCATCCAGCAAAGGGAACTCACAGGGAATAGGTAGTTCCTTGACCCCTGCTTTTGAAGGATGGATATTCTGAATTCAGTTGCCCTGGGTTTTCAAAGATAACATGTCACAATCAATAATCATACTGTTTCATTTTTGGCATCAATTTTGGCATCAGTTTCATCTACTTTAATCAAGGGTTACTCACTGGACTACTATATCAAGGAAAGGAAGCATTTTCAATAAAATATCGTTTTAACAAAGTACATGTGGAAGTGTACTATTGTTTTCAGTCTTGCTTCAAGTCTCTTGATATTTCCCAATTCACATGGGTTTATATATCAAGGTGCTATGAAATAAGATCAGTATTTTCCCCTGATCCGTATCTGCCTGATGAAGTGCCAGGCTGTTCCATTAAACTTGATCTCCTCTCTGGGGGCTCTTTATTCTGTTTAGATTGAGTGTCGTGAAAGTCATTTCTAAATGTGCCAAAGATGAAGTATCCAAACCCAGCACCTGGAAAAAATAAATCATAATGTACACAATTATCATAGACTAACATTGAATCCCAGGGCTCAATGAATTGTGTATGATTTTAAGCATAAGTAAAGGGTCTTGTATGAGAGACTTTGAATGAGGGTGGAAGCCTGTATTTGAATGCCAGCATACAAGCCATTGGTGCATTAAATTACCCACAATACATAGAATCATATGTTTAAATTCTTTTCTCACAAAATGAAAGATTTTGAATAAAAAAGAATGAAATTCAACCAATGAAATGAGGCTAATCAATTTCACCTAGCCTTGCCCAAGTGTCGGTATTATTTACTTATCTGATCTTGAATTATTACCGCGGTCATAATAGAAATCAAGATAAGTAAAAGAGACCGACTTGGGCAAGGCTTTTCACTGAATCTAATAATAATCATTCATATGTTGCAAAATATAGAATGCGTATACAGAGGGTATTAAACGGGAAGGATGGAATATGAATTTTATTACAAGGGAAGATATGGTATTGGTCAAGCAAAATATCAAATTAAACAAGGGCGATAGTCCAAGTGTCAATATAGTATTTTCGTTTTTATGCTACCTTTAAGTTTAAAAAGCACAAAATACAACATTAGAAAGTACAAAGGGCAACACTGAAAATGCAATGATTTCCTTACCTAGACATATTGAGATAAAGATGTATCCATCATATTTCATAGCAGCTAACATAACAATGTAAGCAATCACTAGCTGAATAATGTGAAGTAAGCTCTGTACAGCATGGAACTTTATTCTGAAAATAAAAATATGGTTTAACAAAATGAATTGAGAGGATAATTTAATTACATTTACCAGACTCTCTCGTATCTATCATATCTTTTAGATATCTGAGCATTTTCTAATTTTGCCATTTGACCAAATTAATTACTCTCAATCGTTATAAAACTCAGTATACATGTAGGGCTCATAGAAAAACGATTATATAAACTCTACTTGTAAAGTATTGCTGGGCAGGTACCACATGTTTCCCAAACCTAGTTTGATGAGATAATTATGAATAGTGCTGCGGTATTTAGTTACCAAGTCACTCTACTGATGTAATAAAGACCTCATATAATCATTCCATAGCTGAAATGCCAATAGTACAATAACGTCATTTCAAAAGGCAATATTTCACTATTTTGCCCGAAGAAATGACGTTATTAGTACTATTACCACTGTTTTCGCCCAGTGCAAAAATTATATGCATGAAACAATATCTCATTTCCCGGGGAACATTGGCGGGCTGAAATATCAATATTGGCCCGCCATGTATTTGAGGGGGGAGGGGGTGTTTGAGACTCAAAACAAAATACTCACTTTCTTATTCTTATGTCATTCACTGATGTAGGTATTATTAAAGATGTCAACAAAGGTGATCGCTCGCTAATATTTTCTTCTGTCTTTGCATATGTAAGTGGATTCATTGATCGACGCAGACTCAGATATTCCTGCACACATTTCATCCATTCTAGGAGGATTGTAAGACAACACATGGCTACACATGTGAAAATAAACCCTGGAATATAAAATAGCATATGCATATTAAAAGATTTCAGTCCAGGATTTTATACCTTGTTGATAATTCATTACATAAGATTATTGTTTGTACCTAAAAAATTTAAAATTAGTAGAAATAAAACTATTACTACAAAGAAAGATATGTACTAATCTTTCATTGGATGATATTCTACTTTTAAGTATTTCTAAAATTGCTGTGTGTGTCAAAATTTCCATATTTATTAGTCAGGGGAGGGTGTCTGAAATGTATAAAGTAGCTACAAGACCACAATGTTTTTTCATAATTCTTGTCCATCTTCTGTCTTAAACCTTTATATAATCCAATAAAGATAAGATAATTCTGGATATATGCATTCACTTTATTTCTAATATGGCAGGCCACGTACAAGGTCAGAGTTCAGTATGGCTTGCCAATCCATCCGGATTACAAACAATAACATGACATATTCCTTCTGTCTAAAGGAAGAGCCTCTTGACTTATCTTTATGAGTTATTTTATATAAAGTGAAGCTTCGAGCTTTGTTGTTTAAATAGCTCTGTGGGTTCTTCATAAAATAATATGGATTGGTCTTGTAATGTAAAAAGACAAGATTAACACAGAATTAATATACTCATAAAACTATACTTTATTCCAAGTAAAAGACTAAACATGTACAATTACACTCTTCAGTATAAAATAAAACTGTTCAAAGATAAAGAAAGAATGAAAATGAGATTAATAAGATGAAAAGAAATGATGTGTGATGTTCCCCCCCCCCATCTAACTCTCTACTGAATGAAGCCCAAAATTTCTCTTAAAGGGATCCAACACCTTACAAAACTTCTTAACGGAGAGGAATAAGGGAAAATGCTTGCCGGATTCTGAATCTGTGTATTTTTTAATGATTTTTCACCGTCTTAGAATTTCAATTTTTTTCCTTTGAAAAAATGAGATTTGCATTGTTTTCCAATTAGAAAAATGAGTAAACATGAATAGCTCGAAATCTAACGGTGAGATTTTGTTTTAAAAAATCATGGTTATCGAGGCTAAATATAGCTATACAGTAAACATAAAAAAGCAATGCTTGGACTCTTCATATTCACACAAAAATTTAATTAGTAAATGAGGTTTGATATTTGTGAGAACAAGTTGTACGAGGTGCAATGCTCTACAAACACCAGACTACAGGGTGGATTAGGATCAATGACACACATGAAAATTAATTTAAAAATATTTCATGATAATTATCTCAAACAAAAGCAGTTGGCGAAGGATACGTTTCATTACACTCAATAAATAGTTATCACTTTTGACGATATATACATATCTCATGGGAATGTATTTCCATCTGCTCAAGATATTATATTTTAGCTTCGAAAATCACAATCGTTTGATAATACATTTGTCTCAGAATGATAGGCCACCCTGTAGCAATGTAGCTTTCACTTGAAGTGTACCCTTGAGAATAATGAACTTACTTTCAAATTGGTCTTGCTTTTGTGGTGTATGTGGCTTTTTAGCAAATCTGCCACGCTCATTTCTTTCCAGAACCATCATCTTGTTCAAATGTATCACTATACGGGCATGTATAGACAGATGACATAGTTATACATATAAATTATATATTGCACCTGTATTTACTTACATGGGAATAATTGTTCCCTTTGGAAAAATGCAAATGCATGGACATATATTTTCATCTTATATATGACTTCAAGCTAACATATTATTTCATATTTATATTTTCATAGTTAGTTTAACATGAATAATAGATCCATGAGAACAATTTTCTTTGTTTTTTTAAATTGATGGGTTTACTGTGAATTCAATAAATTACAATTTGCAAGGGGTAAGTAAACTGTATGAGCTGGCTAGTGGCTTTGTATTTTATGTTAGGCCAGGGTAATTAAATTAGTTGTTTCTCTTTCTTCTATTTTTCAAAATTGATACGGGAATGACGGTTTTTATATTACCTTTTTTTGTCTATCTAAAATGCTGATGAGGGACGGGATGATTTTTTTCTTTAAAATAACTGTAAAAACAAATAACTAATTTTGAAGGAAATAAACTGGGTTTATGTTGAATTTATATGTTGAATTTAGCCTACTTTACTGGTATATTTGATCATATATCAGTACCACGATATTGTCAATTATCCTGATCCATAAAAAGTAAAAAAAGTGTTTCACACGCCATGTATGCGCGCGAGGTACGGTCTCAGAAATGGCAGAAAAAAGGTGGAGGGGGGATTGGGCCACACGCGGGCAAGAATGAGAAACAACTAATTTAATTACCCTAACCTTAGTTCATCCAGTAGTTCGTTTTTACTGCAAAGTAGTGTTTTTATATGCAGCTTAATAGCATAAAATATGTTGAATGAAGCATATGGTGTGGATAAGTCGTGTGACACACAAACTGACCAAATACATGAGGGTATTAGCTACTTTTCACATAAACCAAAGGAGGACAGTGCTTTTATTTCAACTGGGAGCTTACCTCCACACGACTGATCATGTGACCATGGTGGTGGTCCCCTTTAAATACCCCCAAGTTATAGGAAATGAAAGACAATCCCTTACCCTACAACACCTATAAGAAACCCATTGAAAGATGGCAGCACAATACGGTAAATCAACATGAAAAATGCTATAAAAGTATGCACACTTGTGCTCAATATAATTAGTGTGCCAGATAAAAAGCTTCATGACAGGACATGTTGAGCATGATATTGCCATACATGCCAACTAACATGCCTCCTAAACAATGATGAATAGTAAATGAACCAACCTGTCAATTCTGTAGTTGACCACTCTTTAAACAGGAACTCATGGACGCTGGGATTGTCCATAAACATAAAATATTTCTGAAAAAAAAGTTATACCATTGAGTCGACTATACTACAACCAAATCATGGAGAGTGGAAAGTTCTACTTTAAGCTGATTATATACATGTGCACCAGGTAATGAAAGTAAAATCCCATTCTAATTCTTTATCTGGCTATTGCGCATTCTGCTTGCAATCTGATTGGTCCATTTGCGAAATTAAGGCATAGTGCATCATGTTTTATGAATTTTGCAATGGTCTTACATTTGCTGTGTTATCTGGTCAGAATAGGAAGATTGAGGTATTAATTATTTTTTACATGATTAGACTGTATTAAATACCAAGCCATACATTTGTATGGAAATAGATGGGAAAGTTAGTGGGCTATATCCACAGATATTGCCCGATTACCCCAATATAGCCACCTTACCTCATTTTGATATTAGATTCTTTAATAACCATGAAAATATCACGACATCATGCTCCATTTTGATCAAATTCTACTGCCCACAAAAGTGTGACGTGATCGATACAAAGTAGTCATGGGAGTCAAGGTCGGCCTACATGGGAGAACTCAGGCATATTTCACATCATAGTGACATAACCTCTAAATATAGTCTGCTTGTAATTACATCCATGGATGTACATGTAGTAAGCATGGACAGAAGCAGGTCTCGACAGAAGGAGTAATTATTAGATTTGAACATAACGCAATGCTTATACGTGCTTTTCAACACGTATGATTGTTTAAATATGTTAGGTTTGTAGACTACTATTTTTTTCATGGCCTGAGTTCGTCGCTACCATGCTAAATATAAGAGTTAGCTGACGTTTGGGAGTCTGACTTACCTTCTAAAGGTTAGAACCCGAATCTGAATGAAACCATATCACCTTTGTTCCGTCAACCATGGAGCATTTGCAACAACATCCAAGAGGTAAATCATGAACCGTGAAAATGAATGATTTCCTTGTAAGTTCCGGAAGTTTCAATTCGAAAAATCACCGAACATATGTGAAAACCGAATATTTGTTCGTTGTTTTCACGATTTACAGGTTCATTTGTTCTCCAATGTTTTGGTCTAAATTATAAAGCATCACCAACAGGTCTTACTCTATTAATCGACTAATACAGCAGACGGCTCATACTTCTACGTAGCATTTCGTTCAGACCAATAGTGGGAGTGTAGATCACGCAGTTTCGTTCGTTGCGTACTTCACTTGAAATTGGTAATTTTAAATATTGGCTACTTCACTTAGCTTGGCGGATGTAGAACATTGCTTAATATTCTTTTAATTTTCACACCAGACATGCTTGGTTGACACGTCAACAAAGTAAAGTTTAAGGGTCAATGCGTTATTTCGTGATAACTACAACGCCTTCCCGGAAGTCAACATTGATGACAAATGAAAAGTCGGAAAAGCATTTACACTAATTTCTATCAAATGCTGTGTTTATGCATCATCATCGACGCAACAAAGGTGATATGGTTTCATTAAGATTCGGGTTCTAACCTTTAGAAGGTAAGTCAGACTCCCAAACGTCAGCTAACTCTTATATTTAGCATGTTAGCGACGAACTCAGGCCATGAAAAAAATAGTAGACAAAATTCTTGAGTAAAGTTCCAGAGCCTTGCCTACAGTGCTCACCATATATACAATCAAATTTTTTATTCTGTCAATCAGTTCATATGGTTAGAATAAGGAAAGAATGTGATGTAACCACGTGTCTACTTACCGGCTTGTTCTATGTCATCCATCGGACTAGGTTACATCGTGGAACGCAGCCGAACAAGACACTGAAGGCAACAGCATATCTATCTTGATCTTAGCCGAATTTTTGGAAATTTAGATCGTCCATTTTGCAAGCTCACGTGACTGACATGTGACACATGTCTGATCACGTGACTAGTTACTGTATCGATCATGTGACTTAATCACGTGTCAATGACGTGTCACCCAATCATGTCTTCAAGGAAAACGGAAGTAAATATTTTTGAAAATGTTTTCCGAGCATTTGCTACTGATTATAGAAGGCCCAATTACGCAACGAACGAAACTGCTAAATTGTTTTCGTGCCTAATATGCGCAGTACGCAATGAAAGAAACTGCTAAATTGTATTTTTAGAGCTGTTTAATGATTCATAAAGACCTGTAATGATGCATTCAAATAAGACCGCCTCCTAAATGAAAACAGTACACATAAGGTGGTGAAAAAACAACGAACTAAAGTTGAAAGATCGCAACGTTCGCTACTTTGTTCAATTCCGGAAATCTCCAAGGGGCTGCAAATGGGAAATTATTTAGATTTAGATTTTATAACCTCAGAATACTGGCTTCATTGTCGTGTTTGGCTGCGTTCCACGATGTAACCTAGTCCGATGGATGACATAGAACAAGCTAGTAAGTAGACACCTGGTTACATCACATTCTTTCCTTATTCTAACCATATGAACTGATTGACAGAATAAAAAATTTGATTGTAGATGACACCTGGATTACAAAATTTAAAATATATAAAACTATGGGATGTGTATCTAGACATTATTGGAAAGTATGAAGTCTCAAATCACCATGGTCTGGAAATGGTGATAGAAAATCCAGGTTTCAATTAGATCTATATGGAGACCCTATCTGTTGCAAGACTAACGCCTGGCGTAACCGTCACCATGTTATTCAGTGTTTTTAAGTAGCGCAAGGATCCTGCCATGACCGTGGTAATGTTATCGTGAAAGCCTGGTATAACCGCGACAATGCTGTATTATATTGCAATGCCTGCCATGACCGTGACAATGTAATATAGTTCTGCAAGGCTTGGCATGACCGGGACATTGTAATAGTACTGCAAGGCCTGGCATGACCGGGACAATGTAATATACTGTAGTACTGCAAGGCCTGGCATGACCGTGGCAATGTTATATAGTTCTGCAAGGCCTGGCATGACCGTGACAATGTAATATATATAGTATTGCAAGTTCAGGTACGAGAGTGGCAATGTAGAAATGTACTATTAGGACTGCTATAACCGTGACAAATGTGTATTGCAAAGCCTGGCATGACCGTGGCAATGTAATATAGTACTGCAACGCCTGGCATGACCTGGTATGAGGGTGGTAATGTAGAAATTTAGGCTTAGTCCTACTATGGCCGTTATAATGTATTGCAATGACTAGTAAATATGTATGACATTAATGCCAGGAATATCCTTAACAATTTTAAGTGATCGTCATTACAATTAAACAGTTTATAATTAAGCTTAATACTATCATCATGGTGTTTAACTACCTTAATCATGTCAAAATCAAAATTACTACTTTACATTAATGTTCACATTCGCTTATAAACCACAATAAAGGCTACGGTCGCGCCAGGCTTCCACGATTACACTTCCAGGGTCATGACATGCCTTGCAATATAATCACGGTTATACCAGGCTTACACGATAACACTACCACGGTCATGGCAGGATCCTTGCGCTACTTAAAAACACTGATTAACATGGCGACGGTTGTGGCAGGCGTAAGTCTTGCAATAGATAGCATGTGTCTATATTGTATGTATGTATGTATATTTATTTATTTAAGTGCCTCGTATAGATACCCAGCCTATTTTAGGCTTATGGGGCACATTGTACAATATATTTGAAAACAATATTATAAGATTAAATCTTTAAACAAAGCTTGCTCTTTTGATAAGAGCAGCATTCAGCAATTTTCCAGTATGGCGCACTAATCTAAAATCATGTAATAAATCTTTCAAAAGTTCATCATCAATAATAAGTTCTTGTTTTTGTAAAATACGTTTAACAGACAAAAATAAGTCATCTCGTAAGTTGTTATATGATGGGCATACTAGTAAAAAGTGGAACTCGTCCTCAATAATGGATATATTATCATTCTTACAATGTAAGCAAAGTCTTTTTAGTATGTATCCAACAGACCGAATATAATATTCGGTCTGTTATGATTGATATATTTCCTGTGGAAATCTCGGTGATATTTTTTGCACATAAATTTCTCGTTTATTACAAGAATGTTCACCTTGAAAATTGGTGAATATGTTGAAGAGATGTTCATCTTAAACTAGAAGCAAAAATATTTGTATAAGGCGGGTACAAGTTGATATAAAATAATGAAATGTTCAGACTCACCAAAACTTCAGGATGTGTTTATAAGTACATCGCGAAATCAATGTCAAGGACGTTTGAGTTCACGAGATCCAAACGAGATATGCAAATTTTGAACTTTGACAACACATGACCACTTGATTACCTCGGCCTTCTTCATGAATATTTCCGCTCTATTTACTATAAATGAAGAAAATTAATCGGGATAATGATAATAAATGACTAGATCTAATAAATTCCCGCACAAATGGAATTTATCAACACGCTTCCGTCCGCTCCACGTGTTATTTGTTTACAAATAGACTGACGTCATTGGCTAAATCTCGTTTATCGTGAGAATTGGCATTGCCAAAATGGCTTGACCTAATCAATGGCTTCGCTACAAGAAGCGTCTGTACATTTTATGAATATCTTCAGTAAGAGGACAATATACGAAAAAATAATATTGTAAGTACTTTATAAGGTAATCATTTTATCATTTAACAAACTTATTTGTAACATTTATACAACACCACATTTTACAATAGGTGACTTACAGTCTGAATATGTATTCAGACGAAGGATACAGTCTAAGAAATTCTCCATCTAAAATGTCACTCGACTTTTTTGTGATTATGAGTCAAAGAAAGCATTCTTGAGTTTCAAATTGACTTCTGTGGTAACTTGAAACCATCTTCTAATTTATTCCACTTACCTTTTATTGTTTCTCCAAATATATTCTTTGAAAATCGAATTTTAAGGGTGTTAATCAGGGTAATTCTGTGCCATTTTATCAAAAATCTTGTTGCTATCTAGAAACGAGCAATTGTGATCTTGTTGTTACCTAGGAACGAGCAACTGTGATGTCACGTCACACTCATGTTAATTCTGGAATCACATGGCAGCCATTTTGGAAATTTCAAAAAAGTTCCAATTATAAAGGCTTTAATGCTGTTTACAAATTGGAAACTATGGCAGAATCAACAAAGGGTTTGTGAAATAATTAGGATATGGTTTCAAAATTATGCACATGACAATATATGACTACTAAATGCAGGCAGGGACTTTTAATTGCCAAAAAGTCGAGTGACATTTTAGATGGAGAAATTTTTAGTGTCTATATGGTGGTGAGCACTTAAAAAATTGAAAAAATTGAAGTTCTGTGTTTTTCATACACGTAGATCTGTTTCCATCTTACATTCAGGTCGGTAATTTGAGATATTATGATAATATACATACTTACGGGCATCATATCCATTCCAGGTTTCATTTTATGACATTTATTTGAGTTTTTTGATGGGTAAACATGAAATTGTTTCAAAAAAGAGTATCATGTGACTGTCACGTGACTAAACAATTACAGTTCCTTTCTAATATGTAAAAAGTAATCTGATTGGTCAAAAATTTAAATACTCTGAGTCGAGGCATTTCATTGGTTGAACATTTAAAACGTTCGAAATTCAGATTTCCACTGATCTGATCTCTCCTCTCTAAATATCCAATAAATCGCTCAAACACTTGAGTAATAATACATTGGAGTATGCAGAACGTTTGATAAATATTCAGAAAAATATAAGGTGAGTTCTTTTTTAGTTTGCTTCTTTCTATAGACAGTCAGTCTTAGATCTAATTTTTTTTATTTCAACTCAATTTCACATCGTTGCTCAACTTGAACTTGCTGGTCGAATATTTTTCGAATCTCGCAATCTGAATCTGAAATAGGTGTATGACCTGACTTCTTACTGTCAAGTGTTACCATGGTTACATTCTTCCACGGCCACCTCATTTCCAGCCTGGATAATATCTGCCAAAATAATCATTTTTATATTCTTGCTTATGAGCGTGACCCCCACACTGAAAGCTCCCCACACTGAAAGCAAAGCAAAGCAGATCTTCTTATTAGTTGTTCAGAACTCAAAAGAAAGGGCTTTAGATCGTTCTAATCCGACTGCTAAAAGGTGGCGATACTGGTGCCTGTGATCTTTGCACGCTCATAAGCCGGTAACCAATGGGTGCCATAGAATTTACATATGACAATTCTCCAAGTGCATTTTAGATGTTTATCAGTAGCTATCGATTCTCGTATCGATATCTATCTATGTTTATCAGTATGATAGATATCCATTGGACACTAATCTTGGTGAAAAAATGGGTTCTTACCCCCTTTCATAAACATTTTGGCATATTTTCAGTGAAAATGGTTGACTGGATACCATTTTCCTCTGGACCTGGGGGCAGTAAAAAGTCTGCCAAACGGCGGTCATGGTTCACCCCAGGTAAACAGATAGAGACACAGCTTGCCATAGAGCATAGTGAAGGAGAAGTTGAGGAGCTCACTCTCACACACTTCACTAAGGCACCACGTATAGGTATGATTTAACTGAAAAAATATTTTAAAGATATCCAGGATGGGTTTTATTTGGCAATGCTTATATCCATAATATCTTATATCTAATTTTTGCTCATGTATCTCTGGGCCTCCCAGTCTATATTCTTTATACAGATAGAGTAAGTAAAAAAGCACATTTTATTTTCTATTTCACATTGAATTGCATTTATTTATTTCATTTGCTAAAATGTAAACCAAACCATGTCAACTGTTAAAATGAATCATTTACTAGATAGTAAATATTCCTATTAATGAAGGTGCTGGTATGTTTTTTTTATATACAATTGCTTAGAAAGTCATTTATCAGGCTGTTTTTATCCCATTTACCATTTTTGTTTTACATACATATTTTGTAATCCATTTTCTTCTAGGATTTGGAACAGTTAGAGTAGAAAAGTCCAAGATCCGCAACTTGCTTGTTAAAAATCCGCATGATTATGAACAAGTAGTTGTTATAGAGAAGTTTCCACACAAGAAAAACTTTACTGTGGATCAGATGCAGTTTGTTGTGGCTCCAAAAGATGAAGTGAGTCACCATTTATGTGTGAAATGAAACAAGCTGTTCCTCCATTGATTTCCAAGGAGAAACATCTTTGGCATGCATGCTAGATAACTGCAATACATGATAATCTTGTTTGATGTTCAATTTATTTAAATTTATCATGTTGCAAAGTTATGATTTCAATATAAGTATCAAAGGAATTCTAATGTTATATTCATTTTGAATTTTAGTTTTATTTGATCCATTGAAATGTTTGACATTAAAGTACCTTTAATTGTGCACTATTATATAATCAAGGTAATGCTCCAAATAACCTGGACCCCAACTGAGGAGGGTAATTGTCGGGAGATGATCTTGTTCCATGTAGATGGTACCTACAGATTACAGGCGTATGTTTATGGAGTCGTGGAGCCCGTACCCACACAGAAGAAGAAAAAGGTACAAAATACATTTGCTTGCATCTTAGTTGGTATTGACAAATGGTTGGCAAAAACTTTTAGAATATACAAATATTTTTCCACGTGACAGTTTGACCTTATTCTTTTTAAATTACTAGTCTTAGTATACTAAAATAGGATTAAAACACTTGCAGGAAATCTCATATTTGTATGCTTATATAATAAGAGTACATGTATTTTTGTGCAATTTTGCAGAGAAAATTCTGGACCAAGAAGCCATTACAGCCACAAAACACTGATATCCTTGGGCAGCCAAAAAGAAATCCCAAAATAATGAAACCACTGATTGCCGATCCAGATACGACTTCACTAGAGTCATATGCCTCTGATTCTGATAATTTCCCCATATATGATTCCAACAAATCTTCAATGAAAGAAATTGATTGCAATGTCCAGGTAACACCACTCGGGTCAAGCAATGAAAACATTAGACATTTAGAAACTAAATCATCACCATTGAAGTCTCAACCCGAAAACAAAGGACTTTTTCAATCCCCAAAACGACCAACTGGATTATCCCAAAGGTCTGTTTTTGTTTCACCTCAAAGAGGTAACACCAACAAGAGTATAGCAGATAGAGAAAACACACCCACGCATGCACACAAACAGTTTATATCACCCGCAACCCTACAAACTGATACACCAGAGTCCATAAAGAAATTGACGCGTGACACCACCCAGAGCCCTATTAATAATAAACCAATCAGAGTAGATTTATCTCCTGTCGCCAAAATACATAGTAAATTCCATGATACATCTATGAGGAGCCCACCAAATCAACGACGCATGTCACCATTGATCCGAACTCCTGAGAAGCAAGTTCCCTACTCAGAGGAAGGACTCCACATAGCATTGAAGAACCACTCAAAGGCATTAAAAGAGACAGCTATGGAGCTGGATACACCGATGCGGGAGCACCAGTCATCAATGAGGAACTCATCTGAGTTGTCATCATCGAACATGGACACCCCAATGAGAGAATCATTAACTAAAAGACAGATCAGCAGCACAATGAACACATCTATACAGCACAAACTACACATCAGTCCTAACTCATTCTTAGAAGACTCACTGAACCAATCAGTGCAAACCATCAACCGTCAACTCCTCGATGATAGTCTTCTCAATCAATCAGAACTCACGAGAAACCATCAAAATTTTGACGATAGTGTTCTCAGTCCTGATTCCCTTCTACACAATAATTCTGATGAGCCCTCAGACACCTTGAGTCCAGGGTCTCTCCTCGACAGCTCCATTCCACATGATGTCATGGTGAAACAGTTAGAGAATGTAAAGAAAGCCTTAAACGCTAGTCTCAATGGTGCATCCCCTGCACCAAAATTTGGGTCACCTCGCCGAAATATTGCAACACCAAATGGTCTTGGAGGTAGAAATAGCTTGAGGCCAGGGTCTAATACACCATCCAGTGGTCGAAGGTTAAGAACCAAGACTGTTACTAAGGAAAAACATACAGTAAAGCCAGATAATATTGCAATACCTGTTGTGAAAGACACACAATTCCAAGCTAAACCAAGTAATCCAATTCCATTTATTAAAGATGACAAATTCCAGCCTATCCCCGATCATCCCAGTCCCAGACGCACTACTGTGACTGTCTGTAAGGGAAAGCCTTCCACTGATAATCCAACTAGAGAGAGCTTTATTTTACACCCTCATGTACCCAACCAGGCACCAGTGGTTGGTGCACGTCATCAACTGTTCCAATCTATACCAGCTAATCCAAGCCCCAGGCGTGAAACAGTCATCCTAGATAAAGTGAAACCAATGTCTCCATTGAAGAATCAACCACATCAGAAGCAAACTGAGAGGTTCCATTCTCCAAAAGATGCTCTTAAAAATAAGCATCTGTTTCAAGAGATCCCACCTCAACCAAGCCCTCGACGTGAAACTGTGGTTCTAGACAAGGCTAAACCTATATCTCCACTCCCTGCAGCAGAGCAAAGATTACAGAGAGATGCCCTCAACTCCCTATTTAATGCAAAGAAAAATCTCTTCCAAGAGATTGAACAGCCCAGTCCAAGGAGAGAGACAGTGGTTATATCCAAAGCTAAACCAACATCTCCCTTGGTGAGTCCTCAAAAGGCTATCTTCAACCCAGTGAAAGACAACAAGATGTTCCAGGATATTCCTGCCCATCCAAGTCCACGAAGAGAAACAGTTGTTATCAACAAGGGAAAGTCTATTGGTGCAATTGCCAGTTTAATGCTCCCTCTCAGCCCTGCATCCCCTAAAAAGTTCCCACCACATAGATCAAGATCGGGTTCACCATGTACTCCTCTAGAACAGGTCAATGAAGATGAAGAGTCTGAGCCTGCAGAAGACAGAAAGAAAGATGCAGTTGACTCTCCAGTTATTAGAGGTGTATCTGAACTGGTAGCTACACCTGCGAGTCTATGTGGAACACCTTCGAACTACACACCAAATAAGAAATACTTCCCACCTCTCCAGGATATTGACTTTGAGTTCACTCCACTAAAAGTGCAACATAAAGATACTGACCATATTAAAACTGAGATCGACTTTGCATTCACTCCACTAAAAATGCAACATAAAGATACTGACCATATTGACACTGAGGTGGACTTTGTATTCACTCCACAAAAAGAACAACTTCAGAAAACTGACCATGTTAAAACTGAGATTGATTTTGAGTTCACTCCACAAAAAACGCAACCTAAAATTACTGAAAATGTCCAATCGAGGGTTGACTTTGAATTCACACCAATGAAACCACAAGCAAAAAGGAATGAAAATATTGAAATGAATAATGACTTTGAATTCACTCCTGAGAAAATTGATGAGAAGCATATGACACCTGAGCAAGAGTTTGAATTTACTCCAGAGAAATCTCCAACTAAAGTGGATCTGATTAATGAAGTTGCTAATGAAGAACCCGAAAGCCAACAAGTAGATGTAAACACACTTGAGAAAATGCATACACTATCAAAACAACCATCAACCAGCAAACAACTCTCATCACCAGAGAGACAGCTTGACAACAACTTCCATGGTATTGGATTAACCCCCACAAAATACACACCATCAAAAGCTCTCGACTTTGATGAATTTGATGCTGATGAAGATAAGGAAAACATCAAACCTGCAACTCCAATCAAGATTGAGCAATCACCTTATGAGAAACAGGGAGATAGCGAAAATGAGGACAGTAATGATAATGAGGACGACGAGTCCCTTGGGGAAGATGTTAAACCAGAACCTGAGTTGAATTCCTCTACTTTGTCCACACTGTCCACTGCAGATACCACATACTATAGTTGCACTGATGGCTTAGAGAGATCCCTCCTTAGTGATGTATCTAGTATCAATGATAATGACTCCATCAAGAGTGATGACTCAGAAGCACATAACGAAATTGATGAGATGGTAGAAGCTCTTGAAGTAGCTAACCTCAACAATATGTCAGTGTTAGGGAATCAATTGCAAAATGAAGCTGTAGACATCAAAGATGTGTATCAGTCTCCGATAAAGTCAGAAACCACTGATTTCGAGTATGAAAACAACTGCACCCCAATAGCAAGAGATCATGAAGATCCAGACACTCCAAAGGCAAGCCCAGTTGCTAGTGAACATAACACCAGTTTGGAAGCAACCAATGAGCTGAACAAGGATGCTATAGAGATAGGACCAACTGATGTAAAACCAGACATTACTAAGCAAGCCACTCCTGATAAAGTTCTCAACAATGAAGCTTGGACCATAAGTCCTGAACTGAATACAGTTAAGAAGAAACCGAGGGAGATTGCGACTGAGACAGTCACAAAGTCTTCAAGGTTTAGAAGTAGACCACCCAGCAATAGTATTACCACAGAACCTCGTGCCATTTTCTCCGCTAAAAGAACCCATAGCCAAAGTAGGAGCGAGAGTGAGACGAGACGTGTCCAGAAGCCACTAAAGAAGCTGAAGTCCCCAGAGGCTAAGATGGCTGTAAAATCTAAAAACTCAGGCACCCCAGATAGACCTATGACACGCACTATGCAGCTGAGAAGGAATGGTAAGTTAAAGATATGGTTACGTTATAAATTCTACCAATTAAAATCTGTTATTATCTATAATGCAAACAGAACCATAAATGCCTTGCCATTTGTGTATCCAAGATTAAATGGTCGTTTCTGTAGCACTGATGGCCACTTCATTCTTGTATTTTTATATTGATGATGTTTAAAGTAAACTGGTTGAATTTGATATTGTACACAGATACTCACATACGAATTCCTATATCTATTATAGCTGCCATTAAAACAAGGACAGGTCGTAGTCCACCTAAGGCACGTAAAAGTATTGGCAGCAAACCTTCAGTGAAGGGCCTTGCTAAATCTAGACTGGTACTGACTAAGAAGGCTAAAACAGGTACGTCAACCATCAAACTCTGTCCTCTCATCTAAATCTTTGAATCATCATTGTAACTCCAGCTATTTGGCCTGTTTTTTTTAAATTCATCTTGAAAATTACATCGAATCTGTTAATACGTAACTAGTATGTGCTTTATAGTTACAGTATACAAACATTGCATTGACCATATTATTTGCACCCAGATTCACACACCTGTGTATTACTGCTACAGTAAACCATTAGGAACAATGTTGACCTATTTTCAGCCCTTCCTAAACATCCTATGCCATTCGCTAGCAAGAACATGTACTATGATGAGAGGTGGATAGAGAAACAAGAGCGAGGGTTTATACGCTGGATCAACTTCATTCTTACTCCACCAGATGACACTGTTGATGCTAACAAACCAACCAATAGTAAGCATTGCTTTATTTTTGCATAATGATAATTATATTCAGGAAAATGAAAAGCCCAGATGGGGTGGGGCACCCTGTAGAAAATCTTAATTGTTCAATAACCTCTAATTGTCAATGTTTATTGATCTCATCCATCTCCAGGATGACATAATTATGTTATCACCATGAGTGGTCACATGTTATATAGCATCCAACTTTTTTGTGAGTGGTGTTTGACAGTTGGCAGTAGGTGGTCAGTGCCTGTAGCAAATGGCAGGTGGTGACATTTTGCATGTTAATGCCTTGTTCAATTTGAGGAGGCCACGTGGTGAGGTCTATGTGGAAAATATGCAGGTTTTGGCAAAGCTATGATATTCCTATATGTTACACCTCAATTACAATATATTTTTCACTCCTGTTGCTATTGATGGCTTTTGCCTCATACTTGAATCACTATCATGGCATCTGTTAGATCTGAGCACCAAGAGCACCCTAGGTCTGTTCAAAACAAACTTATTGCCCAGTAAATGTAATTCAAAGTAGATATTTGAACATTTTAGTTATGCCCAAGCATTTGTGTTATAGATATACCAAAGATAAATAAATTTACATGCAGAGTAAAAATTCAAAGGTTCAACTAAAGTTGATTTGCCCCAGAAGATGAACATTTGATAGAGGATAACATAAATATTCTATACTGCAGTATTGATGCAGGATAAACTTTACAAACATTTTCTTCCCCATAGATATACAGTACATGTACATATATTTTGGTACCATTACAATAAAATGTATCCAATTTATCTAATTATGTTTAGAGAGTATCATATTATTTTGGGCAAACTTTCATGTCAATCTTTTTGAAAGAATAGTAATAATTTTGAGATGGGCTAATTTCATTTGGCCATTTTACCCAAGCTGCACACTTAATAGAAACAGTGCACTTGGGGCCACTACTATAGAAACCAAACAAATTGGAGAAATAACAATTTTTATACCACCAAGCCCCTCCAGAGTTAATAGCACACTGTTTGTTACTACCGGCATCCTTTGTACTAAAGACCATACCATTGTGGTAAGAAAGGGAGTCCCCTGCAGTGCCACTATAACCTCCAATTGTCAATCTGTAGTTATCATGTTGGTCGCTCACATCAAATATGGAGTAGTTAGCATGGCGTGTTTCACTCTGTGGGGGCCACATGGTAAGGTAAACTCTGAGTTTATAGTTCCTTTGATTCAATAAATGATGAAGATTGTCCAGGCCAATGAAATATTCCCCTACTGGGGTTCCAAACCCTCTTTGATACTCGACCCAGCCTCTGTAAAAATCAAGACTCCCATCAAATCGCCTGGCCATGTAGACACATCCCCCACTGCAGTATACTCTGAATGAATCTTGTCCCTGTGGTTGGATTGTTCTAACACCAGTAAAGCTAGTGTCATCACTACAGTCTTTAGGCAAAGTTGCTGGAAAACGTCAAGAATATTTTTTAATGTTAGTTTAGGATCTGTATTTGCTAGTATAAACTCTTTTTTATCACACATGGTTTGGGTGAATCACTGGCGTACTCCCCTTGATCATGAAATAATCTCTAATATAAATATGATCATTCATAACAGATTTTACCTTAAAATTCTGAGGTTACCAAAATTCGCAGAATAGAGTACAATAGATGGATGTAGAAATGTGAAATTGGGAAATATTTACTCACTGTTTTGCCTATAAAAGGTTGTCATCTCACTGGTGCAAAAGTTATGCGATTGAAACCGTAATGATATTGTGTCCTCTTTGTTGTCAAATTGCCCATGGCTCAACACAAAAAAAGCTGTCTGATCATCTGGTTTATTTATCCACTGTATTCCAATCAATGCGAATGCGCCGTTTGCCTTATTTAAAGTGCCCTTAATTTCCTGTGAACCATTGACCATAGCCTCAGCTTTCCAATATGTTAGCACTCCCTGTGGTTGCATTCCCTGGTCTCCTACATCAGATATATCTATCCTGGCACTGTATTCAACATTGTTACAATCAAATGATCCTACCCATGTCCCAAGAATTCCTAAAGTAAATAGGAAAATATGATTTGTCACTTTACTTTGTGATTAAGTAGAATTTGATTTTTTTATTACTTAATGTACTGCGCTAATCAGGGGATAAGAAACACGTCCAGTATTTTTGTTCAGTACAACAGGAAATACTTGACGCAGACATCCATTTTTGTTCCAGAAAGAGGTAGGTGTAATTTAATTTTACTTACTATGATTGTTTAACAGTGTCTCCTTACCTAGGCTCATCAGATTGCCAGTACATTGGGAACATCTACTTCGTACCGGACGAAAATACTGGACGCGTTTCTATCCCCTGCTGATGTGTAAGCTGAATTACGATTAAGATAGAAAAATCCTCACTTTGAATGGACCATATCATAATATCTTTTAAGAAAAGTACAATGTGTCATACAGAAAAGAAATAATCATAAACAGATCACTCACCTGGCGTGTTAGCAGGAGCTTTGGTTGAAGCTACAAAGGTATATAGTCTATTGTTATTCATGTACAGGTACTCATATTATTCAATTACGGATAAATCAAGATTACAATTAAGATAGAAAAACCTTCATTTTACATACTAAGGCCATTAACCTGAGATCTTACAGGCTTATCAAAGACTTGTTCAGATGAAGAAATAATTATATAGAGATTACTCACATGTTGGTATGGGTTGTGTGTCATCGGCAGCAGTGGTTGTTGAAACTATAAAATAAGAATCGAGCATTATAGATAACGGTATACTTGGTCAAGGTTAATGTCTGGACCACTGCTCGAGAAGGAATTTTCTAATGTCTGCTCAATTCAAAATGGCCCCCATAATTTGTATAATACAATAATTGGTGATATCTCAAGTACCTGTTGTCAGATTATATTAAGATTTTATGTGCTTATGCCTTATGGACATTGGACTCTGCTCAAAAAGGAAGATGACTGCTAAATTCAGAAAGGCCATCTTTTTTCAGAATTAAGAATAATATTTTGCCCCCAGGGCAGATATACTATATTACCCTTGTGATGATTCCAATATCCTGAACCGAATATAGAATAATTTATATTTATCACACTTTTGGGAGCACTTTGTTACTCATGAAATAACCTGTAGCTATGAGCATTCGTAACAGATTTTACCTTAAAGTTCTGAAGTTACCACCTTTCGCAGAACAGAGTACAATAGATGGATGTAGAGATGTGATTTTGTGAAATATTTGATTACTCACTGTTTTGCCTATAAAAGGTTGTCATCTCACTTTTGCAAAGACCAGGGGATACAAAAGACATTGATATTGTTTGCTTTGTGTTGTCAAACTGCCCATTGACCAACAAAAACCAGGCTTTCTGACCAGCTGGTTGCTCGATCCACTTTATTCCAAGCAATGTGAATGCGCCGTTTGCCTTATTTAAAGTGCCCTTAATTTCCTGTGAACCATTGACCATAGCCTCAGCTTTCCAATATGTTAGCACTCCCTGTGGTTGCATTCCCTGGTCTCCTACATCAGATATATCTATCCTGGCACTGTATTCAACATTGTTACAATCAAATGATCCTACCCATGTCCCAAAAATTCCTAAAGTAAATAGGAAAATATAAATGTCACTTTGTACTTTGTGAATGTTAGTTGTTCAGGGTGCTATAGGAGTATTAACAGATAGGAGATTAGTTAAAGAAAAAATAAGCATAAACCGATTACTCACCCGATGGTGCAGGTTGTTTCTCAACAGGACCTCTGGTTGTTGTTGCTACAAAATTACAATACTTGTTATTCATGAATAGGTACACACATATTATTTTATCATCGGTAAATCAAGTAACAGTAAAAATAAAAAATTCATTTTATAATCATAAGGCCAAACTGTGAGATCTTTTAATCAGCTGATTGTAGACCTGTTCAGATGAAGAAATAATTAAATAGAGATTACTCACAAGTTTGTGTAGGTTGTGTGTCAGCAGGAGTTGTGGTTGTCGAATCTACAAAATATGAATCAATTGATATCTCAAATATGAGTTGTCAGATAAGATCAATCAAGATTTTATGATTTCTTTTTATTTTATAGAAATTTTTAATTGTGTCCTGTCATGTGTAAATTTTGACAAAAAGAGAAAATACCACTGCCTTATTATTTGTTTCATGGAATGTTGAAAATGACAATTGATCTGAAAAAATATGTATTTGTTAAGTTGAATATGCTACCCTGAGGACTTGTCATTTCTTTGGGAAATTTTTTTGCACCTTTTGATTCACACTGTGTACTTTTCTGCATTTTTTCCAAATAATCTTTTATGAGAGCCACATCACTTTTCATATCATCTACTTTATCATTTATTTCTTTCACTTTAGCATTTACTTGCTCAATGGTGGTCCTGGCCTTTGTCACATTATTCTTAATCTCTACAACATTTTCATCATTTTTAATGCAACAATTTTGTGCCTCTGTTTTGAATCCACTCAATTTTGTATCAAGTATTTCAATGTCTGATTTAATCTTGTCAACATCATTTTTTATTTCTTCTGCTTTAGCATTCACTTCTGCAATGGTTGATCCAGTCTTTGTCACATTATACTTAATTTCTTCAACATTGACATGAAGTGTCTCATCTTCCCCATTTTTGGTGCAGCAATTCTGTGTTTCAGTTTTTAACTCCTCAATCTGTGTGCTCAAATGTGTATCAAGGTTGTCAATATGTGTTTTCTTGCAAGTTGCAACGTTATTTCCCGATGGCTTCTTTCTTCTCTTTTTCTTTGCTTCAGTATTGCCCAAATGAACTAGTCCAATGAGCAAAACTATAAACAGCAGTTTAAGATACATGGTTGTAACTCAATGTGCTGTGATACAATGCGATCAGTTGTGTGTGTTACTGAATTGAATCGTTGTTGGTAGTTACATCATGTTTGAAATGGTGTTCATCATTTATTTAATCAGCCTCATCTGCATCAAAAACACATAACATCAAGGTGTGTTCTCGTTAAGTCTCTTTGAAACAAAAATTTGCATCACTCATTTGAATATGAAATCGTCTAGTTTCACAATTGAGATGCAAATGGTTCTAAACAATAACATGAAAAAACAATTCTGCTCAAATGTATTCCCAATTCTTTTTATTTTCAAATATTTTCAAATATGGGGTCAGTAGGTTTTCAGGTGGAGCAAGCCTGTTTTACGATCCCAAGTGGGTGCAGCACCAACTTTCTTCAATCCCGGGCAGATCACTTTGGCCGAGAGTAATAATAGTCATATTGACTATGGATTGCCCATTTAAAACTATTGATCTGTTTTCATTTTTGTAATCAAATAATAAAAGTACATGTAATATACCATCAAAATTCTTTGAAGCTGCAAGAAGTTTTAATTAGCAAATATCGGACCTGTCACGTCAATAAATGTTGATTGAGTTTGTGTTTCTAAAACAAAAAAGACATAAATCTATGTTGGAAATGTACATTATTTATTGGAAATAGTTATGGAAAATTATGAACAGCAAGCGACGAATTGAAAAGCATTTTCCTAAATAATACAATATGGAATTGTGAGATTTTTCTTGAAAGAAGTTTTGTATATAAAAATGTGTAACTGATTTTCTTTATGTGGGCATATAAAACACATGGTGATAATTTATTGCTAATTTAAAAGTTTTTGATTCGTATGATGTATTAATCATTTACAATGAAGTTTTAGAAAAAATGTTTTAAAGTTGTCTGGATAGTCTGGATATTGTACATATGTTTCAACATAGAAAGCACATGGTGACTACTAGTATTCATTAGCCATTTAAAAATATTGATCAGTTTTATGTTTCTATATATCAGATAATATTGTAATACCAAAAGTCTTAATATGAGTTGAATTTGAATTTGAAGACAAAATTATTTATACCTTGTTATAGTATTTATACAAGTCTCCTCCTGAACCATTGTATTTTATATTTGTTAAATAGTGAAATATTCTCAGTAACATATATTCACATTTATATTATTTAATAAATTGCAATTAATCTCTGGAATCTAAAAACCTCTAAAAAACTTGGTAAGGGTGCAAGGCTTAAAATATATATCATAATTACCATGGACATTCCATGTACTGTAGTTACCCAATGTTCAATTTTTGGAGGTTTGACCAAATATGAAGACACCTTGGGAGATTAATATTAATATTCAGTATCCCTATTGATAGGACAAATTGCAGTCTTAAATTTTAATGAAATGAGTTATTGAATAGTTTATGCTCTCTGTATTTTAATGAAATAATAAAATACCTTTTCAAAGGTAAAACACCGTGCCATATTTCTTATTATAAATGTTTGTAGTTTATATTTAAATGTATTTCAACTTGTAACTCTCTATTAATTAGAGGTAAATAAATATACAATACAATACAATTAGTGAGTTATACAAAAATAGCCAGCAACAATACAGTGTACCCCCCCCCCCCCCCAGGTATTATTGTAACCAAAATAAAGTAATTATTATCCTCTTCTGTTTAGTTGATGCTGGCCGCTTGTGCGTTGACATTCTTTCCGGAAACCCTGAGTTCAAGCTTGCTCCAACCAAAGAAGACCTCTCCCTGCGTGCATACACTGCAAGGAGAAAATTAAACAGACTGAGGAAGGGCGCAATCAAACTGTTTCAGTCAAGCAATATCGTGAAAGTTGTCCACAAAGTTGAGATTGAAATTGAGACTAAGAGACTCCTGGTGAGGAAAGACAGGAAAATACATGCAGATGTGGGTTAGTGGAAATAATTAAGATTAAACTGACTAACGATGAGATAAACATACAAACAATCAAATACATATATATAACCTGGCAAACAATAAAATGTTAAATCAGACAAAAAATACAAAACGGATAAAAAACTGAACAAAATACCAAGAAAAAGATACAAAATAATTCAAGATTTAATGCTTACTGTTCCTACATAATTATTTCATATTTCTAGGTATAAAGCAGACCATACTTGAACTGCTGCTCAGTTACAGCCCATTATGGCTCAGGATTGGTCTAGAGGTAGGAAATGTCTTCTGACTTGAAAACTTATTCCTTGATTATTTCACTATATTCAATTCAGCATTTTATTGAGCTTATTTAAGATAGACATTTGATCAGAGTTACACTTGACAAGTGCATATTTAATTGAATGAGATCATTCAATATTCTTCCAGACAATCTATGGCGAGATGCTGCCTGTACAGAACAACAGTGATGTCATAGGTATCTCACGATTTATCGTGACTCGCCTCTTGAGTAATCCAGATATTGCCGCCCAGTACTCTCATCCTACAGTGCCGAACTTGTATAAAGATGGTAAGGAGCTTTAACACTTTAATTGTCTGTTTAGAGGAAATTATTATGATTTCAGAATTACATGAACTTGTTAGAACAGAAATAAGTCATATATCAAATATTACACTCTGAACACTTAATTCGGGAATCTGTAACTTCATGTTGTTTGGGGTCAAGAATTGATCTCAGTTGGACGTGTTCTTTTCTGACTGCTCATTCATTATAAAATTTACAGGACATTGTCACAATGCTTATGTATAGGCTAGTGCTTATATGTGGTCTGACCCAGATGTTATATGTTTTATTAAATGCCTGTGTTACATATGTATGATGTTGAGAAAAAGTATTAGTCAAAGTTCCAACACTCCTTACCAGATGGCTTTAGATAATTGAGGCAGAGAGAAAATACATGTAAACACTGGACATTGTTGCTGACATTGTCAAACGATTGACAATTTCAAGTGAATGCTATGATTATTATTACTATGCTTTAACTGTAGGGTATGATGAGAGCCTGGCCCAGTTTATCCTGAAGAAGTTCATTTTGCTGGTGTTCTTCTTGGATAAAGCCAAGTCTTCACGCCTCATCGATCATGACCCCTGTCTCTTTTGTAAAGATGCAGATCTAAAAGTAAGTCTCCATGGTCGGCGTCCATTTCTAATACAGATCCTTGATTTATAGTGCATGAATTCAGATTAACATACACATAATATCATTATTCAAAGCAAAATTACTTCAGATACTATAAACGTGTGCTTTCAGTTCCTGAGGAATTACAAATATATTTTAATTAAAGTAAATCATCAGAAATGATAAATCTTTAAAACAAAAATATAGTTAAGAATGTTTTAAATTTCAGGCAAGCAAAGATTTGTTGATTCACTTCTCGAGGGATTATTTGAGCGGGGAAGGGGACATTACTAAACATTTAAGCTACCTTGGCCTAACAGTCAGCCACGTTCAGACCCCTCTAGCAGAGTTTGACTATGCTGTCACCAAGCTAGCTGTGGACCTTAAAGATGGAATTCGCCTGACGTGAGTGTTTGCTTTAATCTTTAATGCTGATTTGCTGAACATCAAAGATACTTCATTCAGTGTTCAGGGCATGATATGCTTTAAGACTACTATACGGTGCAGCACCACAGTCTGTCCAACTTCATTTGCAACCCTTTGTCTATATCACAATTGTCACTACAGTCTTGCGTACAATAGATGATAATATTTTAAAATGAATAAAAAATAAATATGATTTTACCAATTTTCTACATAACCTAAATGCTCCCTGCTAAGACCCCTTGTGTTCCATGCCATTTATTTCATTATTAAATGGTTCAAGTTAACAACAAAAAAGTAAGCAGAAGTAATGTGCCTCGTTACTTTTTTTACAATATGGTTTTCAAGGAAATTTTCAATTCTTCTGTCATCCTATTCCCTGTCAAATTATCTACACATCTTTGATAACAAAAGGAATGTGCCATCCATACACTTTTTGTCTTGACATTTAATAATATAACTCATTTAATAGATTTATATTTATTGTTGTTTAGTCGTATGATTGAGCTGTTGACTCATAATTGGGAACTGACAAAGAAGATGCGCTGTCCAGCCATAAGTCGACTCCAGAAGATCCACAACATGGAGGTTGTCTTTAAAGCATTGAGAGAGAACAACCTGGATCCTGAAACAGCTGAAGGTAATGTCAGAATACCACTTTTTAGTTTGTATAATATGTTCAGTTTGTCATCATATTGAATGTAAAGGTTGTCAAAATATGTTCTCCCCCTCCCCATACAGCTTTCTCTTGTTTCTTGTTCTTGATTGTGTACATATTATTGCTTTGTGATGTTCATTAAAGTCATAGCAAAATATGTTTTGTACCCTTTTTTGAATTGCTTTACTTGAAAATGTTAGTTTTGTTAAAGCAGATATGAAATGGTATTTTTAACCTAAAGGAATCAATATAATTTTTTGATAAATGTATTTGGACATGTTTTCTCATCAGTAGTGTGAAAATTATTTCACTCTAACGATAGTTATAGCTGCTTAATAAGCAATATTCGACTTGGTTGTGACGTTATTGGCCCCCACGTGATCTCTCACTGGTCCCCATGTGGCCCATTTTGGTCCATTAGATCATGACATCATAATGCCAAAATGTTTTGTTATTTGTTTACACAACAATCTTATGGTTACCGTGACATTGTGATTACTAAGGAACCAATAAACCAAAGCTATATTTTTTTGTATGTGACGTTACTAATCACGTGGGGGCCAATTTGATTGATCAGTTAGTTTTATTTCGTTATCTATGACCGTTAGCACTTATTTAACATTTTTTTATAATAGCTATCGCAAGAACTCTACGTTGGGCTTACAATGGAGGAAACCGCATTTTTGTAGCTGCAAGTTGAGAAAAGCTATTTCAGTTGTCCTTTAATATGTAATGTATTGTTATTTCTGTATTTAGGTGGCAATGTTAAGCTGAGAGACGTGGTGGATGGTCACTGTGAGAAAACACTTGCTCTGCTCTGGAGAATCATCTTCCGCTTCCAGGTGACATATATTTCATAATTTATGGAACAATGTGTATATTGTCTGATATTCTATTCCAATTAAATGTTAAACAACTGCAACTGTTTATGAAAGGGCCTTTAACACCCTCCCACAAAAGTAAAATAATTTATGTTGTTTTCAGCATGATCATGTGTTCTTCTTGTTTGTAGGTATCTATGGTACTCAACATGACACAGTTGAAAGATGAGATAGACTTCCTCTCTAAAGACTTGAAAGTGAAGTCAGCCCTTGTGAAAATTAGCAAACTAGAACAGGGTAAGACATTTTAGATCCTAGGAATGATTTTCAGTTTAATTATCTGACAATTGAATACTGTATTTGAAAAATATGACAAGTGAACACTAATATTCAAACAGTTTATCGAGAGTCTCATTATGCGTCAAAACACCAGTTGATAAAACTGCTATTATAGTTAATGTGATTCTTACAGTACATGAAGAGGAAGATACTGGTCCAGAGAGTGACATGATGCTGCACAATAAAGACCTGGAGATGCTGATGAAATGGTGCCAGTGTGTATGTGCATACTATGATATAAAGGTATGCAAATGAACTTCTGTACAGGCCTTTAAAGTGTGCGCCTGACCCGGCTACGTATAGCACAGAGTTTATACTGGCGGATTAGACTAGTTCATTTTTTATATGTGTGTGAAAGCTTTCTCTTATTTGCGTTTTTTCGTTTAGTACGGTTTTGTTATAATTGCCGAGGTCATATAACCGGGATAAAACAATGATTATCGTTGACTGCCCACACACAAAACATACGTTGAGTGAACAGTGTAATTACAAACAACAGGCTTTAGAATACAAAGCGTAGTGTGATAATAAGCTGCACACTACCACTGCTGCATGTACATATTACTAATTTACTAGGGCTCCCAAAGAGTGGATAGGGAGGATGTGTTTGTCACTTTTAAATTTTACATTTCAAAATTGTCATTTTACATGTCATAATTTGTTGGTTTCATTCGTTTAGCCAATCAAAACATTGTAAAACAATAAATTGTCTGTTACGTACAATCAATTTTGTTCAGTTTTGATTAGTTGTCAGAATAAAGTTACGTTCATCTGAATCCATGTATCAAAACAAAAATCCTATTTTCACTTCAAAATACTTCAGTGAGATGAAGGCTCGGAATTGTCACATGCAATAACTTATTGTCGTATTCGTTATTTTATCTTCTCGATAGTAGCATTTAGTCGCACAGGTCACCTTGTCGCGTACCTCTTGGGGAACCCCACATTTATGTGTGTACTCATGGAAGTAAATTCCCCGGTGTAGCCGAGAGCCACAAACTTTTCAACAGGTTCGAAATGACCAATTTCTCTCATATATACTCTAAATATTTTATTATTTAGCACCTACAAAGTATTGCTAATAACCATATGTAATTTCAATAAGGAAACTTATCTGGCTACATATAAATTCAATATCAACACTAGCTGTTCTCTCAACACATCCTGGCTTACCTTGTGGTGACAAACCCTGGGTTTTCGCTATTTATAGTTTATCAACACCTGGACGCATGCGCATTTTATACTTTATCGGGCACTTTAAGGACATTGTACTGTCATTACCCAGGATGTTTTTTCCAAAGATATTGTAAATTACAATTTCATCCCCCTTGGATCGTATTGTTCTATCTGGAACTTTCAGTAGCCCTAGATATTTAAAAATACTAAATACATTGTGTAATTTATTGCTTATTGATCTGTTTTACAGACATTTGACATTTTCACTTGTCACGTACTGAAATATCTCAAGAACATGTATCAGATTTCAGTGATTTCTACACATTTTAGCTTGAAAACTTCAGTATATTCTCTTGTGCCAATTTCAATATATTCTTCCATTTTAGATTGACAACTTCAGTGTATCCTTCAGTGATGGTAGAGCTCTGTGTTATCTAGTACACCACTACCACCCTAGCCTCTTAGAGTCCCAATACATACAGCACAACACCACTCAGTCCCTCAATGATGAGAATGATGTTGCTAACTCTAGCATGGACAGCAATGATAGCTTCTCCAACTGGACCAGGTGCCTCAGCCCAAGTAAGTTCATTTCAATCTCAGATTTTTCGCTGAAGCTGTTCATGGACATGATATTTTGAAAGTAATTTAAAGACCTTTGTAGAAATATTGAAACTGAGTTTTCAGGGAGTTTGTAGGGAGCTACACATTACCTTTCATGTTACAGTTTTCATCTTAAATGATGAGATGTACGATACATAGATAAGTTCCATAATTGCTTTGTGTAATCAGCAAAACATGTACATGTATTGCTGTATTTTAGGTAAGGGAGGCCCAGAAATGTATGAGAAACTCTTGGCCAACGAGAAGTCAAACTTCAGGCTGCTCAATGAAAAGGTAATATTAATTCAATCAGTTATTTTTGAAAATACACTCTATATTATCAACTTCTAAGGGTTATAATTTGTAAAGACTTTAAATTAGAGTACAATCATGTTAGGGGTATCCAAAATAAATCGAGAATGAAGATAGAAGTGTGAAACATAATATAGCATCTTGTTCTATATTCCCTAAAAATATAACTTCAATTAGATTCATATGTGGCTACCCAAATAAAGCTTGAGGTTTTATTCTCCTTTTGAAATTATTTCCGTATCTCATAATTGTCCAGGTGTCAGAGCTAGGTAGTGTTCCTATGATGATCAAGTCAAGTGAGATGTCCAATACATTCCCTGATGAGAAGATAGTGATCACATACATTACATACCTGTGTGCTAGGCTGTTAGATATACGTCAAGAGACAAGGGCAGCCAGGGTCATACAGAATGCCTGGAGGAGACACCAGCTTAATAAACAACTAGAGGCTTATAAGGTTTGTAATCATTAAATACAATGTATTTCTTCTCATACTGAAATCTTGACATGTTGTTTGAGCCACTTATTTTTGTTCAGTATGTGTTACTTTTTTGTAACTTTTTTCGAGTGATGACATTTTTTCTTGTTCATGCTTTTTAAAATGTTCTAGCATGCAGTTATGTATTAGGTATTATGATGCTACCTGTTGAAATATTGACTTATTTTTATCAGAATAGGGAAAATTAGAAGATTTTGCATTCTGTTAAGAAAGATCCTGAAGAAGTGACTGAATATAATAAAATATTCATTTTTGAAGTTGAATTTTAAAAAGTCTTATGTGTTTCTTGTGTATTTCAGGCCAAAACAGATGCTGTGGTGACCATTCAGAGAGCTGTTCGAGTTTTCTTGGACAGGTGTCGTAACCAGCGCCATTTAATCGCGATAGTCACTCTGCAGAAATATTGCAGAGGGGCCCTGGCTAGGAAGATCCATAAAGAAAAAGTTCAAGAAAAACTCAAGTCCAAAGCAGTAATCACTCTGCAAAAATATTGGAGAGGGGCCCTGGCTAGGAAGATCCATGAAGAAATAGTTCAAGAAAAACTCAAGTCCAAAGCAGTTATCACTCTGCAAAAATACTGGAGAGGGGTCCTGGCTAGGAAGATTTATAAAGAAATAGTTCACGAAAAACTCAAATCCAAAGCAGTAGTCACTCTGCAAAAATACTGGAGAGGGGCCCTGGCTAGGAAGATCCATCAAGAAGTACTACAAAATAAACTCAAATCCAAAGCTGTAGTCACTTTGCAGAGATGTTGGAGGGGAGTTCTTGATCGCCGTATGGTAGCTAAAATACATGTTGAAAGATTGGAACAGAAAAAACAGATCGCAACTATTAAATTACAGGTATTTCAGAACAACCTCATGAATCTCTTTACCATATTGTAAACAAATGGCATTCAGCTCCTGTAAATATATAGTTTCATTCACTACTCCTTAAGCCTTTTACACAACCCCAAAGTATCATTATGCGTTGTTATCCATTTAATACATGCAGTAGTTACAGAAGTCTCTATCGTCTAGCATTTTTGTTTTCTAAATACCATAGGATGAAGGTCTATAGGCTGTGATCTGAGTCACTTCATTCGGGTGAAACATGTTGAATTCTCATGTCTATACCTTTTCATTGTTACTTTTCCAGTCCTGTATTAGAGGCTTCCTAGCTAGAAGAAAGTACTTACAGGTAAAGCAAGCAGTTGTGAGTGTACAGTCCAATGTACGCTGCTACCAGGCTAGGAGACGTTACCTTCAACAGAGAGCAGCCCTTATCACTATACAGAGAGCATTGAGGGCAATGTTGGAAAGGAGGATAGCTGTGAAAGTTGCCGCCAGTCGACACAATGCAGCCGTTTGTATTCAAAATGCACTCAGAAAACACCAGGTATGTTTAAGTGGTTTCAGTATTCACAATACAAGAATTAATTTTGGAAAGGTTTTCAATATTCACAAGACTTTGGAAAAGGTTTTTATTTTATTCATGTTATCTACTCATAAATGCATAACAATTTATTTCATTTAACACGGATATGAATATGACTAATGTGAATGTATTAATTCATGGCTCATTAAGCACATCTTCTATATAACCAGTAAAATACTAATTTTTCAGGCGAAGAAATTACAAGCCAGGAATATGGCTGCATCAAAGATCCAAGCCAGTTGGCGATGTCACACATCACGTCACCTTTATCTCAGCCAGCGTGTTGCATCTATCACCATTCAGGCACACTTCAGAGGTGCCCAGCAACAGATGGTGTTTAAAAAGATGAAGTCAAGCACCATGGTGATACAAAAGTGGTATAAGGGGGTATGTCAGACAAGGCAACAGCGCATTGTATTCCTTAACCAGAAGCAAAGCTGTGTTACAATTCAGAAATACTTCAGAGGTTTTCTTGTGAGGAGTGATTTAAGGAAGCAGCACAAAGCAGCTGTGGCTATACAGAGTCAGTTAAGGGGATATATTCAGCGTAATAAATACACCAAAATGAGGAAAGCAGCCATGTTGATTCAATCTCACATAAGGGCATTTATCAATGGACAAATCTCGAGGAGGGAAGCTTTAAGGCGTAAAGCTGCCATCTTGATTCTACAACATCATTTCATTGAATGGCGTAAACAGGTGTCTTATAAGGAGCATGCTGCAGCCAGGTGTATACAAACAGCATACAGGAGGTACAGATCCAGAATGCAATACCTACATGTTAGAAATGCTTCCTTTGTTATCCAATCATATGTCAGAATGAGCCAAGCGAAACGTTTATTTACAGCACAGAGAGCAGCCATTAGTGTGTTACAGAAATACACAAGAGCTTGGTTATCTGGGAAACAAGCAAGAGTTGATTTCCAAACAAAGCGTGTTGCTGCTACGACAATACAGTCTGCTTTCAGGGCATATATTTGCCGTAAGCGAGCACAAGAGTCCAGAGCTGCAACTTTGATACAAGCCTCATTCAGATCATTCCAAGCTAGACAACAATTTATTCAACAGAAAGAGGCAGTAGTTATCCTCCAGGCTAATGTTAGGGCATACCTCACAAGACAACATTTCCTTAGAGTTAAGGCAGCTGCCATTGTGATCCAGACACACTACAGGGCATGTGTCCTACAAAGACAATTCACGATAGAGTATCAGGCGATGCGCCAAGCTGCTGTGAGCATCCAGTCTGCATTTAGAGGATTTGCCACATATAGGAGGTTCAACACTATGAAATTAGGATTCACCAAGCTCCAGGCTGTACATCGATGTAACATTCAGGTTGCCAGGTACCAGCAACAGAGACAGGCTGCCATTGTCATACAGAGAAGTTTCAGGATGTATATAGTTGCTAGGAAACAGCAAGAGGAGATGCTGAGACTTGATGCAGCTGCAACTACCATCCAAACACAATGGAGGATGCACTGTGCACATGCTAGGTACAACATACTGAGGAAGGGAGTCATATGCCTCCAAGCCATACACAGAAGAAATCTAGCCAGAACTGAATATATCATTAAACAAAAGGCTGCAATAGTCATTCAACAGCACTTAAGAGGATACCTGAAAACCAAAGCTGCTATGACAGAATACAAACAGTCCAGAAGTGCTGCAGTTTGCATTCAGAGTGCTGTCAGAATGTATGCTGAAAGGAAGAGGTATCAAACATTGAGATCTGGAGTGATCAACTTACAAGCCATCCACAGAAGGAACATTGCACAGACAGAGTATGCTGACCAGAAGAGAGCAGCCTGTGTAATCCAGCAGGGATACAGATCTTATATTGCCATGACAAATGCATCTAAGGAGTACAAGATGAAGAGAGATGCTATCATTAAGATCCAATCCATGTGGAGAGGAAATGTAGAGAGGAGAGCATACTTAAGATTACGACAAGCTGTGATAACACTCCAGTCACTGCACAGACGTAATCAAGCCCAAATGGAGTTCCAAGATACAAAGAGAGCCGCAGTGCTTATTCAGAGGTTCTACAGAGGTTACAAACTGAAGCAGCTCAACCAGGCAGATTTCAATCTCAAGAAGAATGCTGTGTCTGCCATTGCTGCTGCATGGAGAATGTACAAAGTGACATGCCAGTATAGAAGGCAACAGCAAGCCATTCTCACTCTCCAGGCATATACAAGAGGTGCCCTTGTAAGGCAACATGTCAGAAAGATGCACCAAGCTGCCAAAATAATCCAAATGAGATACAAGGCGCACCAAGTGGGGACCCAGCAATATAGACAATACCATATTACCAGGGGAGCCACAATAACTTTACAATGTGCTTTCAGAACCATGATCTACAGAAGAAAATACAAGAAAACCCGGGAAGCTATTGTGAAAATTCAGTCTTACATCAGATGTCATTTTGCAAGAAAACACTACCTGAAACTTAAATCAACTTGTGTCACACTACAAAGATGTGTACGGGCCAATCAGAAGGCTAAACGAGACCAGGAATCCTATCACATGACAAGAGGTGCCGCTATTATAATTCAGTCCCTTTTTAGAAGACGTAAGGCAATGATGGCTTTTGATAAGACTATTCAAAGCATTGTGATGATTCAACGCACATACAGAGCATATGCATGCAGAAAAGAGTTTCTCCAGAAAAGAAATGCAGCAATCACCCTGCAGAGATACATTAGGAGTTACCAGTTAACTCAAAGACTGCACATTGAGTACATGATACTCAGAGGAGCTACAATTACATTACAAGCAGGACTAAAGGGTATGCTAGCACGTAGATGGTACACAACCATGAGACAATCTGCCGTTATCATCCAATCTAAGTACAGAGGTTACATAGCAAGAAAAACCTTCTTACAAAAGAAATCTGCAGCAGTCTGTATTCAAAGTCACCTCAGGGCAACAATAGCTAGAAACCAACAGGTGGTAGCTTACAAGACACAATGTAATGCCATAATTACCTTACAGGCTAACATCAGGGGCTATCTATCCAGAAAACAACTTCAGGCTCAACATGTAGCTGCTGAATTGATCCAGAGGCGGTATAGAACTCACATGTGCCAGAAGGAGTATATGGCAAAAAGAACAGCTGTCTGTACACTACAGAGGTACATTAGGAGTTATCAGTTAACACAGAGACTGCACATGGAGTATATGATCCTCAGAGGAGCTACAATTACACTACAAGCAGGACTGAAGGGTATGCTAGCACGTAGATGGTACACAACCATGAGACAATCTGCTGTCATCATCCAATCTAAGTACAGAGGTTATGTAGCAAGAAAAACCTTCTTACAACAGAGATCTGCAGCAGTCAGCATCCAAACTCACCTCAGGGCAACAAAAGCTAGAAACCAACAGGTGGTAGCTTACAAAACACAACGTAATGCCATAATCACCTTACAGGCTAACATCAGGGGTTATCTATCCAGAAAACAACTTCAGGCTCAACATGTAGCTGCTGAATTGATCCAGAGGCGGTATAGAACTCACATGTGCCAGAAGGAGTATATGGCAAAAAGAAGAGCTGTCTGTACACTACAGAGGTACATTAGGGGATATCTCAAAACTAAAACATGTCAGCAGGAGTTTAGCCATATGAAACACAGTGCTATTGTGATACAGTCCCTCTTCAGAGGCTATTTAGTCAGAAAACAGCTGCAGGTTAGAGCAGCTGAGCTGCAGCTTAGAAACACTGCAGCTGTAGCAATACAGGCTGCCTATAGAGGATACACAGCTAGAATGAATTATGTACGACAGTGTGAGGCCACAAAGATCATCCAAATGTACTGGAGGGCTACATTAGAGGCACGCGAGGTCCAGAGGCAGTATAACATTATCCAAGGGGCCACTATTACCATACAGGCATTCTGCAAGGGTTATTTAGAGAGGAGACAATACCAGACTATGAAGCAAGGGATTTGTAGACTTCAAGCTACAGTGAGGTGCAGACTGCAGTGTCAGAGATATCAAACACTGAAACATGCAGCTAGGGTCATTCAGTGCAGATACAGGGCACAGAAACAATGTTGTGATGTACAGTTGGAGTATAAACAAAAGTGTACAGCCGCATTAACCATACAAAGATACTACAGAGTGTACAAAGTGAGACAGTCAGAACGACAAACAAAGGCAGCAGTCTTGATCCAGGCTACATACAGAATGTACCAACAACGAACAACCTACCTCCATACACTGAAGAACATCGCAACCATCCAGGCTCTGGTAAGAGGCAGACTTGCAAGGAGGCACTACCAGGCAATGAGGACCAAAGTCATCTGTCTACAGAGACGTGCAAGGGCTTATATCGAAGGGAAGCAAGCTAGACTCGACTACCATATAACACGTGGTGCAGTGATCACTATTCAGGCATGGGCCAGGGGATGGTTCGACAGGTGCTATGTCAACCAGCTACTGGAGGAACAAAGAGAGAAGGTAATATCCCATACATACATTTCACACTTAATTCTAAACATATTCACTTTAATTGTTGGACTAGTTATTAGGTAACAGTCAGATTTGTTTTATTATTAAACTGTCCTCCATTTATTTCAGGAAAGACAAGAAAAAAGAAAAGAATTCCTACATCATTTCTCAACTGTAGCAAAGCGCCATCTATCAGTTATGATCATACAGGGCTGCTACCGGCGCCATCTGGCACTGAAGGCAGCCAAGCAGCAGCTGCATTCTATCATTCTTATACAGGTGAGAATTACTGTCATATGACTAAGAATTATTGACTTTCTATATTATAGTAAATTGAAAGTGACCTATTATATTAGAGTCAATGAAAGATATATAGTAAGTTGAGTATACACTCTACACTCACACATTCACGATTGACGGGAAATAGATAGAATGAGGATCAGAAGCAAGACTTCTGCATATGGTAATGATTACGTTTTAAAAATGTAAAGAGTGTATGAATTTCTTATTGTAGCGATGGTTACGTGCCAAGCTGGAAAGAGTCCACTACTTGAAGCTGGTCCGTGGGGTTCGTCAGCTGCAGGTTGTAGTACGGGCTAGGCTGTCACATAGAAATGCTGCAGCTATCACCCTCCAAGCTGCAGCTAGAGTCTGGCTAGCAAAGAGACAAGTCTCACGCATGCATAAAGCAGCTACTAAAATCCAGGTAAACCTAGTTTGTGCACTATTTCTGTGTTTTTTTTTGCAATTCAGTTTCTTATTGGAAGGGGTAGGAAACCAGTTTGAAATTCAACTTCAAAGCATGTGTGATTTTGTAAACCTTGTACTGTTGAATGTTAACGCAATTCAACAATCAATTTTTTTACTCAACACAATTCGATAAAATCTTCTGAGTGCTTGTGAATGCTTTTCGGTACTTACTTTAGCGAGCATCGTTTATAGTCCTGCTTGCTAGAATGTTTAGATTTGAGCTTTTTTATAAGGCAGCTCAGCTACAAAACTTAACAAAATTGCAATGGATTTTCTATTTATAATGAATATAGAGTAAAGCTATATATTCTTTTTGGTATACTACCTGTTCTGTAGAATAAAAACACACGAAGATATATTAACCCTTTCAGTGCATATGGAGGGGTAGAAAACTGCGTAATGAGCAGAAGAACAAGAAGATTACAGTGGCCAGGAAGAGGATAGAGGAGGCCACGAGGAATGCCACTGAGGAGAAGAAACTTGTTAACAGGACATCCTCAGCCCTGGATTACCTACTCCAATATAAACAACTGTCTTATATACTTGAGGCTGTCATGCACTTGGGTTGGTTTATTATTTTAACTACCTCTTTTATTTGATGATTCATTTTAGTATTGGACATTTTTTAGTAAATCTTTTTTCTTATAAAAAAGTATTTGACATTAAATGATATGAAACAGGTCAAAAATAAAAAGCATCAGCTGACATTGAAACAACACAATTATGAAACATTAAGGGGTTGTTTAAAACATCTTAGATGCTCTAACAGTGCTGGCTACTGATATGCTTCATCAGCAGTCTCACTCCCCTTGTGTTCGGGATTAAGTTATAGGTATCCTTTTGAGGTAACAAGGCACAGAAATAATAATTGCTAGAATCTGTAAATGTAAAGCACTGCTGTATATGTGCTGTTGATACTACCATGTAAAGCTGCTTGTTCTACAATACAATTCTTATGTTTTAGATGTTGCCACAAAGCTTTCTTCAAGATGCTGCGAGCGTATGGTTGAGGGCAATGCAGTGTGTGTGCTATACACTCTCATAAAGAGCTGCAACAGAAGTCTTCCACATATGGAAATTATCAAGTTCTGTGTCAGCATTCTGCTCAATCTGGCCAAGGTTTGTAGAGATTTAATCTGTCAGAATCATTTCAGAACATGTTAATAAACTTGGAGACATACATGTATACACTATACATAGTTATGTTTATTATGCACCTCATTAAAATACTCAAATCTGATTGGTCAAGAGCTGCAGGGTCTATTGCCATACGTGGCAGCAAGATTTTGTTCTATCCAGTATTGAAGCAACTAGATCTCCAACCATCCTGTATGCCAGAATACCTATCCTCGAAAAAAATACTAGGCTCGGCTTCTGTTAGAGTAGACCCTTTCTTTAAAATAAAGTATTTCTCAAGGGAGGTGCATAATAAAATAGATACTGGATGACCATGATGTGGATATGCCAGAATACCTATCCTCGAAAAGGCTTCGCCACGCCTAGTATTTTTTTCCTGGGATAGGTATTCTGGCATATCCACCTCTTGGTCATCCAGTATTTGTTTAATACACTATACATAGTTTATGATTGATTTGACGGCTGCTGTACTATTTACCTACCATTACCCTGAGAAAACACGACTAAACATATTCATATGCCAATATATGTTTTACTTCTGCTCAACTGGCTTTACTTGTAAAGTATACAGAGAAGCCATCAGAAATATTCCATTAAATGTACATTGATGTATACTTAAAGTAATAATAGAAAAGGAAAAGTTTAGCACTCACTATTTTTTCACAAAAAATGATGGCCTGTTTTCCACTCCAGTATGACAAGACTGTAGATGCTGTGCTAGAAGTGGAAGATTCCATTTCTGTGCTGCTGGAACTCATGCAGATCTACCGTGAGAAGGGTGTCATCTTTAATAACTGCTGTTTGATCCTCACTATCCTTGGCTCAGATAAACTCAGGAAGGAGGTTAGTGCTTGAGGTTTATTATCCCACTGAACGAAGTTCGAGGGGGATATAGAGAAGCCGTCCGTTTGTTTGTCCGTGTGTCCGGGCGATAACTCCAATACCGGTTGACGGATTTGGTTCAAATTTTATAGGCTTATGCCTTATGAGTGTAGGACCTCTGCTCGAGAAGGAATTTTCAATATGGCCGCTCAATTCAAAATGGCCGCCATTTTTCGTAAAAAATGTAATCATTGATAACTCAAATACAAGTTGACGGATTTGGTTCAAATTGTATATGCTGATGCCTAGGGACAAAGGAGTTTCGCACAAAAAGAGATTTTCAAGATGGCCACTTAATTTCAAAATGGCGGCCATTTTTCGTAAAAATATGTAATCTTTGATTACTCAAATACCAGTGAACAGATTTGGTTCAAATTTTATATGATGATGCTTAGGGACACAGTAGCTATGTTCGAAAATTTTTTTTCAAGATGGCCGCTTAATTTCAAAATGGCGGCAATTTTTCGTAAAAAACGTAATCTTTGATAACTCAAATACCAGTGAACAGATTTGGTTGAAATTTTATATGATTATGCCTAGGGACACAGTAGCTCTGTTCAAGAAATAATTTTCAAGATGGCCGCTGAATTTCAAGATGGCGGCCAATTTTTGTAAAAAACGTAATCTTTGATAACTCATATACATGTACCAGTGAACGGATTTGGTTCAAATTTTATATGATGATGCCTAGTTCACAATGGTATAAACTAACGTTGTGCCAAATTTCATGCTTCTATCACAAAGTGCACAAACATTTTAACACTTACACTAGCTATAATAAGCATAATATGTTTTGTTCGGTGGAATTTGCTACTCCGTGGAGTTGCTGTTTTTCTAGTTTCCCATGTCCTCTTGTCTATTAAATTTTGTGTTTTATAAAAAATATAGGCCTATTTACCTATCATTTGGCATTGTCATCAAATATTAGATTAATTATACAAGAGATAATTATTATTGTCCATAGTTCAAGGGCCAATCAATAAATCAGAAATGTTTGAAATCATGTTATAAAACTTGGTGGAAATATAGTATTTACATGTACTTCCTTTATGTTATATCACCAAATACAGCTTCAGTCAGTTATGGCAATTATCGTAATTTAAGTCTTGTATAATTGAAATTACTTGTTACTTTAGCAAATCTGCAAAGTGCCCCACTGCGTTGAGAAACTTCAGAGTTTCTACGTTCTCACAGCCCGGAAACACAAAATCTCGTCACGTCTCCAGACAACCAAAGTGAGGCAACTTTCCGGCAAAATGGGACAAGTCATGCCTGTGAAAAAATGGATCAAAATTCACCCAGATTGGGCGATGAAACGTAACAATGTTGATGTTTGTCAGGATGCGCTTCAGGGGATTACCATGGCAATGAATGCACTAGATATACAGCCAAAATAAACAAATAACATGGCAACAGCCAATTAAGTGAACAAAATATTGAAATTGTGTCAATTATAGATATTCCACTCTAAATGGGATTCCCTTGACTATGACCTCATTTGATAACATTCGAAGTGAATAATAGGGATATTAGATCAATTATTGATAGAGTAGTTCTGTCATTCAGGGAATTCCCAGGACTCTGAAGTAGAACACATTTCTAGGTATACGCCAAAGTGAATTTATGTGAGATTGTGAATAAAATGGACATATTCAGACATTGACTGGATCTAATGTGATCTATCATGCATCACACATAATCTTTAATCCATGATTTGTGTGATCAGCATGTGAAGTGGTGTAGTCCATTGGTGAAATGTATATTCAGGAATGAAGAGACAAAACATAGTTTTAGTCATTGACATTGTGAAATGTAGTTGTCCATGTGAACGGAATTTAAAATCATGGTATTCATTGACCAGATCAAATATCTTGTGTATAGTATAGAGAAACTTGTAAAATAATTAACGCTTTTTTCTGAACACTGTGTTGACATAAACAAGCATTGATGTAATAAGGCCATGCACTTTCTAATGAGAGTTTAGTATTTTGCATCTAATGCATACCTAAAATGTGTATTGTTCATTGTTTTGAGACAAACTGTTGTATTTATTTATATTTTTTATCGCTTTTTGGTTATATTGAATGCCTTGAAATAATTTTAGTTAAAATTAATTAACAGGTTAAACTTACTTAATATTTTAGGATTAATTTATTGAGGGCATTTTGTGAGTTTTAGTTTATCTATAAATGGGGAATCACTGAACAAATCTGAATTTATCAAGGGCAGATTTTTGTGTAGATCTGTATTTTCCTATATATTTATTAGCTTTATTAATGTAAATTAAATTTGTGTTTTGTTATCCTAGGCATAACATTCATAATGATCATGAAACAAAGCAACATAATATTAGTATTCATACAATCTTCATTTAATTTTTATGTCATTTAAGTTCTCGAAATGCTTGTTGGTGTATATTCTCCATCATTATTTCATTTTCAGCCCATATATCTGTATATCTTAACCTTTCATATTTTTGCAACTACATTTGAGCTTTTAATTGGTATATATTGATAAAGGTTATGGAATTATATGAAAATATACATCATTAATATAAAGTATTCTTGTATTCTGCTTTAGATTTGAAATGTTTCTGAGTAAAGGGCCCTTTTGAAGGGTGGAGATATTTGTGATAAATAAAAATATGATTATGCCAAATATGTCTGAAGAGTCTTTGTTTATTTATAAATGGACGATATACCCATTCCCAAGCCAAGGGTAATACTTCCTGAATAGAAACTATGTAGCCTATGTGATAAGGATGATTCTCTATTGATTACTGACGAATATGTCCGGTGTTAGAGCAACTACCTTTAAGTACACCACTCTCTCACATAATTTAACAACAAAGCATTAACATGCAAAATATCACCACCAGCCATTTGTTACACACACTGAATGCCATCCACAAAAAAAGTTGGAGACTATAACAATATGTCACCACTTGTGACATAAAAATGAAGATTCTACTATAACGGAGGCTTGCACTTTTTGGATCACCCTGTAGATGGAACTCAACAAACCTGAAATTTCTGATGGGTCAACAATGTCATTAAATTAATGGAATCCTCGGAGTCTCTTTCAAAGGTCAACATTAGTAGGTCACAATCTAATAAAGTTAACTTTAACAATACTTCAATAGCAACTGGCCAAAAATCTAAAAAGAAGTGATAATTACAAAATATACAATTTTTATTATTTCTTGTATGAAACTTTCCATCATAATCTATATTACAATGTACAACACATTTCTTTAGGCTGTCTTATGACGGGTTCAATTATGAGTACATCTGGATATGCATTAGGTGTACAGTGAGTTGAGATTATAGCAACAGAATTAAAGCTATTAAACTTACTATAATATCCTCAAATAAGAAAAAAAATTTGCTGCATATCTTGTAATACCATATAACTACTCATTTAAAACCATTAACAACAAAGTAATTCAAAATTTAAAACCATGGAACCAATTAGAATTTGCGGGACTTGGAGTGTATTGTGTATCTCGGCATATGCATACATAATGTACAAACACATTTATGACATGTCAAATACATAGAAATCTCAATACAAGATCATTCCAAATCTGCATATTCATTGAATATTTGATATAATAAAAATACCAATAATTGGTATATAATACATGTTATGCATGCATTAATCAATGCTCTTATGCCTGGGTCACATTTGCTCCGATTCATCGGCCGGCGCCCAGCCCATTGAGTATTTTGTTCAAAATTGTATATAGTTTTGACCAGAATACTCAATCGGCTGGGCGCCGGCTGATGAATTGGAGCAAATGTGACCCAGGCATTACAAGGCCTTTATACAAAGGTAAGCCTATATTTTACAATGAACAAAATACACATTAGTTTAAATTACAAGTAGTACCTTCATTCACAAAAATACACCAGAACAACGGCAACGCCAAAGCGTAGCGAATCCCATCGAACATTTTTCAAAACGGGCACCTTCTACCAAAAGTGTCATTAGACAGTGTGCCATGCTTATAATATTCACATACCAAATATGAACAAAATCGCTCCACTACTTTTCGAGTTATAGTAAAAAATGTTAAAATGGCCGCCATTTTGAAAAATGGCCGCCTTCTACAAAAGTGTCATTAAACAGTGTGCCATGCTGATACGTATTTACGTACCAAATATGAACAAAATCGCTCCACTACTTTTCGAATTATAGTAAAATAAGTTAAAATGGCAGCCATTTTTCAAAATGTCCGCCATTTTTCAAAATGGCCGCCTTCTACCAAAAGTGTCATTAGACAGTGTGCCATGCTTACAGTATTCACATACCGAATATGAACAAAATCGCTCCACTACTTTTCGAGTTATAGTAAAATACGTTAAAATGGCGGCCATTTTGAAAAATGATCGCCCTCTACCAAAAGTGTCATTAGACAGTGTGCCATGCTTATACGTATTCACATACCAAATATGAAAAAATCCCTCCACTACTTTTCGAGTTTTAGTAAAATAAGTTAAAATGGCGGCCATTTTTCAAAATGTCCGCCATTTTTCAAAATGGCCGCCTTCTACCAAAAGTGTCATCAGACAGTGTGCCATGCCTATAGTATTCACATACCAAATATGAACAAAATCGCTCCACTACTTTTCGAGTTACAGCAAAAATCGTAAAATAACGAGTAAAGGCCGCCATTTTTCAAGATGGCTGCCATGTGCTTTTTTAATATCTACATTTCTAGCTTTATTAATGTCCTATATAATTTTTTTACATTTAAAACATATTGCTATTACAGTTTTACATATTGCACCTAAATTACTGTAAAATCGGCACTAAAATGGCCGCCATTTTTAAATGAGCGGCCATTTTGAAAATCGGCTTTCGAGCAGAACTTCTATCCCCATAGGGTATATGTGTACAAAATATGAATAAAATCGGGCCAACGGTATTTGAGTTATTGCCCGGACGGACGTACGTACGTACGTACGTACGGACGGACGGACGGACGGACGGACGTACGTACGGACGGACGTACGGAGGCGTTCCCTATATCCCTCTGAACTTCGTTCGATGGGATAATAACACTTCATCCAAACAAAGGATAGAAACTGTTCTAACTGAAGTCTCAAATGATATGATAAACTTAGCAATAGATTTTTTTAGAAAAAATGCAATTCAAAGTTATCTCAACCATTTATCTTTAATTACTGTATAAGAAATAAAATTTTGAAAGAGAAATTTTGATAATCCTGGTGTGAAGGAATACTGAATCACTCCATACATAGTGTATACTAGTCACTTTAATGTTTTGCGTTAAACATCATTGCATATGTTAAGTATAATATACACTCGAATATGCTGATAATCCCTTTCAACCATTACAACCCAATATTTACTGCAAGTTACATCTTCACAAGGAGGTACAATGGGAACATGTCCATATGTATAAAACATTACGACTATTGTATTGTTACTATTGTATATACAAGATATGTACAACTTTTGGGATAGTTCAGTGTCTCAGATGCGACTTGTACTTGGCCATGTACCTGCAATCATAAGAATATTTCAATGAAATAAATTATATTGAACTTCAAATGTACAAGCGGTCCTAGATTGGGTCTATAGAAGTAAAAATATTTTGAAAAGATGAAGAATTTGTTTTTTATTAGGAAATAATAATCTTTGGATACCCTGCTTTAACCATTCTTACGAATATAATTTTTTGTCCGATTTACTTTAGCCCAGTATTCAAGAAAATAATTCTTAACATCACAAAATGTCACAACCTGGAAATGTTTAATTGTTACAGACACCACACACTAATTCCCTCCATAATAAGCTTTGGCGACAGCAAAATTATAGAAAATGATTATTCAGAGACACATTTCTTAAGACTGGAGGTGATCACAAATTCAGAATATTTCAATTGTCTTCCACAAATAAATCATGCACCATCGACCACAATTTTTCAAGAAACTGCCTCAGTCTGTGAATTAGTGTTTTTAGGATAGATTTTAAGATTACTGAGTTGTTGTTGAATCTCACCTGTCAAGAACCTCCCAAAATGTTTGCAGATTTGCACGATCTAAATGGCGTTTATGTCGGTCAATTGCCATTACTGTGACGTCCCATTTCTTCACATTGTTATCAAGGGGAATTTCGCTAAACTTTAAGTGGAAGGCTTTTACTGAAACAGACAATTCAATTAAAGAGATATTTTTTGCAACAGCAATGGGCAAGATAAAAGTAGTATGGAGAAATATAGAACAGACCAACGCCTCTATAAAATAGAATCAAGATGCTAACTTAAACTCTTTCAATGAGATTGTTGTATAAAAATGTCTAATATACTTACTTCTTGCAAAAATATCTTGTGGTTGCCCCCAATGCCATCCTTTAAACTGCCATGCAGGGCCTTGAACGAACACAGCTACGACCCGATCCCTAGAATAAATAAAAATAAAAAAATTAAATAAAAATAGCTCTGTAACACTTATGCAAGTATCCCTTGGAGTGTCTTATTTACAAATTGTTGAATTTTGTCTGACACTGGTTTTGGTTCACAGTGAATATGATACGACAATAACATGAGCGTTCTTCCAGGTATTTAAAATCTCAAACACCCATTTGCTTCAATGCTGGGAAGCTCATTAGATATCTTAACTTACCAGTCTTGAGTCTGCAGTTTTCCAGGATTGTCTATAATTCTAAATGGTACTGTCGTTCCATTATTTTTCTGCCTCTGTATCAACACTTCATTATCCCGTTTTAATCCTTGGGCTTTCTTTTGCTCTGTTGATAGATATCTGCAAATATGAAATGTACAGTATAACTGCGAACTTGGTTTGGAGTAGGACACATATCATCCTAAATATATATCATTTGCAATCAATCAATCACACAACATTGTACATGGGGGTAAGGCAGACCCGATGATGCAATGAGCTTGCTCGGCGGTATCATGACTGTGTAACGGGTCTTAATGTATAAGTGTGCTCGGCGGTAGGTTCAAACAACGCGGATCCTCAAAGCATGTACTCATGGTATATCCGTGTTTTAACACTCGTGATTGTATTTCTCATGCCATGAGAACAGAACTCCCATTTGAGGGAGTTTGACTAAAGTGTACTTTCTATATTTTTAAATACTTTTATTAAATGAATGAATGAAAACATAACTAACTTGAGGTCCTGTAAAAGATCTTTAGCATTAAACATTGTGATAAGTGACGTGGTAGCAGCTGGTATGATTATGATTGGTGTTTTTGATGTGCGTTTCTGACCCCCTCCAGATGAGGGTCTGGCCTGGGATATGGGACGTGGAGCGACAGGTTCCACTTTGCGTCCACTGGCACCTTCTGTTACAGACTTTAAGGTCATTCCAGCATATGACCTCATTGTGTCAATTTTGAAACCTTCAGTCTCTGAAATATGTAAATAAAAGATTGTAATAAGAACTATCAAGTGCTAAAATAGTATCAAATGAATGAATTATAACTATAATAGTTATCTTTAAACTTTGAATATAATCTTCCCATGACTATACATCTACATATCAATTTAGAAATTTTCACCTGGTTTGGAATAACAATACCTAGCCCATGACCAAATAAACAGTGCACATCCTACACTGTTCAGAGAGACAAACATTCTACTTATGTATCACATCAGATCACTTATCTTTAAAACAGCTCTTGATTCATAGTGCAGTTCTTACCTTCTTTTGCTTTAAATCTTTCCTGGTTGAATCTGTTATATGATTCATTTGGTGTTTTATTCTGGTTCTGGAAACACAGAAAACATATATATCATAAATCATATTGTCTATATAGACAATGAATTCAGAACAAGAGATCACATGTACTTTCAATAAGACCTCATCTATGAAACCTATGAGGGAAAGTGAGCTCTTTTGGTGGTGTTACTTTCCATTGATTAAAACAGATGGTCTTTTGCAGTGAAAAGGGTTTGTGTCCAGTCCAATGTTTTTAATATAAGATTACAACAACATTATGTAACTCCAATTTTGAATAAAATTGAACACAATTGGAAAGGTAGAGTGGTCTGACCTTATTTTAAATTAGCTTGAGCAAAAAACAGACTTAATAATGAATGAATAACACTACTCACACCAACAGGAGCTGCTGGGAGATTGCGTGTGGGGTGTGAGGCTGGGTGGGTGTGGGGTTTCTTGTGACCTTCCTCCCTGGCCCGTACTGCCTGCAGAATACCCGTAATGTTCTCAAGGAACGTCTACAAATAAAAAACAATCAAATAAAATATTTTCAGTTTAGAACAAAAGAGGAGTTTTAGGCCTATTAATTAACATTTGATGGACAGAAGAACAGAAATATTGATTTAAGCTAATCAATGACATTCGTGTTTAGATTCCATAAACTATCGATCTATACTCTTTTTTCTCTTTGAAATGATGAATACAGAATCTTAAGATTATCTTTAGAAGCTGGATTTGTTTTTGGAATTATAATTCTGAACTTTTAGGTAAAACAGTTTTTCATATGACGAACCTTTCCAGCACTTTGTAAAACACTTGTTCTGGTTCTCCACTGCCTCTCTCTACTGATAATATCACGTGTGACGTCAACCTCTGTATCAACAAAGTTTCTCTGTTCTAATACACCAAGTGTGATGTCATCATCACCCTTGATTGTGGCACGTTTCTTAGCAAGACGCTTTGCTTTGATTGCAGCAATTTTCTCCCTGGACATGGCTTCTGAGAGGGAGGATGCTCTAAAATTGTCAGAATTTAAAATATGATAAACTGGGATGCCCACCAATCTGCCCACTAATTAGGCCCTCATATGTTGAAAGAACGTATCATTTTGGAAAAGCAAGAGAAATACTGATAACGTATATGCAACTTATCAAAGCGTTAAGTCATTGGAACCAATTCAATTTTAGTAGCAAGTAATGTCTCAGTCACATTTGATCTATGGTAAGCATATAGCGATCGAAGCTTTTCACAAACTCGATAGAAATATGCAGCTTAAAATATAGGGATAAGCAGTTCAATGTAGATTTTCTGTATTGACACTGTACTGTATGCCTGCCATAGAGGAAATCTGACTGAGGCTTAAGGAGAACCCATGCAACACTTGTGACTTGTTCTTTTGACCATAACATTAATGGAATGAAGGTTGTTGATTTTTCAGCTAAATACATTGATTGTGTTTCCTACTTTATTTGATCTGGAAACATGGAGCCTTCCTTGGGTCCATCCAACTTGGCAGCCAGTCTCTCCTTGGCCTGTTGGACTTGAGCCTCCTCAATTCTAGGCTTTTTGGCATCACTATCTGGTGCTGTGTCATCGGCTGCTCGCTTCACTACAACAACAACAACCTCAGAACTCATAACAAGTCAAAACAAATGATGCAAAGATATGTCCGAAGATCTGCAGTAAAATTACGAGGAATAACATTTTACTTATTGATATTTTTCTCATTCAACAAGAGAATATATCATCGATCACTTTATTGAAATAGTATATTTGACAACAGTATATTTGACATTGATATTCACATAAAAAACAAATGAATATGCTCACACTGAGTAGGTCGTTGAAGGGAGATCTCCAGAGGGGCACTTTTATCAATACTAGTGGATGTGGAGATTTCACCATTCAGGTAGGCCAGAAGGTCTTTTCTGTCAGGACGACGCACCACTGGCACATTGATGGACTGAAAATATATTAAAATGCAAATGTACGTTAGGCTATTCAAGTACATGTACACCGTATCCCTTTGGTGACCTTTTTATATGATAACTTATGAGTACAATTAGTTTCACTAGAATCACAAGAAAGGACCAACTTATTTGAATTTATATTTAAAAATATGCTGTGGATTAAAATGAGCAGTGTTATTCAATGTATTAAAGTAACAGGGTACTGCACAAGTTGAAATAAATTTACACCATGTTGAGAAAAAACTTGACAGATCACTGATTACCATCTATTTCATGTTACAAAAATATTGTTACTTTTTTAGGTTTACTTACCGCAGCTTGACGCACATACAAAGCATGCTGCAGGTGCACATTTTTTAGTAAGAAGAGGATACAGTCCAATGTGTAATATTCCTTGGCTAGTCCTTCCTTGCCGGTTCTGAAAGCATTAATACAATAAATGAAACATGATTTTCATTTAGAAAAAAAATAGGAATCTGTAAGCATCGAGTTATAATCATAAATATGTTAAGTTAACAAAGTCTAGAAAAGGATCTACATGGCTTAACTAGTCACAGGAGTGATTTTTGGACCTAAAGCTTTTAGTTCCGGCTATCCAGACTCAAATCGAGACAAGGCATTAATATGAAAAAATGTCACCACCTACTTGCTCACAATGTTATAAGTTCAATCTTAAGTTAGATTTGAACTTCTGAGAACCTGAAGATGATTTTGAAGAAAAACATTGGTCAGTTTGAACCAAGTTGAAAAAAGACCTTTTTGACCTTTTTTGACCTTGAGAAGGTCATTGAAGGTTAAATCTCAAATCCAAGGTCAGATCTGAACTTCTGAGAACTTGTAGATGATTTTGAAGAAATCTGAAGTCAGTCAATTGTCATATAAAAAACAGAGACCATAACAATATATCACCACTTTTGGTAGTACATATACTAAAGCTAACCACTTTATGTCCCAAAATCTTCTAACATTATCGCCATTTATATTCAAAATTCAAACTAAACTCAATGATCTATTTTCTTTGTTAAAATAACTGATAATGTCTTTGCAAATTTAGATTACTGACACCGACAAACTCAACCAAGAAATGAAAAGAGCTATTGATTACAACAAATATCAAAATTTTTGAGAAAACAACAAATGAAAGATGAAAGTGTCTTCCAAATCCTCAACCGAACTTCAACATACTGACATACAGTTCGGGACATAAATAAATGACAGGTGGATTTGCTGAAGTGAGAATTTCCCATGTTAAAAATAAGAGAATTTGCAAGAGGCCATACATCAGTGGATGAGATTATACAAAATGTGAAATATACACATTTAAAGGGATATGTGTCTAGACAATATTGGAAATTATGGGCTTTCAGACGACCATAATTAGGAAATGGTGATCGAAAATCGACCTGTCATTTATTTTTGTCCCCAACTGTATGGGTTACTTTATCCTCATGTTATTTCGACCATGGGACTATTTCAACATTGGCTAATATTCATGCAGCCTATCATGTTTTTTCTTTTAAAGCATAAAAAACAAATTTATCTCCAAAGAGGGACCAAGACGGTCAAGGAAGGAAATTTGAATTATCAGCCATGGTAGAAGTAGCCACAGGACGAAGTAATCCCACACTTGAAAATGGCTAAAGTTCATAATCTTGGGAATGGATAGGACATAAGGCTGTAGATCTGCAGTCTGCACGTTTGTTCCAAAAAGAGATCGATCTTGCCGAGACGGCTAAGTTCCCAATTCCCATGGACAACTAAAGTGTAGAGTATCAGTAAAACTAAGAGTAAAATCATGATCTATGAGAGTACAGAGTCGGACTCGAACAAAATACAAAGAATTAATCTCCGACACTGTCACCAATTTTGTTTTGAACAAAATTTATGAAAATCGAAAACGAAATAAAAATAAACAAAAGCAATAAGGTAAAATCACACTCGTCAGTGTGATCAACTTACCCCCAAATGAGATAATTTGTTTTCGCAGTTTTTGGCCATGCAAATTCACCGAAAATAACTTGTTCTTCCTTCTCGGTTATTTCCTTTTTGTTGATATTATACTGGCGGATCACGCTTAGAACATCCGCCATTTTGCCTTCTTCCTCAAACTATGTTGCTCGAGATTTGAGGTTTTATTTCAAGTAAATGGGGTTTTATCGAGACATAACCCCCACTGTCGATAGTTTATAAATATCACTGCAATAAAGTATACTTGTATTTTCATCAATCTTTACATATGTAAATAAAACCATGTTTGAAGTTAGATCTCGCCAAGCGAGATTTCAACTTTTCAAAATGGCAGCCCCCATCCTGAAAATATTTGATACTGATAAAACTGTTGCACAAAATCTATGTTCCTTTGTTATAGACCGTGCAAATAGTTGTATAAATAGCCATGGTATTTTTGCAGTAGGTGTATCGGGTAAAATCTCCTGTTCTTTTTCTAGATTTGATGTAATCATTCGATATACAATTCTTTTTCAAGTCTCACATAAGAAAAAAAAAAGTTATTGAGTTTCACTTTCAGTTTCACTTGGATATTTTTTTAATCTAACGTAACTGTTGCATGGTTATGTCACAATAGATATGGCAATGGCATACTTACTTGTTTTACATCAGTGATACCCTACTTCCCAGGGACAGATCTGAAAATTAGTTATACAAGTAAAGGTATCACTGTCCCGCAATTTGCGTATTTGTCACACATTTACTGAAGAATTTGAAGTCACGCCAGTTATTTTTGCGTGACAGAAAATGTCACGTAAATACGCATTTTACCTGGTAATTGTCAAGCAAAAATATTTCTGTAGAAAAATTTCTAAAAAAGTTAGATGACACAGCAAAAATACGAACGCCGAAAAGAAAACGTATGCATTTCGTTCTGACGCGAAAAATTTGATGTGTTCAAAATTTGGCAAGATGTAATAAAATTTAAACCAAGGTGTTCAAAATTTGGATCAAGGTGTTCAGATTTGGACCAAGGTGTCCACATTTAGAGGGGAGGTGTTCAACATTTCCTAGTCACTCATGTTAGGTGTTCCCAAGTTGACAGGCCTGTTGCTGCCCTGTCAACCCTCACGCATTAGGCGTGATTGTCACGCATTTGCTGGAAAAATAGAAATCACGCATCAATTTAGCGTGTATGATCAAATATCACGCAAATCACGCATTTTGTTGAAATATTAAAAAATCGTTTTTGTGAAATGCCGACACGGTAAAATACCTAACAGCGAAAAAAAGCGAACGCATTCCATTCGGTCTTTGCACGCGATTGCCGTTTATGTCACGCATTTGGTACAAAATATGTGTATATATCACGCATTTGTTCCGAAAATATTCACACCTATTCTTGAAATCACAAGAGGGGGAGGGGGCGTGCTCCAAAAATGTCTGTGCAGTTACGTGTTTGAATTTTGGGCCACTATGCTCAAATTTTTGCCCCCTTTTTTTAAAATTCGGCCCAAAATTAAAAAATAATGCCCTGTTATGCAAGTTTGTTTCTAAATTGTATAATTTATGTGGGGAGAAGCAGATTTTGGGCCTCTGATTGGCCCACCAAAGGGGGTTGGGCCCCTAGGCTTCCCTGAAATCCAACACTGCTTTAGTAGGCTAATCACTAAAATTTTATTGCCCTATTAAAAACAAGGACTTAATTATGAATTTCAGGTGGAAGTCTAGCGAAATTTTTATGTCAAGGATTACCATCATTAGAAACTGATTGGTCAAAGTGGAGACTTTTCTTCTGTGATGAGAGACATGTTGCGTTTGATGATCCGGATAGCACCTACAAAGTATATAAGGAAGGGTTGATGAGTAAAGTGCCTCTAGCAGAGAATCATGTTTTTAAGACAAATCCTAATGTCTCCGGTAAATCTTCTTTTTATCGTACCTAATAAGAGGTACGATATTGTAGTCAGCTTGACGGGCGGCGGGTGGCGGGCGGGCGGGTGGCGTCTCACTTTTCAGCTTGTCTACAGGTTTCCAGCCAAATCATTTCAGGGATTCATCTGAAATTTTCAGGGATGTTTCTACATATCAACGTCAAGAACTGATTAGTTTTTGGGCATTCGGGGTAAATCTTAAGGTGGCCATTTTGGATTTTCCGTCCTAAAATCGTCACTTTCAAGACTTGTCTACAGGTTTCCAGCCAAACCATTTGAGGGATTCATCTGAAATTTTCAGGGATGTTTCTACATATCAACGTCAAGAACTGATTAGTTTTTGGGCATTCTGGGTAAATTTTAAGGTGGCCATTTTGGATTTTCCGTCCTAAAATCTTCACTTTCAAGACTTGTCTACAGGTTTCCAGCCAAACCATTTGAGGGATTCATCTGAAATTTTCAGGGATGTTTCTACATATCAACGTCAAGAACTGATTAGTTTTTGGGCATTCTGGGTAAATTTTAAGGTGGCCATTTTGGATTTTCCGTCCTAAATTCTTCACTTTCAAGACTTATCTACAGGTTTTCAGCCAAACCATTTGAGGGATTCATCCTAAAATCTTTACTTTCAAGACTTGTCTACAGGTTTCCAGCCAAACCTTTTGAGGGATTGATCTGAACTTTTCAGGGATGTTTCTACATATCAATGTCAAGAACTGATTATTTTTTGGGCATTCTGGTTAAATTTTAACTTAAGGTGGCCATTTTGGATTTTCTGTCCTAAAATCTTCACTTTCAAGACTTGTCTACATTTTGGATTTTCTGTCCTAAAATCTTCACTTTCAAGACTTGTCTACAGATTTTCAGCCAAACCATTTGAGGGATTCATCTGAAATTTTCAGGGATGTTTCTACATATCAACGTCAAGAACTGATTGGTTTTTGGGCATTCTGGGTAAATTTTAAGGTGGCCATTTTGGATTTTCCGTCCTAAAATCTTGTCTATCGAGGCTTGTCTACAGGTTTCCAGCCAAACCGTTCAAATTTTTACATATGTTACACAGTGATAAGTTTTAGAGCTGATTAACTTTTCTGCGGCCATCTTGCTTTCTTGGTCAACAAGACCACAATGCTGTGTTTTAGGTACGATATTGTTCAAACCTGTGCCTTGTTAATTTAAGTTTTAAAAATGTTAAGCTATCAATAATTTTTGAACAGTTGAATTGAATTAAACTGCAATCAATCTGAACCAATGTTTGTGTCCATTTTATTTGGGACAATCCCTTTAATTTACACCCATTGGTCACAGTTCTCACTACCCTAATTGTGCTGCATTCATTATAATTTTATAAGTGACTCATTTCATATTTTGTGCTTTTAGTTGAAGACGCTGCCAAAGAATACATAACCAAAGTAAGATCTGTTCTTCCTGGTGATGAGCTACCAAGATTTGATATGCTACTGCTGGGTATGGGACCTGATGGTCACACCTGTTCTCTCTTTCCAGGACACCCTCTACTTAAGGTAGGATCATATGAAGTCTTTTAAGAAATAAATAGCCACTCAGTGATTTCGCTTCATTTTCTATAATAGACCTGTTTGAGTATAAACTACCAGTTGTCCAAAAAAAAGAATTAAAAGGTCATATTATTCAAGGGAAGTGGACTATGATAAAGTTAGCATAATAAGTTTGGACCAAATAAGTTTTCATTTGAGCTTCTTACCACATACGTTTAAATATGTAATAGACTCATTCTTATGATACTGAATATCTATCAAAATAAATCTTGACAAACTTTTTTATTTAAATTTATTTTTTCACAGGAAACTGAGCAAATTGTTGCACCAATCTGTGATTCCCCTAAACCTCCCCCTCAGAGAATCACTCTAACACTCCCTGTGGTGAACAACACTCGCTGCGCAGTATTTGCATCATGTGGAGCAGGAAAAGCTGAAATGGTCAAGGTGAGTGATATTTCTCAGACATGTAGTCTCAAAAATCACAATGACAATATTTGAACACAAAAATATCAGAATCTGAAATAATGATTTTCTCGAGTTCTTGAAGGTAAAGAGGACCAAATCTTATATATTTGTTGAGAGGCCAGTTGATGAAGTTGTTCCTAGATTACGCTTGTAGCCATTTTATTTTGTATACAGTGAATGTTATATTCCTGAATGCATTGTAACAGAGCGTTGTGGATGTTAGTGAGTGCCATCTCTGTTTGTAGAGACCAGTTGATAAAGTGCTTCACTGGTTTGTACATAGAGCCTACAGCCAGTATGAAGTGATGTACTGGATATCTCATAATCAGTTTATTTTGCATACCCATATACTATATGTGGCATTCTAATGTGTTCCAGAGAGTTCTAGAAGGTAGTGAAGAACCGCCACTCCCTGCTAGTCAAGTGAGACCATCTAATGGAGAACTGTACTGGTTCTTAGATCAGCCTGCAGCCAGTTTGCTATCTAAGAAATGACTACATGGTAAACTGTAATGAATAATTCCATATGCGGCTGTCAACTTCCATAATAAGAAAGTTCCATCACTGGATTTGACAAGGAAGACAACAGCTACAGTACACACATTGTTAGGTGAACTTAACAAACTAATGAATGAGCTACACGCTCATTGTAATAGCTATTATAGGCAGCTTGTCATCCTTCCATCACGGGATGTAACTTAAAACACAACAGCTACAATAAACGTTTTGTGAGGGGAATTAAACTTACTAAGGAGAGACACAATCATGGTGACATTAACCAGTATGTATGTCATATGCAGTGAACTTAATAGTTAACATATGCACAGTGAATGTTAGATTGAAATTGCAATATCATCATATGAGTGAATGCAGGTCGTGTTTAGTTATATAGCATATTTTTACTGAGCGTTTTACATAAATGAAAGGTGACATATTGTTATAGCGTTTTTTGTAACCAGCATTCAGCGTTTTTTGTAACCAGCATTCAGAGTTGGTGTTTGTGTAACAAATTGATACACATTGGTAGGCCTAAGTGCAACCTTGTATACTGTGGGACATTCTCCCAATATTTGGGTCGTTTATCCAATTATTTGTATCATATTTATTTTTTTAATAAAATGGATGATCTGATATGCTGATATATATATCTGATATATGCAGAAATAAAGATAAAAATTAAGTTCATGTTACACAGTATGATAGTCTAGCTACAAGCGTTTGTGACAACCCACGCACATCTCACACACAAGGTCTTACTCTCAAGAAGATGAATGATTTGATTCTGCTGGATAACTTATAACATAAATTCATAAAAGGATAATGATGAAAACTAATAATACTGTGCTGATTTATGAGGTACAGATGAACCTTTGGTACCACTTAAGACGTCTCAATTATTTATCTGAACTTTGAGGCTGTTCTTAGGAGAGTACCCACCAAAAGTGATGACAATTTGTTTTGGTCTCCAACTTTTTTGTGACGGTGCTTGGCGTTCGACGTCTGTAACAAATATCAGGTGGTGACATTTTACATCTGAATGGGTTGTCTCAGTAGTACTATAACATTATTTTTTAAATTCAGAAATCAAATTATCGATCTATTTTTGAAGTAATAAAAATACATGTATTTAAGACTCCCTCACTAAAAGAAGCACGAAAATCGTAAACCGAGTGATTAATCTGACATGGGTATCCATTCATCAAAATAAAAGTCTTTAAGGTTATATTGTCGGGCTAGCTTTGAGCCGGGTTTTGGGTGTCCATTGTAGTACACCACATCCCCTCCAGCAAGATAAGCTCCCCACCACCCATAGGTGGAGCTTGCAAAAATTGTATGGTCACATTTGGATAGGACAGCCAGGTCACGGTCCTCCGGGTTCCTGTACCCAGATAGATAAAACGTGTGTGTTTTTGTACTGTTGAAGTTCTGCTTAACCCAACCTTGATCATTGGTACATATTACGAACCTTACGTTTTTGTACTTATGACTAAAATAATCCATTGCTTTATTGAAGAATGATACATTTGCCGCTCTGTGACCGTCGTCTTTATTCTGCTGTGTGAGAATATTACCTCGTCTAATCTGTACTCCAATCAGCGTGCAACCTCCAGGGCACGTCTTTCTGATGGGGGACAAGAAATCTTTAACGTAGTCCAATGTCGATTGAACGAACGTCAGCTCTTTGAACAGTTCATCTTTGTAACGATGGAAGTATTTAAATGACTGTAGGTAACCGCTTACCTCGGTATGTTGTGGCTTAAGATGAAGTAATTTCTCAGAAAATTTTCCATCTCCTCCATGGACTTGTTGAGGAAACAACGCCCCTGGTCTTGGTTGCTTCACAAATGGGATGGTCAGCTTAAAGTATGCCCTGAGTATAATGTTCTGGGCTATGATGAATGTCATATTGTTAGCCTTTGCTATACCGTAACCAGAGGCAAACATGAACAATCTATTGCCCAAATGGCCCTTGTATCGATTTATAGTACATATGATATGTTTCGATTGGAGTTCTTTCAAATCTGATCTTGTGTTTAAATCGTCTTCCTTGGACAGTTCAAGAAGAGATTTGATTCTATATGGATCGACCTGCTTTTGTTCAAGTTTCATTGGTTGTTCCGAATTGTGTACTGTACTCTGGGATATATTTAAAGATTTATGGCTATTTGACACTTCTTTATTCACATTCTTATCTTCTTTGTCGAAGTTGTTTTTAATAGTTGATATATTTGTTTTTTCTTGTTTTGTTTTGTCTGAGGTTGATTTGTCATTCCTCTTTGTTTTGTCTGATTTTGATTTGTCATTTCTCTTTTTGTCACTTGGATCATTATGCTCTTGATTGATAGCTATTTTGTAATTATATGCATGCTTTGCAATGTTCTTGTTTGCGTTATCGTCATCAAAGCTATTGTCACCAGTGTCTGTATTCATGTATCGCCTTGTAAAGTCTTTCTCCGTCGTGACAGTCTTTTCCAAGACATCTAGATCCTTATTGTGTAATTCACGATTTCGAGAAAATATTTTATATTTAGAGTTTATGAACTGAAATGTGGAAACTGAATCTCGCGGTGACATTACGTAAATGAATAAACCAAGAGTTGCCACAATGAATATGAACTTTAATTTGTTTGGATGTGGTCTTGGAAATTGCCTTCCTTGATACAAGCACTTAACATTCATTTTATCAAATAGTTCTAAACACTTTCGTCAATACAGGACCTCCATTTATTTCAAAATTAGCTAAATAGCCTACGTATAATACAATGAATAGGTAAATTGGAAACATGTTTACTACAATACAATGTGACAAAATGTCATGATTGTTCAGCTGATATTGGCACTGATGACACCTTTCCATGTTTTTAATCAATACACGTTTACAACGTTTAGTTGAAGTAATAACAGGGAGTTTAAACTTGCAATGTTTTTCACAACCTAAACGCGAACGGAAAATATTTAAGCGATGCATTTGTATGGGCGATTGGTCATTGGCGTTTCGAATTTTTATGCAAGCTTAAACTCTCTATCATCATGTTTATATACACTAGCTGGCTCATGTACGTTTATAACAATAGAGATGCAAGTATTGCAAATGTTATTAAATACACACTTTATGTACATGCTTTTTTGCTAACCATAGACGGGAGAAATAGGTTCTATACACCTTGGAACATTTTTTCAACAAAAGTGCCATTACGTCAAAAATCTTTCGAATGTATAATAGCTCTTGCCGGGTTAGCTACTAGATTTCCCACGCCACTCTAGTTTTATTCAAAACCGTCTTTCCAAAGAAAGTTAACAGAACATATGGGCCTGCATATAAAGTCTTATTACCGACACTCAAAAATATCAAGTTGCAGTTTGGCGTCCGAGTACATATTGGAATCCTGGTCATCTGTGATACGAAGAGTCAAGGCGATACTCCCACCAGCTAGCTCACGGAGATCCTTCGCAACAGTCACTTCGCCAGATCTGTGGTTGATATCAAACATATCAGCACGATCGCCGAGTAAGTCATACGTGTAAGTGGACTGCGTTGTATCGCTTCTGTCTCCACCTTTTGGCGTGGACACTAGTGTACCAACTGCGAAATTGCTACTCAAAGAATGGCGATAATCAGGCTGGTCGAAGTATGGGGGGCTATCGTTGATGTCAATGAGTTTGATTTTGACTTCGGCAGATCCTGATAAAGGTGGATTGCCAGCGTCCTGTGCCCAGACAGTGAATTTATACTCCTCCTTTTCTTCTCGGTCAAGTCTTTTAGTGGTGTATATCCCACCATTATCCGAGTTGAACACGAATGGAACTGAAATCGTAGCATAATTTTACAATATTTAAGGAATAAAGACCGAGATTTAATAAAATCGAGGTCTTTGTTACGATTTTAATATGATAAACAGACGAGAACCACAATTTTTCCACTGTGTAAATTGCATTTATGAATTTTAGCGGTCATACATACTCCAATATAGACCAGTAAATTAATTGTTCCAGCTATTGTGACGTCACTTATCATATAAGAATTGCCTTTAAAGAGATATACTATCCATTTTGCCTTTGTAATTGTAAAATTGCAGCTAATATTATTGCTGTTAATGTTATTTTGATATACGTATGTAAACTTCTGCATTGATTGAAGGAATGAGGAACGCATAGTCACAAAGACGATAACAAAAGCGAGAACAAAAAAGAGATTTTTCGTTGTACCCACCATTTTCAAGGGTATACAGCCTTAGTTCCCCTGAAGCCCCCTGGTCTGGATCTTTAACTTTCAGGTTTCCTACCAAAGTCCCCTTAGGAAGCTCCTCACGTACTGAGAACTCAGCTGGCTGAATAAACATATAATATGCAATGTGTTTAGGGGCAGATCTAAATAATTAGGTAAACTCCACTCACAACCGAGTGTGTTAGGTGGGATGATAGAAGATATGACAGAGTACTTGTTTAGACGACCACAGCAATGTTTGCACATGTGTCCAAAATGCATGGTTAAGTTTTAAGTAATCCCGGGTAAGTAATACTTGAGTTATAAAGAGTGATGTGCGAAGAGCCATGGGGACGATATAATTTTATTAAATGATATTAACCAACCTCAATCTCTGGCTTGTTATCGTTGACATCAACTACTTCTATGTCAATAGTCGTTGTAGTCTCAAGGGATGGTTGGCCCATATCCAATGCAATAATGGTTAGTGTATATTGATCTCTCAACTCGCGGTCTGGGACATCTGCTATTGTAATTTCACCTACAACACAATATACAAAGCAGAAGATCAGTAGGACGGCACACGTCGTCACAATTATGTTACTCATATCATTAATCAAACTTATTCCCATCGAGTATCTTTCCAGTGTGATTTTTCAATTTTGTCAATGTAGATATAAAAGTTATTCAAATCAAATGATAGTATTTGTATAAGTGCCCTTAATGTCCCAGATTATGTCAATACTAATAGACTATAAAATTGACACGAACCTGTATGGTGGTCCACTTGGAAAACATCGTGACCCCCACTTTTCAGAATATAGATGATCTTGTGGTTAGGGAAAGTGGCATCTTGGTCCAACGCCTGTACAGTGTACACACTTGTTCCTAGCGCAATATTCTCTGGGATTCTGAACCTGTAGTTTGACTCCAATATAGGACCGTTCTCATTTCTATCGCGTATGTCTATGTCCAACATTGCAGTAGTGTTACGTCCTTCGCCGTTTTGGTCAGTTGCAACCACCTTAATGACAATATTATTTTATTGAGCATTTTGCATTTGTTTTAAAACCTCCAGCCCTGGCCTAATCTAGAGACAACAAAAACGTTAAATACTCGATCAAATAAGATATGTACATTTCGCATACCTGGAAGCTGTATTTGCCTGTAGGGTGAGCATCTCTATCCAGCCTACCGACGCCTAGCTCACTAACCCTGACGGTCCCATCCTGGGGGTCTATACGGAATAGCTCACTGTTGGGACCTTGTAGTGAGAAAACAATGTCTCTGTTCACTTTATCTACATCATTGTCTCTCGCACTGATTCCCGGAAGCTGGAAATAAAATATATTGGCTAATAGCCGTGGGAATTGCTCTATTGGTCGAAATATGAATGAATTATTTCTATTTCAATATGTAAAATTTTGATTTATAAATTATCCAATGGCTTATAGTTTTCATTTTAATATTGTTTCCTTTACTTAGACTCTTGATTTTTTCAATCAACTTCATGAATCCTATATTCTAACATGTCACTTACTATCTGCACGGTCCTATTGGGCTGTGGATCCGAATCGTCCTCGATGATCTGGCCATTGTAAATTTCTTGTGAAAACACTGGGCTGTTGTCATTGGCATCTCCGACTTCTATCTTCACTCGAGTTAGACCCTTTAGTAGTAAAAACCAAGCCATTGACCATGGAAAATGTTGTGATGATATTTGGTGGACGAGTTTTGAGTATAGTTTACATAGTGCATTGTTTAATTGAATGTCTGTCTGGGAATGTGACTTTTTTAAAATGGATGTCACAATAAAGGTACCCTGTGTGCAGAGTCTAGTTATACATGAGTGAGTGAATGAGTTGTAGAAGACGAAGCTCTCTTTGGAGAAGCCGAAGTCGAACGAATGCAAACTATACAATCAAGAATAAAACTGAGAGAATTACCTGTGTTTTAGGACTTCCTCTATCTGCAGCCAGTATCAAGATATCGTATCTAGAGTCTCGTTCCTTATCTATTGATCCATTCACTGTGATCATACCGTTCTAAAAGAAACATACACAATAATGTTCAAGTCTACTCATATTTACAGCATTTTTTAATTATCACTTTTCCTAAATGCTGAAACACCCTATGCAGACAGAGCCTGTGGGAAATATTGGGTGCGGAGCAAATGAGCGGAGGGTGCGGAGCTAACGGTCATTTTGAATTTAAATTTGGGATATTTCTGAAACTAAGCCGTTTTGGGACTTCAAATATACCAAGATATGTGTATTTGACACCAAATATCAATACAATTGTGAAAATAGTAGCGCAATTCATTCAATAGCGACGCAGTGTGCCTTAAACCTTTCCCAGACCTATATATTTTGAAATTATCCTTTTAATACTGAGTCCCCAGCATCCAAGGTACACTATCTATACAAATTATTTTTGCATCTTGGAAGCCAGGCAGTATCTGTGTGATTTTATAAAAATTCGGAAATTTTTTCAGATATGAGCCCCTCTAAATATTGGGTGCGGAGGAGCTCCATAAATGTACCTCCGCACCCAATATTTAGAGGGGGCTCATATCTGAAAAAATTTCCGAATTTTTATAAAATCACACAGATACTGCCTGGCTTCCAAGATGCAAAAATAATTTGCATGGGTAGTGTATCTTGAACACCATTTTTTATGAATGCTGGGGACGCAGTATTAAAAGGATACTAGTAGTCTCAAAATATATAGGTCTGGGAAATGTTTAAGGCATACTGCGTCGCTATAAAATGAATTGCACTACTATTTTCACAATTTTATTGATATTTGGTGTCAAATACACATATCTTGGTATATTTGAAGTCCCAAAACGGCTTAGTTTCAGAAATATCCCAATTTTAAATTCAAAAATGACCGTTAGCTCCGCACCCTCCGCTCATTTGCGCCGCACCCAATATTTCCCACAGGCTCTGTCTGCATATGGTGTGAAAGCAAGTTGAACTTTACGGATGATCAAAGCTCAGGCTTAGTAGACTTCCATCAACGCGAACAGCAGTTCTGACCTCGCGAACTGCGCTCCTTGCACTCGAACCACGGTTCTCACATCGTAGGAAATGGTGGTGCGCGACTAAAGATTTCACGTTCGCGACGTGAATCGTGGTTTGAGTACAAGGAACGCAGTTCGCGAGGTCAGAACTGATGCTCACGTTGGTGGAAGTCTAGGAGACCTGAAAGCTTTGTGTGTTAAACTGCTCAAGCTGCAATGATAATCGCTGTGACTTTGACGTGTGGCGTGACTACTGATTCTTGAAGAAAATCATATTGGCCTTTACACGACAATCACAAAGTGTACACTATATTTGACTTGTCATACCTGGTGTATCTTGAATATCCCTGCATCGTCACCAAATATGATAGCATAGTCAATCTCTGCATTGGTTCCGTTGTCCATGTCAGTCGCCTCGACCAACCCGACAACGAAGCCACTCGGGGAGTTCTCCAACACGTCGAATTGGTAAAGTTCATTATGGAACGTAGGAGGATTGTCGTTGACGTCTCCTATAGTAATGTGTACATCTGCTGTTGCATCCTATGGTAGGAAGGGGTAAGGTTTTGAATCGTATGTATATATTTTATGAATGAAAATACATATTTTAGAGAACACTACAGTAGGCCGTCTTTACATCCGAACAGTTGGATTTCTCGTAATAAGGCTCTTCTAGATACTACATGCCATGTTTTTATTTCTTTCCCTCATTGAAGGCCAATGAATGACCAATCTGCTACATACTGAAGTGAGCTTATCACAAAAACAAAAGGGGTGTTTAATCGGAGCTAAAGCTGTTAACACAAGGGACTAAATAATTTCCAACATCATTGGTTTCTCAATTTGTTTATAATAAGTGCACTTGTTTGAAAACTTGACTTACATACTTCCCATCGCTGACCTTCACTACAAGGTTATACTCTGGTACAGTTTCCCGATCCAATGGTTTTTGGGTAACCAGCCATCCCCTAAAATATATATAAATTATAATTTCTATGATAAGACATTTGTGTGATAAAATCATGACACGATCGACATTTGTGTGGTAAGATTATGTGACGTCATATTTGTGTGATAAAATGATTGGACAAGATATTTATATGATCCATAATGGCTGTGACAGGACATGTACGCGACAAGATGACGTGACCAGCCATTTGGTTATATACTAGTAATGACGTGAGCAGGCTTTCCGGGGCAGGCATCTGTGGTATGTTTGAAATCTTATATTTTCCTCAAATAGGTCCAAGTGATTTTGGTTAACAAAACATAAACATGCTTTAGCACGTGATCCAATAGGGAAGTTGATGCTTCTGAGAGAATGATTTGTATTAAACACTATTATTAGAAAATGAGCAAGAAAACAAAATATGAAATGTTTTAAATATATCTCACCCTGCTTGTATGTTGAATGTGTTGTCATCGTTACCACTAACAATGCTATACTCTAGGATGTATTCCTCGTCACCGTCAGCATCGGAAGCCTAGGAATATAACAATTCAATTAGAATTTCAAGCATCAATGCTTCAGTGCAGGTACAAACGGTTTCGAAATATCAATTTATGGGCATTCACTTACGAATAATTTTGTAAAGCTAGTCCCTGCAGAGACAATCTCACTGACATCTACATCGTAAGGAGCACCAACAAACTGTGGAGGATAGTCATTGGTCTCTAGCGTCTTGATGTAGACAGGCACTACACTTATCCTAAAACATAACATAAACAATTTGCCACGTAGCAAAGGTTCACCTAGTCTCTGCCTTTACCAGTCACCTTCTTTTGATTGTTCGAAAACAGAAGATATGATGAGTATCAGAATGCGACAGGTCGTCAACACAGGTCCTCAACGAGGGGCATAATGCGGTATACGCGTACACGTCCAAACCATACCAGAGGGGTTTAGCTTCATCAAATTAAGTCAATTGCCAAAGTAGGTTCGAAAGAGTCTGCCTAAACCACTGGGGGGTATCGTGATGCAACAACACCGTGTTGTTGCATCAAGATGGCCTACCTTCCGGGGATAGATTTTCGTAAGATATTTTGTTTTCTCAATTTAAACCCATTTTTAAGACGAGTTTCCCAATAATGCATATACGTGCAGTTAGTGCACGATCTATATTTTAAATAACTGTCATTTGTATACATGCAGCATCATCGAGAAGCGATTAATTCACGGTTTTAGTTCAAGGAGGATTGGCTCCCAGGATCGACAATCGATATTTTCCAACAATGAAAACGTCGAAATGTCGTTATTGTCGGAAATTATTACCGACTATAAGTTCAAAATAAACAGTCCAAAAGATTCGAACCAATATCTCGATCATTTCTTATGAGTTTTGGAATTTTTCGGTTAGGAATAAGACCGAAATTCACCATTCAAATGTTGAAGTGAACAAAATGGCGGCTGTTTGAATTCAAATTTTGAATCACGACATTTCCATATATGGGACAGAATATCGATGTTGCACTCTGGGAGCCAATCCTCCTTGGTTTTAGTTCCTCACTATTGATGCAACAACACCAAACCGAAGATGCAAAAACACCCATCTAGATTTGAGCAATGATGCAACAACACCAATGTATGTCATATTGTTAAACCATAATGTAATAGGATTTAGGTCCCAAAAAGGTAAATTGAGAGCGGTACACTAATCCCAGGGGTCGTAAAATTATATTGGACATTCATATTACATTGTACATCTTAAAAAACGTGTCGCTTCGTTTTATACTCTTTTATACCTAGGTGAACCTTTTCTGAAGTTAATGCATCTATCAAATATACACGTTTCTAAACATATGATCAAATATACACTCCCCTCCAAAAGTTTGTCAACATTAGCACCCCCCCCCCATTGAACTACGTGTTCAAATCTCTTTATATTTGAATTTTTATTTACATAACCTCAGGAATATACTTAATATGATATTGATGGAAATGTAAATTGACTTTATTTCCTATGCCTCCAAATTTTCCCAATTTTTTCCTCAATTACAATAGGTTGAAAATTGATGATAAATCAATTGAATTTTTGAAAATCGACATTCCCATGTAAACCAATGGGAAATGGTACTGTAGGTTTGCCGCAAGTCATATGACAGAATATTCATCCATCCGAGTTCTTGTGAAAATACAAGTTACGTAGTCCATTGAATTTGCTAACTTTATTGAATAATAAAATTGATACGTTTCTTCAGGTTTCAAAAAGTTAGAGATCTTCAAAGTCAAAATTATTATTCAAAAAACTCCTCCCATTGAAATAACACATGAGGCGAAAAGGATTTTCAAAATGACTTTTAAGCTCTGTAACTTTAGTATTCAAAAAGTAAGCTGAACAATCAGCGTACAAAAAGTTAGATAATTCAATTTTCTATATAAAAATATTTTTTGGTGAATCCTTTACTGGACTATATTATCCTGAAATCAGATTTGCCCCGAACACACCATTTCCGATTGGTTTACATAGGATTGACGATTTTCGAAAATTCATTAAAATTATCAATTTTCTACCTTTATTGTAATTGAGGGAAAATTTGGGGAAATTTGGAGGCATTGGAAATGAAGTTACATTTCAATCATGTATCTTCCTCACAGGTCAAGTGAATAAAAATTCAAATATAAAGAGGCTTTAACATGTAATTCAATGAGGGAGCTAAGGTTGCCAAACTTTTGGAGGGGAGTGTGCAACACAAAAATGACTGACATCTGTTGACATTCCATAATTATATTAGTTCTTTGTTAATAAAATCAGACCAAAATCAGAAATATTTACTTGACCAAAGCATGAAAAGTGTAAAAAGCTAAACGTAATATTTCAAATAAACACGGCTTAACGGGAAATATATTTTATTCAATAATTAATCAACGCGATGATTTATTCTACGTATTCCTGACAAATAGGGTTCGGACCATTGGGATTCAAACGAATTGGGCGACTAGCCTTTTCACGTTTAAGTTGTCTAGTTCAAAGTAGTTTCAAGATGTGGGACGTCCTCCGAACACAGGCCTCCAGACTTGGGACCACATTAGTGTCTGTTATGATTTCATTTAGAAAGTGATTAACTTACTTAGTAAACGTACATGTACTACAATATCATAATATGTGATTGAATACTATTACTATGTATATCGTTTGGCTCGTATATCCTTTTAAGTTTGATAAAGACGTTGGCGTTGTTGCATCAGCACATTGGTGTTTTTGCATCATTGATAATAAACATAATGGTGTTGTTGCATCAATAGTGGGGAACTAAAACCGTGAATTTATCGCTTCTGAATGATGCTACATGTATATCAATGACAGTATTTTAAAATATAGATCGTGCGCTAACTGTACATGTATGATTATCGAGAAACTTGTCCTAGAAATGGGTTTAAATTGGGAAAACAAAATATCTTGCGAAAATCTATCACCGGAAGGCCGGCCATCTTGATGCAACAACACTGTGTTGTTGCATCACGATACCCCCCAGTGTAAACGTCAATTCAGTTTAAGCGTTCACGTCAATCAGAGATTCATGAAATATCGTGTTAATTAGTAAAATAGTAAAAAAGCAGAAAAAGAACTACTGACTTTTTGTTGGCTGGGTTTCTTGGATGGTCCACAGCAACGACCTGAAGCAGGTACTCCGGGTATAGACGTGCTCGTCTTAGATCACCCATTGACTTGGCAAGTCTCAGGGTTCCGTCGTAGCCAAGCTCGAAGCGCTCTTTCCAGTCAACCGGTGACCCACTCTGGATTGAATAGCTGATCTGACCATTGCCATTCTCGTATAGATCTGCGTCAGTTGCTCTCATCTATAAGAATAATTATACAGTCAAGCACACAAGTCCAAGAAAACCTGGCCATTTAAGGATTGTCATACGTAAATGAATGCAAGTGTCTAAAAGCTTATGGTACGTCTGGGGGTGTGTAGGATTAAATGGTATTTTGGTATTTTTGATTGTATTATGTTTGGAGCCCATGGGATCTATCGGAAACGGTTTACTTATAGTGCTATATAATGTATCTGACACCCTAATGTTGCCTTAAGTTTCTGACTCCTGCCCCCACTTCACAGATGTATGTGAGTCTGTTGGCGATGAGGGTACACAGGGGCCTGATGGAAGACTTATCGTTTGTACACACCTGAAGAATTGTAATTCCTTTTGGGACTTTATCATTGATAGCTGCTCTGTATTCGTCATGGCTGAACACTGGCGGCGAGTCGTTGATGTCATCCAGTCTCACAGTAACTGTTGCCACTGGATCACTGACCTTTTTCGCAACAGATTTGGTCTCTTGTGCAGTCACCTGCGCATGCGTGAAAATCAACTCTAAATTGACTGCAATGTTGGATAATTTTTAAAATCTGTTTCAATTAATTATTTTATTCAATAAAAAATTGATCAAGAGATGAACTTTTTTGTCGACTGGGACAATCAAATATGGTTCGAATCTAAAGATCTTACGTATAAGGTGAATCTCTCATTAGCCTCTCTGTCCAGTTTGAAGCTATTTGCCACTCTCACTACACCGGATTGTGGATCCACAGAAAATGTGCCCGATGGGTCCGTCATTTGGTACTCAAACACACCATTATCACCCTGAAATACCAGTGAATATACATCGTGTAAGCTTACATCATTAAATATTTCTGAACCACACACCGAGCATTTTGATTTGATATGTGGCCCGATGTGTGAAGCAAGACACGATGAAAACTTTAGCCAACTCGGTAGAATAAAAAACTGGGCATGGTAGATCTGTAGGTTAGAGTTTATTCGATTACAATTCTTTTTACAATTTTTAACTTTTAGGGAGATGTAGCACATGGTGGATCTGCCGGTAAGTGTCTATGTTTTAAGTGTGCCAGAGAACTTTATAGAGTTTGAACTAGTCCCGGGAACTAGTTAGGTAGAATCTAGTATACGAAACACACGGTGGATCTGCCGCTAATACTGGCTAATTAGAAATTCATTTGAAAGTCTTACGATGTCTTCGCAATCACAAGAGTGCTAAGAGAACAAACACTTGTCATTCTTCTTGAAAAAAGCATGCACAACTACACTGCCTTCTTACAAAGTCTGAATCAGTTGCAGTCACAGTCGTTACACTCGTTCCCACAGGCATATTTTCTGTGACCCGTGCATTGTAAGTCGCGGGGTCAAATGTGGGCGTGTCTTCGTTGAGATCGAGGACTGACACAATGACGTTTGTTGTGGCACTCATAGAAGGTCTGTCTGCCTGGTAGCCCTAAAAGAATATTATCCGAATGAGATATCAAAAAATCCAAGATAGATTTCACTTTGTGTCTGTCGTTCGTTCTTCGTGTCTATATTTTAGTGTCACTTTCAACATTATTACTATTCCATTATTCATTTGTATTTGCCTCTGCAAACTTTTTGAAAATATACTAAAAGAGCTTCATATAAGTGTCCGAGTCCTGATTCTATACCAAAATATATATCACCGAGAAATGAAGCAATGAGCTTTTGGACTTACTCTAACTTGGAGTTGGAATTCCGGATAAGCCCCATTAAACTTCTGCACAGTCTGTTTCTGCATCAACTGCCCCGTCTCAGTGTCGATATCAAAGAATCCATTGACCCCTCCTATAACAAAAATCGTCAAATCTTATCATGGGTAATATCAAGGTCGAACAAAACCCTATTTCTATTGACTGGGAATTATTATGTGGTACTAAAGGATTATGAAATCACTTAAAGGATATTGGATCGTTGTAGATGTATGCTTCCCAACTAATTTAGTCTATCAACTAAAGATATGTCTCGATAAATTAAACATTTATTTGAACTGATTGACGCCCCAAGAACAAATGGAAATGGCAGTCCATCCTCCAAACACTGGTCAACATAACACGTGATCATAATACAAAAAGCCTGAGTTACAATAGCCCTGCATGTGTAAGATGGTTCAGTCACTCACTTCCAATATTATCTAAGGCATAGTGAATTGTCTGGTTTATGCCAAAGTCCTGATCAAAGGCTCGTAGAGACGCAGGCCAAGCACTATATAGCGGCGAACCCCTCTGGAACAAAGGATTAATGATGCAACTCTGCTTGTAAGGTCACTATGTTTGGGAAGTAGTACTTAACATCTCAGATTATAGTTTTTGACAAACGTACTAATATAGATATATAAAGTTATTAACCACTTTTAATTTTTTTAGATTCAAATGCTTTTTATATCTACACTTTCAAATCAAGAGCCAAATGGAATGTTACTAACACGGTGGAGCTGCCGACATGCTTATTTATACATATACTATAGACAGTGAAATCGCAGCCAGTAACAGCTCATAGCGCTGTTTTTGTGATTTACTTACCCCTGAGTTGACCGGCTTTGCTCCTACCACCTGATATTTATACTCCTCATATTGGAACTTTGGAGGCTGGTCGTCGCTGTCTATGATATTTACCGTTAACCTAGTGGTGCTTGCACGTGGTGGGTCCCCGCCATCCTGCAATGAAATAATCTTAAATGCTCTTGGATGATATATAGTGTCTAGAACCTAACAACCTTGTATGATATTTATAAACGAAGTCTTTCGTAGTTTGCGCAAGTCCGTAAGATTCGGATTTCACGGATTTATGATGTGGTAGAAACTCCTTTCATACATATAATCTATTTATAATTTTAGACGAAAATTTACCTGAGCAGAAACTGCTACGGTGTATGTTCTGGGGCCGATTTCATAGTTGACGGACTTCGACAGCGTCATCCTTCCATTAAGTCCATTGATCGTAAAAACGTTGTCTGGTATTGCTTCCTGAAACATGGACAGAATGTGAATATTAGATAAAATGTCCTTGATTCTCGGGGCTTGTTTTGATTGTGCCATTGTGTTCTTGATGTTCGAAAAAGCGGGGTTTGAAGTCTTGGAATTCGTGCTGGAATAAAGCGGTGATAGTTACCTGGATCAAATATGAGACTCTCCTGTTTGCTACAGAGCAGTCGTGGTCGTCTGCAAAAAGAGTAATGACATCACTGCCGATAGGGGACGCCTCTGGTATATTTGCAACATAAAACGCTTGCTTGAACTGTGGAGCATGGTCATTCACTTCTTCAAGGGGAATTTCAATCAGAAATCGGAACTGCAAAAATTGAAAAGTTTATAAAATATTTAAATAAAAGAAATACGTTAGTTTTACATTTTTCAAATCGTTACATCAGGGGATTAGAAGAGTTTATTTTTACTTAGGTATGCAAGCGATATCAATATTAGGCCTTCATCCATGTACTCGTGTGTACAATTAGCATGCCCTTCAATATTATATAAGCCAGGCTATTCAAGTACAACATAATGTACACTATTTATGTGTGTCTACATTTGAATACAATTCCCTGGGAAACAAAACACAAATACTTTTTATATGTTCAAAATGAGCCATTTGATTGATGCATACACTTAATACCTTCATATATAAACATCTGCAAAGTATATCTAATAGTTATTTTCAATTCCAATGTTGAAACTTGCCTGGTTACGATTATACGGGAAATCAACACGGGACGATAGTTGTACACTTTCCTGGCTTACCTCTGAAGCCTGTACCCTGTGATCTCTTTATATAGGTTAGCGAGAGCGCTGCGCCTGCGCAGTTTTAAATTTTGGCGCACACTTTAAAACTAAGATACAAAACGTTCCTATGATATTAATCTTTTTACTCCTTTCCGATTTAAAAAAGGAAAGTACGAATTACAATACTTACTGGTAAAAGTGATTCAGAACCTAATATTCTAATGTTGCAGTACCCTGGAATTCTTATCTTCGTCGTACACGTTTTCTGTAATAACACGAGGAAAAGTTTCCTATCACAGAGTGACTAATATAAAATATAATAGCAATACAGTGGTAGATGGTGACTCGTGGCATCACATGCGTTTGGCGTATTGGTTTTAACAGATGCAGATTAACATGGTGAAAGACATCATGCTCCTTTCAGGGAGTATAATCCGTCTTCTATACGACCCTCACTGGCCCTCATCGAGCATAAAGTACGAGTTGTTTAATAATACAGTTTAATGGAGAGGGCCATAAGTATTTGAGAAGGACAAAATATATGTTCACCCGTGTTCTATAAAAGAACCAGCCTATAGCATTTTGTATAGAAAATAATAAGGAAACCACTGGTTATTATGACAATATAGTGTAACCACATACCTTCTGATTGAGAGGTCTTGCTAGTTTAAGTTCAAATGTGTTCTGATCAAATGAGAAAAACGAAGCATCAGTTCCTTCCAGTTCAATCGAAGTGTCATATTTGATGACGCCTGTCGCCTCGTCACTTGGAGGTTGGAACTTCCTCAATAAGGTACCTAAAGAGAAAATGATTGGAGAAGAGAACCATCTTTTCAAGACATCCCAATATGGTCAAATTGATAACAGGGAGATGATTTAATAAACCGTTTAATCATCGATGACGTATTTAACTATAAATGAGAAGCCTGTTTAAATTAGCCAAATATCACATTACAATACACATCGAACTTCTGCCCCTTCCCATCAAATAATTGTCTGAATAGAAGCCAAAATGACATTGCTTGTCAAGGAGACAAAAAATTCTAGTAATTTCCAAGTATTTGTTTTTGTTGTTTCTTCGCTTATCTATTTCCATTGAACGCAATATATTTGGCAACGAATTCGAAATAGTAATTATAGTCAGAGTATCATGATAACCTAGACTCGCTCCCCGGTCATGCTTTTCTTTTTGACGATTACTGTTTCTATGGACCAAGGACCATGGACCTACTTATTGACCTTCTCATTTTTATGAAGTTTTCTTAGTTTATACTGGCAAAACCTTATCTGAGAACCTCATTTGACATTCAGACACATTTCCATGTGAAAACCATACATTTTACCAACAATAATACTAAGAATTTAAAGAATTATTTATATAAGAGATTTAAAGGTCAAGGTACTCGTCTTGTTGCAAAAATAATAGAATCAGATCTAGCGAGGACTTCACCAAACTGCCAAAAGTGTTGTGATTTTAGTATTATATATCCCCCAAGTTCATTTTGTCACTGTGATTGTGTTGCAATTAAAGAGGTTTTAAATGTACAGTATGTGATTATTTTCTATAAATATGAATATCCACGTTTAATCGAATCATTTGGAGAATAAAACATTTTTGTACTTTGAATCTCAGACGAATTGAAATGTGAAATCATATTTTGGACATAAGAAAAAGAATTGATGAAGAGGAAGTGACACTCATAACCATACATACCAACGGGAGCGTCTTCTCGAAGTTCTTTTAACTGGAGAGGCGTCCTACCAGTAAAATCATTGTTATTGAACTGCACGCATACTGAAAATCATTTTGTATAGTTCACATTCCAGAGCGTTAAGATGCTGAATTAATAAGACTTACAAATCTACGACAGTTATACGTTAATAAACAATTATTTATCGAACCAAATCGACGATATTTACTTATAACGGGTATCCAGGAAAACAGAGACTTATCAACTAAAATAAAATGAACTTTCAAGAAAAACCCAGCTGACTAAAATGCGGCTAATAACAATACTTACCTCCGAGTTGTGCAGTTGCCGTGGAAATCATCACCAAGCAACAAACGGCAAAGACAACTAACTTGTCCATCCCCATGGTTATAAACAATCCGATTTTGAATTAAGGTTTTTATAACTTATTCCAAATCATGTAAAGTTGTACCCCTAAGAGCCACACAACGTAATGCTACCTCACAGAAAGTAGATACATCTCCAAGAGAAGTATGAAGAGGACCACTTATAGTTTTTCGTACAAATGCATAAAGAAATAGATAAGACATTGCAAGGTCTCAGAATTGCATGTTTAAAGATGCAGTCCTGGTGTGGTCGAAGGCGCATGATCTTTGGTGGCCTAATTCTTGGTTTTGAGTCACTCCATGGTGCATTCTTTGTATCTCACCTGCTGTTGGAACAATCCCACTTCTCTACCCGGTGCAAATTATAATTGCTGGTGCAAAGTATGAAAGTTTTCTCATGCGATGTACTTTTGTAGTTCACTTACAGAGAAGTAACAGATAGCAGAAATTGTGTTCCACATATGGAGATGTTCAACCACGGACCTGTTTCTTAAAGTTCGTGGTTCAACATACAGCGGTGCTCCACAAATTTTACAGTGCTAGTTTTACGATAAAATATATATCTTTTAATGTTCCACCTTGAGAAAAACCAAGCTAGCCTGCATCTTTAACATTACGCTGGAATGGTGTGAAGTGGTTTGTATAAAAAATGTTTCCTTCAGAGGAAAACTGGGTTTGGACTGTTTAGTTACATCACTGATAAACTTGAATGCCACCACGTTATAATTATTGTGTGAATGAGGTGTTGAAATGTTGAGGCTGCATACGTTGCACTTCTAGATATACATTTCATGGCAATATTAAAGGAGGTACTAGGCATGACCTAGTTAAGCTCTGATATTAAAGATATTGATGGGAAAACTTAGCAATGTCCGTGTCCATTTATACATTTTATCATTGTTATTATATAATGCACAATATCTAGTGTATCATATTTTGTCATATTTATTTCGGGTATAATCACTTTTAATGTTTAATTTTTATTTAGTGAAGTAGCGCAAATGATTTCATCGATTTGCTTGAACTCTTGTGGATTGCCTTGAATTTGCCGTGCACGTGTCAAAGCACCTTTCTAGGATGGATCTGGGAATACTATTATGGATGGATGCATTTCTGAATTGCTGTTCATTTTCCATCAAAAACAATCAAGATGGAACGTCACATAACAAAGTAGGCATATTGTGACACATTTACATTCTTCTCAGATCATGATTTTATTCGAAATCAACTGAAGAGGATACGACAGTACTACGGACAGGGAGGTATTTATAAAGAGGCCTTATAAATAGGCCTAATTTTTCAGCCAATCTCTGCATATGGCCGTTTTATCTGTTTCGTTGTTTGTTTTTTTATTTGCTCGTTATTATTCATTTTTTGATATTCCCCATCCTCCGATCACAGGGCATCTTCTTTCTTTTTACCCCCTGCTATAACCAAGTTGGACGCGCCCGATTAAACTGAATCACGTGATTTAATAATGCGCTGATGACGTGTATACATGATTGCTGTCGCAGTGTTGCGACAGCCAATCAAATTGCGAGTTCTTAATCGGGGAAATGCTAACTGCTTATAGCAGGGGGAAGATGGAGGTACGGATTCTGGACACCTACTTAGGAGGATGGATATTCCCAGGCTTTTGAAAGTGAAGATAAGCCATTCTTATACTTGACCTCATGATCATTACAGTATACCTCTTTCGCGTACACTTCTAGCTTTTCAATAGTATAGTTTCCATATAGCTTTTGAAATCTCGCTAAATCTCGTTTTTCGTGAGATTTTAAGAGACTTGCATATTAGACCTCTAATGACTTACATTACCTTCTTTTAAATGGTATATTTGAATTCAGTGGAATGTTTTCTCTTAATAGCTTTGATTTACACAGTTATGTAATTTGAATAATTTTCTATGACAATTTAAAAAAAGTTGGGCCAAATGTCCATAGATGCAATGCTAAAATTCTTTAAAACCGTGGATTATTTGTATGTCAATCAACATTAGCATGTTTAATCACAACATGTTCATAAACAGGGTCATCATGTGGTATATCATTCAAGTTTTATACAGATTCAACAAACACACTTTGATAAATCATGAAATTAAGCCACTTTTCCAAGATTTTAGCATGTAAGTGAATGGAGCTCTAGCCAGAGTTAAAAGCTGAATAAAAGATGGCAGCACGAGATTTCATTGATTTTTCTGCTATTTAGAAACTATCCTATTTCGACTAAGCTTATAGGACTATTATCTATGTGATATGTCATTTGCAAATTACATGGACGAGATGTTTGAATTGACATAGTCATATTCCTTACATATATGTTGAAAAACATGTTATAATGTTCCTTGATTACGCCAGAAACTAACATTTAGAAATTTTGAAATCGTGCATTTTGTTTCTGTCAGCGACGTGATCACTGTTTTTCGACCAGTCAGCGAGGTTTGACACGAGTTATGTAAAGACGAATAAAATAGAGGTTCATCTCTACATGAACATAGACGTCTGTACTAATTAGGTAACTTACGATGGGAGATTTCCCCCTTCTTCGCTGTTGATAAACAAAATATTTTACTTTACTAACGATTTGAATCGTTATGTATGGCGTTGTGTCAATTACACCTTAAAGTTTTGTATTTCCCAGTGAGATATAATTTTGATGATTTTTGAATTAAGCCAGATATACTGTGCCATTGTTTTCTGATTCCATGTGTTCTTATCATAGGGTCATCAACAAATGTATCTACTCTATGGACCACAACGGATTGTTTGATGTACAGCCATTGCCTACGTATCTCCAATTAATAAGTGGTGGAGGTGATATAGCAACAATTGGTATCATAGCAACAGATTCAGAGCAACACGTTATCCGAGAAGCCGGAGACATCGATGAAACAAACGCCATAGCAACAGACGTAGGACATCTTGATGGGCATAACATTGAAGTTGAAAGGGAAGCAGAAATCACCGAGACAATCTACTCGCATCTAATTGATAGTCTTACAAATACAGATATCTCTGACGATATCCAAACTGTTGTCATGGAGACAGATAACGGTGCAAGTATAAATAACGGAATATCACCACGTAGAAGTCATTCTCAGCCCGAGCATGCCCATGCGGCGGCGTCAATGTCGTTGCCCAACCAACTCCACAAAGTAAACAGTGACATGAACATGAATACTGTTGATAGTATGGACACAGATCTTTGTAGCTTCTTCTCCCCTGACTACATCTCAGATGAAGATATTTATACAGGCACTCACTCAGTTGAGAAAATAACGATTGATCCGTTCATTAGTGAAAATCCAACAGCAGCCCAGTCTGTGTCTTTCAATGATGATCCACAGCCCACAGTAATCAGCCTAGATAAGCCTGTCATGTACTCAAGCAACCCTCGCAGAGCAATGGAGAACAACCTCCTCAGAGCACATGAATCAAACTCGGTTGATTCTATGGATGATAATTATTTCTTCGTAGATTGTCGTGATAGCGGCACTCCGTTGATCACCCCGGTCAGTAGTAGCAGCGACTCATCACTAGGACAACGGGCAAGCCTCAGTGATATAATAATCGAAGAATATTGTGACAAACAAGAACTAAAGGTGATTTTCTCATCATTAAGAGCAATGTATTGTGCTTGTGTTTTTTTCTAGTTACACTGTACGATGTCATATATTTCAATATCGTTCTTAACTTTCCAGAGTAAAACATCTGAGAATGAACATATCGGTACAAATTCAAATAAAGCCCAGCTATTAGAAAACAAACCACAGACGTCTTCTACAAAAATTGATATTGGCAATGCAGACGAACAACACGATGAGAATATAATCAAGGATAACGACAAAACTACGACTGACGGTCCAAAACATCAGACGTGTGACATTGTAGAGAATGTAAATGATGACAGAAGAACTGAACGTCATGCTAAACTAGAACACGATAGTGATAATATCAGAGAGCAGATAGGTAACGAATATCATCGCTTCTTCATGTACCGATTATACTTATTCTACTGGGCAATGAAGCTAATATACCTCCCTAATTTTGCTCTCAGTTCTCTCAATGTTATAATGAAAAAAGGGACGTGCCATATTGCTTTAACTTGTGTTAGCTATACTGTCATTTTCAACCGTCTAGATGTTGATCCTGTTTACTCATTATAAATAGTAATTACGTGTTCCATCGTCTCGACATTTAAACTAGCTATTTCATTTTGCTTAATTACTATGTCTTTGCCATGTAACTTAAATATTTTGTGGGAAATATTTTCTGTGTGATCGATTGAACAAAACAACTGAATGAAAGTGTTTCTCAACTTTTAGAATTAGCTTATCAGAAAGGCAAACAAGATGCATTTATTGAGCTCCAGAAGACACTGAAATTTAATGAACTACTTGTTAATGAATTGCTGTCCGAGAAGCACGAAGCCGACGTGAGTGTACTTTTAGATTATTTACCATTCTGTATTCCTTCATTTCCAATTTAGCATTAGTGAAGGATACAAATCATTAAAACTCGACAGTCTCAACCCTTGTTTTTGAGATTTTCTGATACTCTCGACCTTAAGTTTAAATCAGTTTGATCATATTCGCCTTCATAACTAGGGGACAGCGGGGTAAGGAGGGCCGTGGGGCAAGACGGACCACCAAGTTTATTTTATTGTTCTTAAGTATATATCGCCTGATATTATTCTGACATGGGATCATCATGGCTCTGACCTCACTCGCCGTTAATATTTTTCATTTTGGCGCCAGATTTAATCGGCGGCACTTTCCCCAAAAAGTGGCCCCTTTTGCCCCACTTTTGTAAGACTTGTAAAAGAAGGTTTCTGATATAACGGCTCTTCTTGCCTCACGGTCGGAGGCCCTTCTTGCTCCATAACCACTCAAAATCATTTTTTAAAAGTGAGGGGCATATTAGCAATTCAAAAATGTATTTCAAAATCAATACCATTGTATCTCAGAGAACCAATGTTCCTTGTTTCAATAAACATGAGTTCAGGGGACAGAAACCCTAGCAAAATATCTTTACAAGCTGTTAAAATGACTGCTCTTAGGGTGTCCGTCTTTTTACAAAATTCACGAACGCTCTCGAACGGGTAGGCCCTCCAGAACTTCGAGCATGCTCAAAATCTTATGGTTGTCGTCACGTTCTGCAATCAGAACGAGTGACGAGCTGGGCGTACTACGAACGGAATTGTCGTGCTTCAATCCTTCTAGGGACGTTTTCTATAACGAGTTGAACTGGCTTTGGATGTATTGAGAACGAGGTAGAACTGATTGCAAACGGGTCTAAACTGATTAAAGACGTATTAAAGACTTCTTATGAACGAGTTAGCAAAAATATAGCTATCACACCAAACTAGTTGCCGAACTGGTAGCTAATTATTTTAGACATATTTCCAGACCACAGCCAGATTTAGCCCATTTTACGCCTTTTTATAGGACTGGAAAGAACGGTTGAGAACTAGCTTGGTGTGATAGGGGGGGGGGGGGGGTAAAGAACATGGCACAGGAGTAAGAATCTGGCATAAGGTTCTTATTCACATCTGATACACAGTGAGAGTTGCCTGTTTCGTAGCCTATTTTGCCTGTTACTGACTTGATTAGTACTAAGTTGGTCATCAACAACTGAGATTTGTTGATGTTACACCTCTGCGCCACGATGAGGCCAAGTACTTTGCAGGGGACATAGGGACTTTCTTATTCAAGTCTGATACTGATAGAAAATTAAAGTACCACTTACGTGGTCTGTTATACCAGTTTCTCACTTTCTTCTTCTTTTTTCGCAGGATTCAACTTACTTAAATATATCCATTTGCGTAAGAAACCGGAAAGGTTTTTTTATTCACGTCTGATACAAAACTAGAAAACCAGTTGCGCGGCTTGTGTTTGCCTGTTTTACTTACTTCTTCATTTCATTTGACTCAACTATTAATTAATATAGATAAATCCATTTGCTTAAAAACCCGGTATAGGCTTCTTATTTATGTATATTACAAAATTAGAGTACCAGTGAAGTGGTCTGTTTTGTCAGTTTCTTACTTACTTCTTCTTTTCATTTGACTCCACTTTTAAAGTTCATGAATCAATCCATTAGTGTATGTCTGACGTCAACTATAACCAGAACAAAACTGTATTTTTGAGTGAGAACCTGGCACAGGCTTCTTATTCACGTCTAATACAAAATTAGAGTACCAGTTACGTGGCCTGTTTTGCCAGTTTCATACTTCTTTCTTTCATTTGACTCGACTAACTTAAATAAATCTTTTTGCGTAAGAAGCTGACATAGGCTTCTTATTCACGTCTGATGCAAACCTGTAGTACCAGTTACGTGGCCTGTTTTGCCAGTTGCATACTTACTTCTTTTTTCATTTGACTCGACTAACTTAAATAAATCTATTTTTGTAAGAACCTGGCACGGGCTTCTTCTTCACGTCTGATACAAAATTAGAGTACCAGTTACGTGGCCTGTTTTGCCAGTTTCATACTTACTTCTTTTTTCATTTGACTCGACTAACTTAAATAGCTCTATTTTTGTAAGAACCTGGCATAGGCTTCTTATTCACGTCTGATACAAAATTAGAGTATCAGTTACGTGGCCTGTTTTGCCAGTTTCATATTACTTTTTTTCATTTGACTTCAATGCTTAAATAAATCATTTTCGTAAGAACCTGGCATAGGCTTCTTATTCACGTCTGATACAAAATTAGAGTACCAGTTACGTGGCCTGTTTTGCCAGTTTCATATTACTTTTTTCATTTGACTTCAATGCTTAAATAAATGTGTTTTCGTAAGAACCTGGCAAAGGCTTCTTATTCACGTCTGATACAAAATTAGAGTACCAGTTACGTGGCCTGTTTTGCCAGTTTCATACTTACTTCTTTTTTCATTTGACTCGACTAACTTAAATAGCTCTATTTTTTGTAAGAACCTGGCATAGGCTTCTTATTCACGTCTGATACAAAATTAGAGTACCAGTTACGTGGCCTGTTTTGCCAGTTTCATATTAATTTTTTCATTTGACTTCAATGCTTAAATAAATCATTTTCGTAAGAACCTGGCATAGGCTTCTTATTCACGTCTGATACAAAATTAGAGTACCAGTTACGTGGCCTGTTTTGCCAGTTTCATATTACTTTTTTCATTTGACTTCAATGCTTAAATAAATGTGTTTTCGTAAGAACCTGGCAAAGGCTTCTTATTCACGTCTGATACAAAATTAGAGTACCAGTTGCGTGGCCTGTTTTGCTAGTTTCATACTTCCGTTTTCATTTGACTTGACAAACTTAAATAAATCTATTTGCGTAAGAAATTGGCATTGGCTTCTTATTCACGTCTGATACAAAATTTAAGTACCAATTACGTGGCCTGTTTTGCCAGTTTCATACTTCTTTCTTTCATTTGACTCGACTAACTTAAATAAATCTATTTTTGTAAGAACCTGGCATAGGCTTCTTATTCACGCCTGATACAAAATTAGAGTATCAGTTACGTGGCCTGTTTTGCCGGTTTCATACTTCTTTTTTCATTTGACTTGACTACTTAAATAAATCCATTTTCGTAAGAACCTGGCATAGGCTTCTTATTCACGTCTGATACAAAATTAGAGTACCAGTTACGTGGCCTGTTTTGCCAGTTTCATACTTACTTCTTTTTTCATTTGACTCGACTAACTTAAATAGCTTTATTTTCGTAAGAAGCTGGCATAGGCTTCTTATTCACGTCTGATACAAAATTAGACTACCAGTTATGTGGCCTGTTTTGCCAGTTTCATATTACATTTTTCATTTGACTTCAATGCTTAAATAAATCTGTTTTCGTAAGAACCTGGCATAGGCTTTTTATTCACGTCTGATACAAAACTAGCATACCAGTTACGTGGCCTGTTTTGCCAGTTTCATACTTACTTCGTTTTTCATTTGACTCGACTAACTTAAATAGCTCTATTTTCGTAAGAACTTGGCATAAGCTTCTTATTCACGTCTGATACAAAATTAGAGTATCAGTTACGTGGCCTGTTTTGCCGGTTTCATACTTCTTTTTTCATTTGACTTGACTACTTAAATAAATCCATTTTCGTAATAACCTGGCATAGGCTTCTTATTCACGTCTGATACAAAATAAGAGTACCAGTTACGTGGCCTGTTTTGCCAGTTTCATACTTACTTCTTTTTTCATTTGACTCGACTAACTTAAATAGCTCTATTTTCGTAAGAACCTGGCATAGGCTTCTTATTCACGTCTGATACAAAATAAGAGTACCAGTTACGTGGCCTGTTTTGCCAGTTTCATATTACTTTTTTCAATTGACTCCAATGCTTAAATAAATCTGTTTTCGTAATAACCTGGCATAGGCTTCTTATTCACGTCTGATACAAAACTAGCATACCAATTACGTGGCCTGTTTTGCCAGTTTCATACTTACTTCGTTTTTCATTTGACTCGACTAACTTAAATAAATCTGTTTTCGTAAGAACCTGGTATAGGCTTATTATTCACGTCTGATACAAAACTAGCATACCAGTTGCGTGGCCTGTTTTGCTAGTTTCATACTTCCGTTTTCATTTGACTTGACAAACTTAAATAAATCTATTTGCGTAAGAAATTGCAATAGGCTTCTTATTCACGTCTGATACAAAATTAGAGTACCAGTTACGTGGCCTGTTTTGCCAGTTTCATACTTCTTTCTTTCAGTTGACTCGACTAACTTAAATAAATCTTTTTGCGTAAGAAGCTGACATAGGCTTCTTATTCACGTCTGATGCAAACCTGTAGTACCAGTTACGTGGCCTGTTTTGCCAGTTGCATTCATACTTCTTTTTTCATTTGACTCGACTAACTCAAATAAATCTATTTTTGTAAGAACCTGGCACGGGCTTCTTCTTCACGTCTGATACAAAATTAGATTGACTCGACTAACTTGAATAAATCTATTTTCGTGAGAACCTGGCATAAGCTTCTTATTCACGTCTGATACAAAATTAGAGTACCTGTTTTGCCGGTTTCATACTTCTTTTTTCATTTGACTTGACTACTTAAATAAATCCATTTTCGTAAGAACCTGGCATAGGCTTCTTATTCACGTCTGGTACAAAATTAGAGTACCAGTTACGTGGTCTGTTTTGCCAGTTTCATACTTCTTTCTTTCATTTGACTCGACTAACTTAAATAGCTATATTTTCGTAAGAATCTGACATAGGCTTCTTATTCACGTCTGATACAAAACTAGCATACCAGTTGCGTGGCCTGTTTTGCTAGTTTCATACTTCCGTTTTCATTTGACTTGACAAACTTAAATAAATCTATTTGCGTAAGAAATTGACGATTTGCGATCACCGAATGGATTCTATCTTTTAGTGACGTCACAATTAGGCCAGCCAGCTTTAGATGCTTGATTTTGAGAGATTATCTTCTATATTTCATGCTTTAT